TACCCCGAGTGGTCATAATCGACCTAATATTTTAAAATGGAGCTGTGAATTATTTTCCTTTGTGGGATCAGGCTGGTATATGTTCGGAAATGTCTGGAAGGCGAACGCTGTGTACGGCCAATTGATAAACATACATCGAGGTGACCAAGTGAGCTAGCTTGTGTCCTTTACGTTAATCGAAGCCTTGGGTGAGTGGAGAAAGTTAATCTGATTTTGGCAGCATAGAAAGTTTTTCTCAATGAGCATGACAGACGGTTTTTTAATATATCTCCTGATGCGTCTCCGTTGAACTGTAAACCCATGAAAAGAGGCTTATTAGGAACCGTAGAAGTGGAATGCTTATTTGCTTTCATTTTCATAGTTTTAGCAATGAAAAGCTCAGGATACTGGTTTTCAATCAGAATATTTTTGAAAAAAACTTAGTTCATCCTCCAGAGTACCAGGACTGCAGATAGTGTGGACCCTAGGGTACATAAAGCAAATTACATTTCGTTTGGTGCATAGAGGAACCCACCAAGAATATACTCAGAGAAACTAATTTGCATGTGAAAAGTCATCACGTTACCTTCAATTTTATTTGCTTTACTTGCAGTAGCATGTATGTTGGAAGAAAGAAAAGGGTCCTGACTAAAAAGAATCTCTGAACTTTTGCCAAAAACCTTATCATTCAGAGGTGTAACGCTTCACAGCAATGACATTGGTAAACACATCCTTGGTACTGTCGAACCAATCACAATTTTCCAAGTAATAAATGGTAGATCGTGACGTTTTGCAAAAGCAGTAACAAACTGTCGTCTAAAGTCAAGCTTATATGAGTAAAAGAAGTTTGTGGTTCACCTTGGTGAACTGTTACTTTCTTACCGTTATATTTATTATCTAATTCTTTCAACATATTATCCTACATATCATTTTAAAACATTATTAGTATTCCTATTATTTCCAACTCATATTAATTCATTTTATAGTCTGCTTGATGACTAATTAAAGAATTCGCGACGTGCGTTTCGTCTCATTTTGAACTCGTCAGCTAGATGTAAGTGCCTCCCAATGAGTGATATTGTTCTCATTTGTACACAGACACAAAAGCGTTGTCCGCTAGACATTTAGTTCTCTATGATTTATTCCTGGATTTCAGCATATCCTTATTACTCACCACTTTTCATCAGATTCGGTATCCGTTTGAACCGTAGTCATACTTCTGTCATATAACTTTCGCTGGTCGATTTTATGGTGTGGTATGCTATTTTGAATGTTTCTAGTATTGGTTGACGAGGTCGTGAACTTTTTAAGCCTAGTGTGTGTGTGTGTTGAAGACTTTAGAGAACATAAAGTTGGAATTCGATTCATTCCACAAATGTTTGATCTTCTTGCTTTGGACCGTCATAGCAATTAATTAATGTTGATTGATTTAAAATTTTACACTTTAATTTCAGTAAACTAACTGAAGACTGTTCAGAAATTTTCAAAGCTTGAATTAAAAAGCGTTCACTTATAAACTGTCACATGCTGTTTCCAATCTATTCCATATCACATCCAAGGGTGAGAATTAAAACAGTACTTATAATGCATATACATATATAATCTATCAGTGAAGAATCGATTTCACTACGAGATAGTAATATAATTTTGAGGTTTGTGTAGATTTATTGATTTCAAGTTGGTATTCATTATGGACTGACTAATGGGGCCAACCAAGTCGGACATAAGGACAGTTGTTCAACGATGGCATTGGATGGAGGTCATGCTATATCATGAAGTAACAGAAGTAGGAAGTGTGGACCATTGGATTGTGGCCCAATGGTAATGTGCTGCTGAGGAGTCCCATATTAAGAGGAAACAGCTGTCCAGTGCTCCAGGTTTCCTCCAACTATTGTCAATCCATGATGAATATCAACCTGAAAGCAATAATGCACATCATCTTTGTGAAGATCAAATTACAGTATCTAGGATGACATTGAAACGTCTTCGAGACAAAACCCTAGTTCAGAGAATGACTTTAAGCATGCCCACCATGGGGTATAAATATTTGTCACAATTTTTAGAGGCATAATTAATTATCGATATTTGGACCTGAATAACTGGATCACACTTTCGAATCTACTCCCTATCTACACATCAGTTTTAAGAGCCACATAATACTGTCATTATCTCATTTACCTGCAATTGTTCATAGTGATACGTATAGGTTTACTACTGAACTGGATGTAGTGGAAGTTATTGTATTCTAAACAACAATTGAAGATTTTGCAGCGTAAGATGAACAGATTACTAATACTACTGATACCCTATTGTTATTACTACCACTACTATCAACATTATCGATCCTGAGATTATCACTTGACTTTGAAAGCATAAGTCTCAATTTCAAATTCTATTACTCTAACTTTCACCTGAGTAACCGGGTACTATATATCATAGGCCAATATATACCAGGTGTGAGAATTTATGCTGCATTGTTAACTTTAAGTAACACTTAATTATTATTACCACTGACATTCATCGTTAGTGAGATATTCGAGATACTCTTGGTCTGACAAAGAATTCTCCAGTTCACCAGAAGTAATTTATTTCCATACAATATAGTAGTATCATAGAATGTATAAATTTGTAAACTGTCACATTTACGAACTAACTTTCCATGTGAGAAATGAAAATCTTCAGGGGTTGAAAAGCGTTGAGTAGTTCAAGAAAGAGAAAATGAAACAGTTACTCACAGAGTTTTTGATTTCCCTCGTTGTCTACCTAAAGCTCACTCTATCACACAGTACAAATAACCTTGAAATAGTATGGTTTCATCTCTGTATCAGTTTAATCATCAGAATGAAAGTTAAAAAAATTTCCACTATATAACATAAAAATATAATTCAAGCAACTGAAGTATTGCTCTAGACCGGATGGATTACGCTTCAAAGTCTTCTGCTCAACCTGCCGTTGAAAGTTATCAACGTTTCGTTTCCAGTGATGGTTTTACGCACCGTCTTTTTGCCGGTATCCTTAATTAGCCTAAACGGCTGCCAAGTGTTACCCAACGCTCATGTCTTTTCCATCTCTCCTGCTCACTAGCACTAGACCTAGAATATGCAGATGACATTGTCCTGTTAAGTGAAGATGCTGACAAGATGCAGAGTCTTATGAACACTGAGTGGGAATTTGAGAATGTTTGGGATGCGTTTCCCACCAACCAAATGCAAATTGCTGCTCCAGGATTGGTCTTCAACGGTGCCACGGCTAACAATAGAGAGTATAGTGGTTGAGTGTGTTGGCCACTTCACTTGCCTCGGAAGTAGGATCAGCTCTGATGGCTCAGTGAAATCTCTGCCCGGATACAAAAGGCTTGATTGGCTTTGCCAACTTACGCCACTTGTGGCGCCACCGTGATATACAATTGTCTACTAAAGGTTGCGTTTACTGCATAGCAATTCAGTCTGTTCTACTGTACGGCTTTGAAACATGGCCACTGAAGGTGGAAGATATGAGAAGGCTTCAGGTGTTTGACCACCGTTGCCTTCGTAGCACATGCCCACCGTGTGTCACCACGTGAGTAATGCAGAAGTCAGGAGTAGAGTTTTAGAGAGAAGAGGTAAGTCGGTTGTGAACCCTCATCGACTGAGATGGTTGGGGCATGTGTTACGTATACCTAGTTACCGATTGCCTCGTCACGCAATGTTCGCTGAAGTAGGTCCAGACTGGAAAAAGGCCCGAGGTGGCCACATTAAAACATGGCACCAATGTATGAAGTCTCTGACCGCTGCTTTGAGCCATGTGGGGCGATGCAAACTGAGTGGTTGGGGTCCGCGGGACAAAAGGAACCAGTGGTTGGAGACTTTAGGTGATATGGCTAAGAACCGATGTCAGTGGCGCAGATGCATACACATTATCCTCATCTTAACGCTATACCGAATCTCACCACTTTCTCATTCTTCCTTTCTCTCTTTCATACTTTATATTTCTTTTGACTGCATTCTCTTATCTTCACCTTGCGCCTCACTGCCTTTTTTACTTGATGTACTGATATAAGGTGTGGCAACTAGGACTGTTACGTAGTAATGCCTGGTCCTAGGTTGATGTGGATGGCTCGCTAGCACCACCTACCACTACTCGTGATCGACATGAAGACTCTTGGTAAACTTGAGTTTAAGTTGCGTTCGCTCCTCATCATGGTCATAGCCAACCAGCTGGAATCAGTTTTCTCGCATCAATCACTTCGGTGATGTCGTAGAAATCCAATGACGTTCGCTAACGTCAGGTGTAAGTTAGCAACTAGCCGTCTTTACCACAGTTTCTACAACAGACTAAATATCACGCAAGGTTTCTTCAGAACGAGCATTACTGTAACGTTCAGATAAAGGCCTAGTTAACTTGGCGTCCTCATCTACTAATAGACCAGTAAAGTGCAGACACACACCAGCCCGTACTAGCACATGGTCAGAGTTCAAGCAGATATTCCAACGGTGCCTTACGGCAATATGATCTGTTTCTGTCCATCGTTGGGTTGATGTTGGCGGACGCCATTCAAGAGAGTATCTTTTCTTAATGAAACAGTTAGCCACGGGATTTTCTTTCATACTTAACCCATTGTTCGCCGTCAACTCATTGTATCTCACCGTACAAATGACCATCAAACAGTATATCCTCTTCTCGGTCTAATCACTAAAGTGAAATAAAAACTTCCACAACAGAACATAAAGATTTAATTCAACCAAAATACATTTATGCATATGTATACATATATATATAAACTATACACTGAAGTGGTTGTACAATCTGGTCCCTTAAAGTTTCACGCTTTCTTATATTTTTCTCTTTCTATTTGTTTCTAATAAACACAAACACGCGCAAACACTTCTGTTCGATATTCACAATATGTTAAATGTGTATGTGTGTGTGTGTGTCTCTGTGTGTACATATGTTTACAACAGATAAAGGTGAAGAATGATCAGTCGTTCAGTTCAATTTCACTGTAAAGGAATCCATTGATCAAAAGTGAAGTGTAGTCGCAATCAACTCTGCGATGTCATCCATGATCTGAGATGAAAAATAATCAGAAAGATATAATTTGGAAGCGAACAATATTGTTTTCATTTAACTCACATCAAGCCTTATCCTAGTACACATAGTTCCCCCCTATATATGTAGTATTAAACCAATCCTTGGTGAATTCTTTAGTGATGAAGGTGAAATAAAAAGCTGGACCACAGTAGGACTCGAACCAATAACCATCAGGTTTCCGGCCACAGGTTTGTTTGCTCGACTACCATGTGAATTCGTGACGTGGTATTACCGCTTGATTGTATTCACACTGACTAATTGTAGTTAAATAAAAAACTGGTCAACAGTCGGGCCAGAAACCCAATGGTCGCTAGTTCGAATCCCCTTATGGGGCGAGTTTTCATTCCATCTTCAATCATCGTCCAGTATCAAAATTCACTACATTTCATTTTTTTGAGTAAAAGCGAAGAGTAGACTTCCTTTATGTGAATTCATGACGCATTGCTATCTCTTGATCGTAATCACATTGGCTGTCCAGTCTAGACTTCTGTTACTAAGGCGGTAATGAAGCATGGCAATAGTTAGTATCCAGAAAATGAGAATTAATATTATCCTACTGGTGATAAAAAAATGAGAACAGCACGGTACTGAAGACATCGAAACAACCAGTGTAGGTCAAAACTTAGAAAAATGAAACTTGCGTAATCCATCCATCCAAACCAACATAGGACTACGTAACGGTCCGAGTTGCCACAGCTCATATCAGTACATCAAGTAAAAAGGTAGTGAGGTGGAAGATGAAGAAAAGAAAATTCAGTCAGAAGAAATATAAAGTACCGACCAATAGCTGCTACCTTGACGTGGTGGTCGAGTTTGCATATCACAATGACCCAAAGAGCTATGCTGGTGGAACACTTGTTCCCTCGAGGTCTTACCATACCGGAAAGGTCTGTTGGGTAGTCGTTAGACGAAAAGCAGTTACCGTTGTGGTGTAAATTACTACACTATGATGGGGGTCTTAAGGCGAAGACGTACTGCTGCTAGCAGCAGTGCCATGCTGCCTTCTCAGTGAAAGGGGGGGGGGGTAGATAAGGTCGGCCCCAAAAATAACACACTCCACCATGCCCCACGGTCTGCCGGGCCGGCGGTATTGGTTCATTCGTCGTTTCTTTTTTGACCATCCGGCCCCAGAACAGCAAAAGCTCAAAACTTGCGTAATACTAAAGAATGAAGTATGTTGATATTGCAAATCTAAGTAAATAAGGAGTGAAGAAAATGAAGTGAGGTTGAAAAATTAAGTTTATCTTTGACATCGTATATTAGGTTTTTTATAGCCGAGGTCCTACATTCAAAGACTAAAATTGTTTTCTCTAACCCCCCATAGACTGAAATATACATAATAAGCGAATATGAACTCCATTTGGACGGTTTTGAAAGCTTTGGTCTCATCTCTGCGGTCCGTTCTGTCCTATTCTACGGTTCTGAAACATGGCGATTGAAAGTAGAACATATGAAGCGAATACAAGTTTTTGAACAAACGCATCTTAGCAGCATTCCTCGCTTATGATGGAATTACTGTGTCAGCAATGTCGAAATAGGTGAAGGGTACTAGGAAAGGAAAGAAAGGCGTGTAGTGAGATTGTGAACCTTCATCGATTGAGGTGGTTTAGACATGTACTCGTCATGCCGAACCACCACCTACTTGAACTTGCAGTGCTTGGAGAAGTTGGATTAGATTGGAAGAAGGGATTCAGTGTAGGCAAACCAAGACGTGAAATCAGTCGATTAAGTCTTTAACTATGGGTCTGAACCGTATACGAAGGTGTATACTACCTGTATGGGGCTCTCAAAAGGATAGGGAATCAAAGGTTGAGGACTCTTGATGACGGCTGAAAATCGATCACAACGGCACGGATATTTTCGCTCTTCGACGTCTTCTAAAGCCCGAATATTGGCGCCAAACTTTATTTTCGAATCGTTTTTTCTCTCATACACCTTAATCTTTTTTTCTACCCATTTGTTCTTTCAGTAGTAGCGTGAAGTGTAGCAATGTACTTGTGTGCGAGGTTCGACGTTGATTTGCATGTCTGTATATCTTTCTTGGTCCCATCTTCTAAATGATTACTGACGACCAAATACAACATATACAGCAATGGAATCCATAATGTGCGTTTTGTCCCATTTACAACTCGTCAGCTGGGTTCACCTGCATTCTAGTGAGTGATGTTGTTCCCCCCTTGCGGCGAGAGTCAAACCCAGAACTCATCACTTCAAACGTCAGTATGGCATCAAGTCACTAGACCCACCTTGTGTACAACGAGTATCAGTGATGATTTACTCATGCTTGTAATTTACCGTAGTTATGTATTCAGTTGGCGAGTCCCCAAAGCGGACGAAACATGCATTTTAGATTCCACTGCCAACGAACACAGTGAGGTTTACGAGGAAAGTTAAATGATGATGCATGTTAACATTAGATTGACTAGTACAACTAAATCAATAGAAAATCTCCTTCTCCAAAGACTTCGAGTCTACTATCACCGATGATCTTCCTGATTGTGGTCGACTGGATCATGCAACAAACCAGGAGGAGCGAGAAAATGGGCATACGCTGTTTGACCGATGAAAAGACCCTAGAAGATTTGGATATCGTCAATGGTGATTTATGCTTAGTGTCATACAAACTCGAAGATTTACAGGCGGAAACTGACATGTTGACAGAAAAGGCAGTAAAGACGACACTTCATTCAGGTGAACGTAGAGAAGACAGAGGTGGTGAAGATACCCGACCAACCAACCAACAACAATAAAAAAACACCAATCACCATCAACGAGAGAAATCTAAAGGAGGTTGTCTCTTTCACCTACCTACCTAGACAGCATTGTTTCAACTACAGGCGACACAGGCACAGATGAGGATGTCAAAGCCAGGATCGTAAAGACAGCAAGACAGGCCTTCCTTCATCAATCTGAAATCAGTGTGAAGATCTATTGCACTCAACTCAGCATAAACAACAACATTCGGATTTTCAACACTAATTCAGTCAAGTAAGTCAGTGCTTCTATGTGATGGGTGAGAGACTTGGCGCGTTACGAAAAGTATTTCCAACAAGCTGCAGACATACGTGAACAGCTGTCGCCTACGCCCACTCGATACTGAAGATCGGATGGCCAGAAAGAATAAGCAACAAGGAACTCTGGGAGAGAACCGACCAATAATCTATCACCCAACAAATATGCAAAAGAAAGTGGAGATGGATTGGGCATACACTGAGAAAACCATTTGGAGACAACACGCACTAGGCCCTCGAGTGAAATCCAAAGGGGAAACGACGAGTTGGGCATCCGAAAGTGACATGGAGGAGATCGTGTGAGGAAGAAATGAAAGCTTCTGGGCAGGGGTGGAGCCAGTTTAAAAAGACTGGATAGAAGAGAGTGAAATGGCGGCGTGCTACTCAACCCAAAGGACTAATAACAACAACAATAATAATTAAAAAAAATAGTAATAGAAGGGTTTGGAAGAGGTGAACAAACATCAAACATTACTGTTCAAGCCATTTATACACATATTGATAATTAAGGATATTATCAGTGGAATGATATCATATTTTATATTATGTATTGACAAAGTTGAATTCACATCCGAGGGTGAACACTGAACAGATTGAAGGCGTTGTGATGGGTAGTACATTAGGACCGTTGCTAGCCGATGTGTATATGTCACGTATTGAAAACATGGATGACGATATGATTGGAAGTATTTCACTTTATAAGAAAGGTATCGATGATATACTCATATGTGAAAAGCCTGATGATGAGATGTGCTTAGTAGAGATGAACACGGCTCAAAATCACACTAGCCTTACTTGTGAACAACAGATGAACAACCAGCTACCGTTCCTAGACATATTTGTTTAATCGACAGGTGGATGACTCGATCAAGTCGATCTATAGGAAGCCTACATGGACAGGGCAATATCTTAATTTCAATAGCTGTTTACCAGTCCTAATGTAAACGCTGTTTAGTTAGATGCTTATTCAACAGGACAAATTGCATCTGCACCAATGATACGAAGGAGGAAGAAACCAACTTACTGACCAGAACACTGATACAGGATGGCTACTCGTTGAAATTTATCGACAGGTGCAGAGAGTTATATTGCATTGAAAAGTATGCAATGTTTCGTTCTTAAGAAAAATGTCTACATCTCATTACCATTTAGAGGTGATTCATATAACTTTATTGTGAGGGTAAGGCTTAGATTAGGCATCTGTAAAACATATTATGCAGCTAAAGTCATCATCGTAGAGAAGACAAAGTCCATGTTACAACACAAGCCAAAACAACACACAGTCGATTACATTACATCCTACTGTGTTTATCAATTTACATGTGTGTGTGTGTGTGTGTGTGTGTGTGTGTGTGTGTGTGTGTGTGTGTGTGTGTGTGGATACATATATATAGGGGGGAGTAATCGTGATATGTAGTTAAGGATGGTTCAACATGTAAGTGGCCTCAAAAACAAATGACCTCAAGAGATCCGATAAGTCCAGGTGACGTCCATTTTCATTTATTGCTGAACACATAATCACACGGTAGACATGAAAACAGGTTTCAAAGTACTAAATAAAAGTGGTCAGGGTCGAGTGCTCAAACGTACTGAGGCTCTTGCCATCCGTAAATTCAAACCCCGTGCTTTGTGTATACAAAAACAATTTGCACTCACGTTGAACCAACTTTGGTAGTATTGATTTTAATTTTCATACTAAGAGTGATGAGATTTAGATTTTACTGTTTTCTCTACCCTTCTTATCCCTATGTTTCCGGTTGACTTCATTGACCCTTAGTGTTATTCTCGGTGGGAACAACATCACTTACTGGGAGGTAGGTACATCCAGCTGTTGAGTCCCAAATAGGACGAAACGCGCATCCTGAATTCCATTGCTAGCCACTATCCATCTACTATAACTAGGGCACAGGTATATCGAGGCATCCGCACAGGATCCCATATGCCAATAGAGACCGATCAATTCGGTTCAATCAACGACGGTATAACACAAGCAACAACACTAAAACTATGCCGGTCGCACAAGAGTGGGAACAACATCACTTACTGGGAGGTAGGTACATCCAGCTGACGAGTCCCAAATAGGACGAAATGCGCATCCTGGATTCCACTGCTAGCCACTATCCGTCTTCATTGACCCTTTTCGGAAATTTTCATATGGTAAATAGTTTTACAAGTCAATGTGAGTGACTATATTGTTCGAAATGTATAGCGCGCTAATACATCAAACATGTTTCAGATGATCTTCGTCTTCTCATTACACTGTTTGAATTTAACAAAGGGACCAGTTGCTTTAAAAAATATCTTGATTTGACTACACTGATGATGTTCTCTGCATCACATTTCTACTCAAACTAGAAATATACTCAGTGATAGAGATCAGTGTGATTGAATGATGACGATGAAAGTTACGATAAAGTATAGGTTCATTTTTCTTATTATGAAATGAATTTGTAGACTATGACTTCAGGTATCACGCATTCATTCGCATATCCAACAATCTGTAATAGATAATAGATACTTTCGAAGTCTGTAGATGATAAGTCATGATGTAATCATATCACCGAGCTAATCAATCTATTATGAAGTAACTGAACTAGTAGTCATGTGTTATACGAGAGAGAGAGAGAGAGAGAGAGGGGAAATAATTATCTGTACAACTTGGGCGCTGAGGTACAGTATAATTATTCCTTATTAGATTTATTTGATATAACCAGCACACAGTGTGATACAGTATTATTTACTTGGTAACGAGATTTTAAGCACAAATTACTCTTATAGTCCTATCACCTCATAATTCTTTGTTTTTAGTGGAGGTAAAAATTCTCACATCTACGGACTAGGTGTTGTTTTAATCCTAGTGGAATAATTAAGTTAGGAATGTCAAGTCAGGTGAAAAGTACTGGTAAAGAAGGTAAATGAGGTTGTGAACCATTAGTGACTGAGGTAGCTGATTCGGAAATGTGGTACACATACTGAACCACCACCTACTTCGATTAGGTTGGAAGAAGGCTCACAATGGTCAGACTAAGACGTGGGACCAGTGCATAAAGTCTCTAACAGTTGATCTGAGCAATGTACGAAGGTGTTGACTACCTGGATAAAGTTCCCAACATCATGAGAATGAGTGGTTGGTGACTCTTGGTGAGATGTCTGAAAATCGGTCGCAATGCCGCAGATGTATTTACTTCTTATTCCTTGGAAAAGTGTGGCAACTTGAACGGATACACTTGTGTACAAGATTCTACTTTAATTTTGTCTGTCCGGTTATTTTTAATATAAATATTACATTTTGGTAAGATGAACGGAAATTCGTTAAACAGTCTCTCTCCAGCCTACTGAACGACCCGAATAGTTCAGTGATAATGCTGCTGACGGCAAAATTGGGTAACGCAAGTTCTCCTGTCAGGTGGAACATCAGATCCCTTGCGATTGCAGATACACTTTGCTGACAAAGCCTGTGTCAACCAGGGTTTCCTGCTCATCGTCTTCAACCAGGTAAAATCTATTAAAGTGAACTGCAATGGTGAGGCATCTAGCTTGGCTATCAAGTATTACAGTCAATAAAATCACTTGAGTTTTCTTTTTTTTCCCTTGCTAATCCTCAACTATAGGTGAGTTAAGGTTAGGGATCAAATTACAGTTATGATTGTCAGCGTAGTTCAGTTCAGAATATTGCTGACGGTGATAACTTTAGAAGACACTTCGAAATTTGAATAATCGTTGATGAGAACAATAAATAATTAAAGATCAAATCTTTGTATAAGTTATGTGTATCTTTCATATTATTATTACAGAGATGGAGGTTAGGACTACGCGGCGTAGCAAGGAGAATATTGCTTTCAAGTTATTTCATTTCATTTTACTAGTTAGTCAGCCCTTCTCCTTTCTGGTAAACTAATGATACACAGAGATTGTCGAGTCCCCCTCCCTCACCGTCCTGAAAATACTACTTAACAGAAGTTGATCACAGCCTATGAATTCTAATCGGAATGCGATTGATGGCTTTGGTTTATTGACTGCTCCAAGTACCAGGGTTTCGTTTACCCATTACTGCGATTCAATGGAGGTATGCTTTACAGTTTTGGTTTGAAACTACTATAGCCGCTGTCGATGCACGGGTATTTACTGTTAACCACCAACATTCAAGGGTGACTTTAAACGCCACTCTATCAACTGATGAGATAGCCAATTACATTCTCTTATTTTATGGAGAAGTACTTACCTACGCGAAATACCGAAACCTGGTTGGCTATTTTACCAATTGCTAGAGTGGCCTTTAAAGACATTCATTCATCTCGGACTGACATCCATTGGGGAACCATTGAGAACCTGGTAGCACTATACAGCTGTTTCGTCCTAGTACAGAACTCCTCAATAGTACGAATTCACGATCCGGCTAAGAATCAAACTCAGGACCCATAAGTTCCACGGCGAACGCGTCAACCAATTGGAAGGGAAATGGGTGGCACCTGGAGACCTTGAGTGATAGTCACGCTGTATCACGAATTGAACTTCAACTCAGTGGCTGAATGATTAACATGTTCTCCGTGAAACCTGGTGGTCTTGAGTTCGATCCTTGGCCGGATCGTGGGTGCGTACTGCCGAGGAGTCACATACTGGAACGAAATGGTTGTCCACTGCTCCCAGGTTCCCAATGGTTCCCCAATTGATGTCAGTCTGTGATGAATACTATCTCAAAACATGATATAACCTAATTGGAGGATATCAAAAAGCTGATAGTGGGAGATATTTCATCATTAGATAACAATTGGAAAAATATTTAAAAGCAAAATTAACAAAATGAAATTCATTCCCATACTAAAATATTTATTGACAGTTGAACAAAAATTCACTTACACTTTCCAAGCTTGACCAGATTTTTTAGCTATCTCCAAACGCTGACAATGCGGTAAAGTGAGGTAACGCCAAATTAAATCACCATCTGCAACTTTTCCACATGGGTTTGCTAATTCTGGTTGAGGACGATGGTATGGCCTAAGAGAATGATAGAATATACATTTTCAACATACTTATATAACTCCATATCACTATGTAATTGGATGATTGTAAAGGTCACCACTTTGTGTACCAAAACTTGAATATTAACCTGAAAACTTAGTGTCAGATTCATACTCTTGAAAAGGATCTTCCTAGCAAGATTGAAACGTTGAGGAATAATACAAAATATTTGTTTATTTTGTTATTTGTTCTAATATACTACACCGGGATTACACAAGTGAAAATATATCCTATACAATACTTATATAACTCATTTATTTACTATATTAAGCATAAATAAGTGAAAAATAATTAGGTCTTCATCTTGGGCTTAGCATACCGTGTCTCAGCTATTTACTTAGAGGATGCTATAAAGGAAGGGTGCGCCACCATCCGTAATCTGCTGCTTAGTAGGAATGGCTACCCAGACAAGTTTGTAACTAAGCACATGAATATTACGAGGGTTAAGACAACAGTACCAACAGTTCCTAAAAATCAAATCTTTTTGAAGCTGGAATTTAATAGTGACACTGCCAGTGAGATCATCACACAGCGCATAAAAAGAGTCTTGCATAAAGCATTACCAGCCGCTAAATTATGTCCCAGCTTCTACAACCGCCCGATTCTAGGTGCAAGAAATAAAGATAAACCGCCACTTGTATGTGCACTTATCAATTCAACTGCTCCTATGAAGTGAGTTACATTGGACATACAGTGAGGCAGTTCCATCGTCGAATTTCTGAGCACCACCCATCATGGTTGAACAAGGGACAAATTAGAACTATAAAGAGCTCCATCCTTGTACACTTGGTTGACGCGGGACATCAAGTGGTTACTAGAAAAGCCTTCAAAGTCATTCATCGAATTCCAGTTAATTTACCACATGGATTACGCACTCGGTTACTTCACATTTAGTGGGCGTCGCTGATAACAACGGATATAAGTAGTATATATCGAGGGGGTGGCAGGAATCATAGGGAATTACCGGCAATGGGTAAGGTTTCTGCCAAGAGCAACGCAGGGGACAACACAGGCGTATTACAGGTGATGCTGCTGATAAGAGTATATGAAGAGCCGGTCAAGAGCAAATCAAGAAAGGAACAGAGAGGAAACGAAGACATTTGCAAGTGGCTGCGTTAGTGCAAGGAGCACCATATGTAACCACTACCATTCCAATTCTTCTTGATATACATTCTCTCGTCGAGTTGCCTTCTGTTTCTTCACACGTAGAAAAAGAGACGATTTCAATCCACCTTTAAAAACCTAGCCTTTGTATCGAAAAGAAGTTTTTTCGACCGCTTTCATTACCGTGGCCGTCAACATGATGTAACTCCTAGATTTACTTTGTATACCCCTTTTCCCCTTCTTGTTTCTATCAATATTCATTTAGTTTCTTATTATTAAGTGATCGCTTATTGTGGATGACTGAACGCTCATTAAAGTCACTCCATTTACTAAAGAAAAGCTTGTTTCATATTTCCAATTTTAGTAACTCTATTGATTATTTACATCATTATTTCCGAAACATCACCACGTGATTGGTAATTTGATTAAATTGTAAACCTATTCATATTAGTGTGAAAGCTCAAGATAAAGACCTAATTGAAAAGGAATATATTTCTTCGCTCAATTAGCTTTTTACTAAATGTCTTAAAGGGAAATATTCAATGTATTGAAAAATTATTAGAATCAATTCGATCCTACTTATCTTGTAAACATGACCAATTTAAAATGTCAAAATTAAGTATTTGGAGCAGACAGACAAGACTAACATAGGAACTGGCATTATTATATAGCAGTCCAAGTTGCCACATCTTATATCAGAAAATCAAGCAACAATAAAGAAGAAAACAGTCACAAGTGGTAGAAAGTCATAATAAGACGATTAAGATACTGTATGAATGCACCTACGCTATCGACATTAATTCATCGTTCTGTCACCTATCACTGTTACTAATCACTGGTTTTTTTTTATCATATGGACGCCAACCGGGAAGTGTATATTCCGGACTCATCAGGTGGAAGGATTTACTTGCCTTTCAATGAGTGGTGTTGTTCTCACTAGGACTTCAACTCGTGACCAATCGTTTCAAACACCAGAGAGAGCTGTCCATTAAACCACCGAGTCACGATAGCCACTTGTACGGCAGGTATAGTTTAAATGTTGTTACTAGTAGAAATTGATCACTTCGGTACAGTCAACGACGGGATAATACAAGCAACAATATTATCTTGATAAACACCACTTGAACTTTTGTATCCGTTAAAAGATTTATCAAACAATCTACGACTAACATCACTTGGAGGAACATTGAGAACCTGGGAGCACTCGACAGTTGCCTAGTCCCAGGATGAAACTCGTCAGGAGTGCGCACCCATGGCCCCCCAAACAGGGCTCGAACCCACGACCTTCAGGTCCTATGGCCAGCATGTTACCATTGAGCCACTGGGTCGTATGGCAGTTAAAATCCCAGACACTAATTATAATCTCCATGATGCATTCTCCAATGTAAATAGTCAACTTTTCGAAAGTTAATTAATTAAGCTAATTGAATTAATGCAGTTGAACAACTGAGCAGACTTACCAACATGATTTAGGCGGCATACCGCATATAGGTCCAAGATGATGAATTAGATTCTTCTCAGTTATTCGAAGGCGACTATACATTTTATCACGGATAGGACCAATACGAAAAATGGAACCATTTTGACTACCTAAACGCAATATATTAGAAAAGTGAAGAAATGATAACTACTTCATATGTTAATCTACATGGATGAGAACGTCAAAACGATGCGAAAAAGGCTAATCAAATTTGCTCATTTGTGAGAAAATTTCAAACAACCCACGGTTCTGCATGAGTTCTAAATGTCATTTGGTCTCACAGATAGTTAATTACTCACAACATAAGTAAACATCTTGGTGAAATGAATAAATATGTAACTATCCAATATGCCTATACACAGCCACTCTCTTCTGTTCTTGAGGTTGTGAACCTCAGTCGACTGTGATGGCTTGGGACATGTATTAGGTATGCCAAGCCATGGCTCAACATGCTATGCTAGGGGAAACTGGATTGGGTTGGAAGAGGGTTGAGGGTGGCCAGACCAAGATGTGGTACCAGTCAGTGAAGTCTCTAACAATGGGGTGATGTAAACTTCTTGGTTACGGTCTTCGAGACGAAAGGAATCAGTGGTTCAGGACTCTTGGTGATGTGGTTGAAAGTCAGTCACAATGAAGCAGATGTATTAACCCCTTGATATCTTCTGGAACTTGAAAATTTGCACTGACCTATATTTCCAAACTGTACATTCTTTATGTACTTCTGTGAAGTGTGGCGACTTGAGTCGATACACTTGTGTGCGAGGTTCTACGTTGACTGTGTGTGTGTGTTCTTGTAATCCATTAAACTCGGGTTTAATAGTGGTTAGCGATTCCATATTCAATCAACTGAATGATAACAAAAATGAAGGCTTGAGTTGTGTAAGTATTCAAACTAGGAGTTTCCAATTCACTGACACGATATTCAAGTAACTTGTCTAAAAGAATTCAACTGTTGATGAGACTGTAATTTCTGTGAATCGACAGAAATGTATCATTTCAATTTACTATACTTCATAGCTGAATGTGAAGTATAAGTGGATAGAAAAAAAAGTGATATTAAAGTAGGCGAAAGTGTTTAGCAAGAAAAAGAATTCTTAAAAAGAAAGTCAGCACTATTGTAACTCACTAATCAAGTATCATCAACCTTGAATTTCTATTATCTCGAGGACACCAAACACCCATACAGTCTGTACCTTCCCTACATGGATAAGACATCAACAGTCAAAGACTTCATGGAATATCACACACACTTAGCCACCATTCAATCCTAATCCCACTTCGGCTAACAACATTACACATCGAGGTACACTGTAGTGACTTAGTATGCACAATACATATTGAAGCTTCCCTCATCCTCAGTCAGTGAAGATTTACAGAGGCTCACCAACTGGCTTCCTTTCTTATTCATTACACTTAAATATCTAATGCATTATGAGTAATGAGTGAAAGAAATGCCAGAAAATGTTATTTTCTAACAATTATACTCTTTGAATACAAGAGATTAGATGAAGTAGTAAATAAAAGTACTTCATATATATGAAATTATTTAGTATTTTTCTACAGCATAATAATCAGGATATGTTTATGTACACAGTAATCGATATATAGCGATCCAGATGAAAACTAATATACAAGCTGACTATTAATTGTTTATAATATAATATTACCAATGATTATTAACAACCATTATGAATTTTATGTCTTTATTTTTATTGTTTATCGTAATCTATTAAAACAACAATAAAAACACTTTGATAGCTGAATGGCTCCACTTGAACATGTGATTTACACCAATATAATCAATACAATCCAATAGATCGAATCCAATTAGCTATGTTTTAGGATTGATTCATTTCAAAGTAGTTTTTATCATGTACTGATATCATTTGTAGTATCACTAAAAATCTACGGGAGTACTGGACATGACTTTCTAGTTGAGATCCATTTGGGTTGAAAAGAACTGTGAAGTCAATTTGTTTGTACTAACCAAAAAACTGAATTACTTGTCCGAACTCGTCAGCTGCATGTAACGGCACTCCAGTGTGGAGTGATGTTGTCTCCATTGAGACTCAAACCTCATACCTATCACTTCAAATACCAAAGTGTCATCTTTTAGGTCATTGAGGCACAATAGCCACCTGTCGAACAACGGGTATTAGTTATTATTATTTGTTGATACTTGTAATTCTCCCTTGTTATACTGGATCGACCTCTGTTGACATATGGGCTCGTATGCAGATGCCTCTAAATTACCTGATTATTAATTGGTCTGTTGGATCAAGCTTTAGCATTTGAAGTGGTGGGTAATAGGTTCGAATCTCAGTGGGAACAATATCACTCCGCACTGGAGTGCAGGTACATCAAGCTGACGAGTCTGAAACAGGACGAAATGATCATCCAAGATTCCACTGCCAGTCACAACTAAGTCAATAAGAAGCTATGATGTTAAACAATTTGAGTATGAAAATTAATTCTGGGTGGTAACTTTGAATGATGTTTGGACTATATCGCAAAATGACAGAAATTAGAAGAAAATGGACGACTAGATTTGAAACAATGTGGTTGAATAGTAAAGTTCTCATTCATCCCCCAAATTGTTGTCGGTGGATACTGCTGAAGATAAAACAGTGTTCTCACATTCTCAACAGTCTTTTTGGTTGGTGTTGATCAGTGATAAGAAACATCTTCAAATCAATTAACTCCTTACGAGCATCCAAAACAATTATAACAAAGGTTCCAAAAGAAATTAACCACTAAGTCTGATTGAATTATTCTAAAAGTATTTTAATACGATCCCAGAATATTTACAAAATCAAAGACAATAGTCTCCTATGTGTTTCTGTGATTACGTTGCGTTATGCTAAAATATTTTTTGTGATGAAATTCTTACAAAGCACTAAATGTGTTAGACTATGGGTCAAGCATAATGTAGTTGTTATGTAGTTGCCCAGACAGAATTATCCAGAGAAGGATTCGGACTCAGGATCTACCGTTTTTAAGTCAAGCGCTTCACACACCGAGGCATAGTTCTTACGATGGATTGCTTTCTTAACCAACTAAACTAACTAACATCAAACAATTGCATACAAGTAGGTTAAGCCAGTTTATGTATGTCTGAATCTTCGTGATTGTGGTGGACTGGATCATGCAGCAAACAGTGAGGAGCGAGAAGATGGGTATACGCTGGACCGCGGAAAAGAACCTAGAAGATTTGGTTTTCGCCGATGACCTGTGTCTAGTGTCACACAAACTTGAAGGTCTACAGGTGAAAACTAACAAGTTGGCAGAAGAGGCAGCGAAGACGGGACTTCAAGTGAATGTAGAGAAGATAGAGGTGATGATGATATCCAACCAACACCATCGCCACCACCACCAACAGGCTCCAATCACCATCAACAGGAGAAACTTAAAGGAAGTAGCCTCTTTCACCTATATACGCAGGCAGCACTGTTTCAACTACAGGCAGCACAGACAAGGACGTCAAGGCCAGTCAGGATCGGAAAAGCAAGACAGGCGTTCATTAACCTGAAACCAGTGTGGAGATCTTCGGCACTCAGCATGTGGAACAACATCCGTATTTTTCAACACCAATGTCAAGTCAGTGCTTCTGTGTGATGGGTGAGAGACTTGGCGCGTCATGAAAGGCAATGCCAACGAACTACAGACATTCATCAACAACTGCCATTTACGCTCACTCGTTACTGAAGATCAGATCAATTGTCAGAAAGAATAAGCAACAAGGAACTATGGCTGTCAACGAACCAACCAAGAACATATCGCTCAACAAATATGCACTAGAAGGAAGTGGAGATGGATTGGGCATACACTGAGAAGACAATTCGGGGACATCACGCGACAGGCCAGGTCGTCGAGTGAAACTCCTATGGGAAGCGATGAGTTGGGCGTCCCATGTGAGGGTGACATGGAGGAGATGGTGTGAGGAAGAAATGAGAGCTTCTGGGCTGTCGTGGAACCAGGTTCAAAAGATTTCAGAGAACAGAGTGCACTGGAAACGTGCTACTGAAGCCCTATGTTCCATTAGGAACCCAAGCGACAAATAATAATAATAATTTAGTAGTACACCTAATCCTAACCCTAACCCTAAACCAATGATAATACTAATAATAGTAATAACGATAATAATAACAGTGTTACGAAAGAAGATTGAAAAATTATAATCTACAAATATATTGAAAAATTAAAACTAACCAAAATAAATTGATTGTCTAAACTTTTCTGCATCAACACCTGTGCTCTGATTGCTTGTTGGTTGTACATTAGCAGTAGACTGTTGTAGTGATTGTGACTGTTTCATTGAATTAACAAAGTCGATACGATTTGAAATATCCAGGCTATTACTACTACTATTAATACCAACACTATTAGTGGGAATAGTCTGATTAACTGTTGAAGATCCTGATGCCGATATTGTAGACGATGAAGATGATGGTTTAACAGATAAAAGGGCATGTCGAAAACGATTAGCTACACGAAGTGAACAAGTTGTACGTGATGGTAAGCGCATATCAGCACAGCGAACAAGACGTCTTCCTGAACGACTAGAAGGATCTAATGGATCATAACTATAGATGGCTACATTTCCAAGTTCATCAGACACTAGAATAAATAATGCAGAATAAATAGGAAAGAATGCAATTGGTAAATATACAAAAGAAATTGACTTTTTAATCAAAACAACAAACGATGACACCCATTCACAGCAACATTGTTGCGCATTTGTGCAGTAGGCAATGAGCCACATGTTTATATAGTATGAAGGTTAATGATACTGACTGGCTGGTTGGCCAAACCTCGGTAGATGGGGGGATGGCTCAAACCCGTGACCCCAAATCAGTGAACCATAGCTCCATCGCAACACATGTCCAAAGCATTTTAGTCAATGAAAGTTCATACACTATCTCCTCATATGAAAAACTATGTTTGTCAACTGCAATCCAACTTTGTAGTCGATTCATGTAAATTCGATGTTAAACAAGATTTTAGACAAGAAAAGGGTGGAATTTGAAAACACTATAACGGAAATAAATAGTCACTCCAGGTTCAGGGCTTCCTGTCGATTGCCTTCAACCAACTAACATCTACTAGTGTGTACCACGATGCTGAGCCTTCTAGCTCGGTGACCACATTGCAAATATGATCGATAGGATTCAGTCTGCATTCAGGACTAGACAACATGAAATTGGTTGCTCTCCCGTGACCAATCATTACAAGTAATCACTGCATATCGAATAAGCTATTTCAGTTCAAATAAGGAAACTTATAGAAAAAACAGATGACTGATTACATTGTAATCCACTTTTAATTTGGAGAAACTCAAAGGAAGTAGCCTCTTTCACCTATATACGCAGGCAGCACTGTTTCAACTACAGGCAGCACAGACAAGGACGTCAAAGCAGCCATGATCAGAAAAGCAAGACAGGTGTTCATTAACCTGAAACCAGTGTGGAGATCTTCTGCACTCAGCATGTGGAACAACATCCGTATTTTTCAACATCAACGTCAAGTCAGTGCTTTTGTATGGTTCAAAGACTTGGGGCTTTATGAAAGGGATTTTCAACAAACTACAGACATTCATCAACAACTGTCACCTACGCTCACTCGTTACTGAAGATCAGATCAATTGTCAGAAAGAATAAGCAACAAGGAACTATGGCTGTCAACGAACCAACCAAGAACATATCGCTCAACAAATATGCACTAGAAGGAAGTGGAGATGGATTGGGCATACACTGAGAAGACAATTCGGGGACATCACGCGACAGGCCAGGTCGTCGAGTGAAACTCCTATGGGAAGCGATGAGTTGGGCGTCCCATGTGAGGGTGACATGGAGGAGATGGTGTGAGGAAGAAATGAGAGCTTCTGGGCTGTCGTGGAACCAGGTTCAAAAGATTTCAGAGAACAGAGTGCACTGGAAACGTGCTACTGAAGCCCTATGTTCCATTAGGAACCCAAGCGACAAATAAACATAATATAATAATAGAAAATAAAGAAGGAGAGGATGACGAATAACTTATGTGAAATATTTGCCGCATAACACTCTCGACCATCGATGTCTTTAGAGTTACAAGCAAACAGACAATGATATCCAAGGTTATCCTAGGAATCAATTATTTACGCAGACAGAATTCCTTCTGCCAAAAAAAAATCCAAGCTGTACACCTAAACAACTGTCGTTATGTATTCACAGGAAAAAAGAAATACGGAAGGAAAAACCCAGAAAATACTCACGCACTCACTCACCCATAAAGCCTAGTCGTCGACCATCTACAAAGAAGTTGGATGTATACACCTCTCTGGAGACATTATCTCGACTGACAACTGATAGAACACGTAAATCTGATTGAAATCTCAACAGTTGAACAGATTTTAATACATCCGCGGCTAAAACTAAATTTTTTACACATAATAAACTATGTATGTATAATTCTGAGTCAACAAAAGCCACTCCGACAAGATCAGTATTCTTCAGTGACCAGATGTAGATCTTAAAAAAAATTAGTAAAAAGTAAAATTATATAAAATTAAAGCATAAATAAATTTATTTTCAAAGTTTTATTTTGTATTGCATTTGGAAGTAAAAATAAAATTATGATCAGGACTGAAAACCATTCTTAATTAACCAACTAAAATCTTAGTCAATAATCTTACTTGTATAGCTTAGGCTCATTGATTTAGGAAGATGATTTTTCACCAGTGGGTCATGGGTTCGAACCCTGCTACTAGATAGTATCAAGGTTGTTGCCAACTGCACGAAAGTGCAGAAGGTTACTGAGTGGAGTTCAAAAAGAAATCCAGTAAATAATGATGTCCCATTATGTAATACATCTAATAAATCAACTAGTATCGAATTAAAATATACCACAGTGCCTAAGTTTTACTTGTATACGGTCTCTTTCTCTCTCTCTAGGATAGTCAAGATTGTCAGCGAGTTGACTTCAGTTTCGTTGAATGGTTAGTAGGTATATTCAAGCTTTTGAAGATGTCAAGGAGTGGGCACACCTGCGTCTTTCTAACCAATTTTCATTTACGTCACCAAGAGTCCTCAACCCCTGATTCCTTCCATCTAGAAGACTCCAGTAAGGTTATTTACATCTCCAAACACCACTCAGACCAACAGTCAGGTGCTACATTTTGGTCTGGCCACTCTGAAACCTACTCCAATTTTCCTTAGCATTACACATTCACGTAGGGGGTGACTCAGCATGTGTAACATATGCCCAAGCCATCTCAATCGATGAAGGTTCACAATCTTATCAATCCACATGACTGTCTTACCTAGTGCTCTTATTCTGACGTCAAAGTTGCTCACACAAAGATCCCACCAAAGGCGAGCAATTCCACGAAGACACCCTTTGGTAAAACACATGTTGTTGCTGCATATTTTCAACTTTTAACGACCATATCTCACAGCCGTATATTAGGATAGAAAGGATTGTAGTGTAGTACACTCATCCGTTGACAGGTAGTTGGATATCTTGCCAGTCGGTGCCACAGATGACGTAAGTCGGCAAATACCAAATAGGCCTTCTGTATCCACGCTGAGATTTCATCAACAACCAGGTCATTCAGGTTGATGCGACTCTCCAAGTAAGTGAAGTGGTCGACACAGTCTACTACTGTACGCTTTCAGAAGACCCTGCATTCTGTCAGCGTCACCACCCAGCAGGACAATATCGTCTGCATACTCCAAGTCAACTTACAGATGGAATAAATCATGCTCCAGCTACTCTTGAATCAACGGCATTTACTCACTAGATAGGTGAACTAAACACTTAGAGTGTGTTTTATTCCTTCTATTGGTTGACTTTCCAGCTTTCGGTGGAAAATACAAAGGTGAGTCAAAGAGCTGATTTACTCAGTTAAGTTACCGATGTAAATTGAGAATAACTGAACCCAAGGCATGATTCACACAGTCTAACTGATGAATTTTACAACTAAATTAAGCCGAGTGAAAGAATTTGAGAGCAATTCTCATTACTTATTAAACTCTCACTTCTCAGAGTGAATTTTGAAGCAAACGGTCATCTTAGTGAAGAGATAAAGTGCTTATTTCTACAGGAAAAGTAACTGTCTGTTCTGACTTACCTTTTGTCCAACAGCACTGATCAAATGGCCTTGACAACTGGTCAACGCTGTCACAGGTCCTTTTTGTTCACCATCATGGATAACTTTCAACTTGTGACGTGTGAGTGGTTGACCAGGTTCAGGGACTACATCAATTACATCTAAGATTAGAATTCGACCACGTACAGGTATTTCTTCCCCATACGATAAATTTGCGCCTACAACTAAATAGTCTTTTGTACCATGAAATGTTTGTTCCGAAGCTAATTGAGCTGTAATCAAGCAAGTGACAACCTCCCATGGTTCGAATTCAATGCTAGAACAAAACAACAATTGAATAAAATATAAATTTTAGAAAAATAAAATTAAAATATAATTAGTTTTGATGGTGTGTATCCTCTTAGCTGGATTATTCAATCATGGAGCTTTCGTTATCATTCTAGACAATATCACTAGCACAAACTTCAGGTAGATGTGAGCTATATGGTTTTCTCCCCAATTTAGAAGTTTGTCCTGATGACCTTGTATAAGGTTGGGTGTTTCGCCCAAAGTCTCGTTATTATCTCCATGCTTAATTTGATTGGTTGTCCTGATAACTTGAAATTTGACCTTATTAGTTGATAGATTGGGTCAATGTCAATACATCTGAGGACTGACCTGGATATCAAGCTTCAAAAAATTCTCCCACATTCTTTGTAAGTATACAGAAAACCAACTCATACAGATCGAATCCTCAACTACAATGGCAGCAACCCAACAGCATACAAAAATCAGTTGTATAAAGAAACATTGTTCAAAAGAGCGAAGATATACTGTAGCACATCAACTCCGCGCAACGAAAAAAAAACTATTTGATGACTGTTTTCTAGAAGAACGGCTATCCATGCAACTTCGCCAAAATATATTTACATAATTCATCATCAACCACGAAGTCAACCTCGAAAACTAACAAACGGACTGTCATACCCTATATAAAGATCATTACCGAGATCACGACTAGATTATTGAAGCCTTTTGAAATCGCTGTATCTCACAAGCCCAAAAAATTTCTTCTCTCTGTTATGCAGGCCAAAAGATACAATAGCAAAGAAAGACACTACAAATATTATCTACAAAATAAACTACAGAAACTGTGAGAAACACTATATCAGACAAAGTGGTCGCACTTATCGCATCCTTCTACATGAGTAACCAACCAGCAGTGAAATGTCATGACATATCTTCGCTAATATCAACGCATATAGGCAACTGTGGACATGAAGTTGACTGGGGAAATGTCGAAATCTAGGATGGAGGAAATACAAAGAGTATCAGAGAATTTTTAGAAGCTTCGCATTCACGTCAGTTACAGCAATCAACAGACATACTGATATTGACCCAATCTATCAACCAATAAGGAACAACAAGAAAATCAAATTTCAGGTCATTGGGACAACCAATCAAAATAAACATGGAGATAATGACGAGACCTTGGGAAAAACAACCAACCGTACACAAGGCCATCAACACAAACTACTAAGTAAATTGCGGAGAGAGCCTGACTGCTCACCTTATTCTGAAGTTTATGCTGATAATGCTTCCTGGAATGACAACGAAAGCTCTACGATTAAACAATGAAGCTCAAAGAACCCAACACCACCAAAGTTATCCTCATGAATAACAAATGTAAACATTCAGCCCTATCAGTTCTCTATCTAAATGATATTCATCCACAAAGAAGTTATCTAAAGTAAAAACAAACGATTTGGATTGACTTAGCATTATTCGAACAATGGATTTCAGTTTCAACTTGAATATCCGTTCAAGTTGTAGATTATGTGCGAAAAATAAAGATCAAAACGTCATCCACTAAATAATATTGAATCAGTTATATGTTTCATCAAATACACACATTCCAACTGAACAACATTCAGAGTAAGGATAAACACTTTCTAAAGATTCGTGGTGTTGAGGATGTCCCCAAGAATGGTGAGATGAAACATTCACAACAAAGCATAGACAACACCTGATCGCCATTATCCTGATTCTGAGACGCAAACCTTTTTCCATCATTACAATCTAATAAGACGAAATATACCTATTTCTTCATAAATAAGAACAAGACATACATCCAAGAAAAAATATTTCTTTTCAATGGTTTCATTATCAATCGGTACAGTCGTATTTATCATCAGTAAAATGACAGATGATTCAACTAAAACAGTTGCTCACTCCGTAAACAAAATGGTAGGACTGCTTCATGTGGAAGAAATAGAAAATGGTCACTGAATAAAGAACGAAATGAGATAACAAGTAGTGAGATAAGGGCCAGTTGCTGTCATTGAAGTGGAAAATAGTGATAATGATGATGATGATAATGAAAGAGAAGTATACCAAAGTGAAGTGAAATGAAATTGGTAAAAGTAACCAACAAGGACTTGTTAAGGCCAGTATAAACAAAGCGGTTTCACAAAATGCTTTCGAATGAATACTTTTGGTTTCTGTTCATGTATAGCCAATGCTTCAGCTATGCATATGTGGTGGAAACGTAAATTACCTTAAAGGATGAATGTCGAGTAGCTGAGCAACCTAACTCTACAAGGTGTTCACATATGGCTGAAGTTGTTTTTCTTCGCTCACCTTTGGTAAGTCTAACCGGGTAGTGTTCAGTAACGCGTTTTGGCAGGGTCCACTTACAACGTTCAATATATAGTCAACTCCACAGGAGCATGTGAATTTGTAGATACACATAGATGTGGACATGAGTGGTAGCCTATTCTTCACACATTATCGAATCAGACGACGGCTGGATAAAATCAATCTCAGACTAGTAGCATAAAAAGTACTATTGATACACTTTGACAGATGCTTTACAGCACTTCGGCTGTGGTGTATCCTTTTAATTCCAGATTCATGCTTAAGATAATCTTAGGAACTGTGATAGGTTGAGAGGTGGTTCATTTCTTCAGATTTGTATCGATAAATCTTTGAGGGTATCCGTTATACGATAGTATTATTCTAAGAGTTTCATCTGAAAATAATCCCAGAATCTATAAAATCTACACCACAGTGCTCAAATTTTACTTCTACATCAAAATGTCTCATTGAAGAATGCAATTCATCCCAGTAGAAGCATATGCAAAAGGCTACTAGGTACATTTAATGTGTAAGGGGTTATAAAACAACCTAGCTGTCCAGGCGGGTTGGTGACAACAGGTTAAGTGTACGATGCAGCATATTTCACTCTGGCTTATTCTATGAATGTGAATAAAAACCATAAAAGGTGAGGGGCACAAAAACGTTACAGGCGTTCAATAATTACTATATCAGAAGTATTGATCACATATCTCGTGGAACGACAGAGTTAGTGTTGTACAGGAGAGATATAGAGTCGAAAGCAAAAGATGTAAACTAGTTGTTGGGTATGTAAGCCTTCATCGACTCCAGTGACTGGAACATGTATTACGTATACCTAATCACTATCTATCTCGTTTAATACTGTTAGCTGAAGCAGGTTCAAGCTGAAAAAACCTTAGACTAAAACATGGCATCAGTGATTGAAGTCTTTGACTGTTGGTTTGAGCTTTGTACGAAAATGTAGACTTCTCGGTTGGGTTCCATATGACAACAGAGACCAGTGGTTGGAGGCTCTAGATAATATCTTTATCCTAGCCATCATTTCACATTTCATGATTTGATTTACGCCCTCTTCTTATGGTTTACTACGACTACTATTACTAGAAGGTTTATCATCGCGGTGCACTGTTTATTCTTAAGTGACAGATCAGTTTAACTAATCCAGTCCTACAGGGGGTCAATCACGTCTCGAATAACTCATGAGGTAACGTCTCTGACTGCAACACTCAGTGGTGCGGGTTGGAATCTCAGACGGGACATCAGTTCCACCAAGTGCTAAAAAGTAGGAAACCTTGATCTAAAGCTTTCTCCTACACTTTCTCACATAACAAAAACTGGTCAGCTGAAGGTTAGACGTAAAACAACTCCTAACCAGTTGTCACTTATCCTATAGATAACAATAGGCCATATAAGGTATGATTACATGAGTATAGACTGGTGATAACAAAAAGAAGTATTGAATGAGATGATGATGATCATAGTAATAACATTAATAGCTTCAATGACTTACAGTGTACTTGGAATCACTTGCCATGGAGATTGTTTATTATTATGATTAGCATTTAAATTCGGTGCATACATTTGTAAGGAGTAATAATCTAATGCAGGGAGAACACATGTTTTTGGACGAATTAAAACATCTTCTTCTTTATTACCTTCAGCATTTAATCGAAATACAGATTTACACGGTTTTGAATGAATACCGACTACAGCGTACGTCTAAGATACAAGAAAAAAAAAACAATTTGCATATATGTAATACAAAAATTTATTCATATTATCAAGGTGTCACTTCATCAAAATAATGAACTTTAGGGTTAAGTAGCAAAGTTTTTTAAATAGGCTTTGTATAAATGGTGTAATTTTTGAAAGGAGAGTTCATGTTCGTTGGGATAGGCAAGTCAACTGATGAAGTTATGAGTTTTCATTGGTTGAAGTGGCTTGGACATATACTGCGCATACCGACCCACTACCTACCTCGATATGTAATCCTAGGGGAATCCCTTCAAACACTTAATCCTACTCCAAAAATATGCTTCCGATATATATATATATATATATATATATATATATATATATATATATATATATATATATATATATAATACCTCTACAATACTGAAATCGTAACACATCAGTAGGCTCGTATGATTTTGGAATAATGGAGAATATTTGTAGCTCAGGTGGATAGTCTCAGAGAACACAATACAATCAAGAACATGAATAGGCTTTTGGCACATGTAAATTCAGCTATGAATCCAATCCAATTCACCTGTAAGTTAGAAAGTGATGAAGGTGATCTAGCAATGTTGGATTGCAAGATTAAACAAACACAAGATGTAAGTTTGGGGACTAGTATCTATAAAAAAACCCTCCCATTCGAATCAATACTTAGACCTCAAATCATCTCACGCCATCTCAGTTAAAGTAGGCTTAATTAAATGCCATAGTGATAGGATAGAAAACCTTACCAGTAGGCCAAGAAATTTATGATAAGAAATTAGATACATCAAGAATACCTGACGCCTCAATAATTACTCATCTAAATCTATCAATCAATTCATACCAGGAATGTAAAGAAATAAATCAGCTGTAGTATTAGTAATTCAGATGTTATCAATAATAATTCTACTTATTATTATTATTATTAGTCCCTTGGGTTCCGAGTGGAACATAGGGCTTCAGTAGCACGCCTCCAGTGACCTCTGTTCTCTGAGATCTTTTGAACCTGGTTCCACGACAGCCCAGAAGCTCTCATTTCCTCCTCGCATGACCTCCTCCATGTCACCCTCGGACGTCCAACTCGTCGCTTCCCATAGGGATTCCACTCGAGGGCCTGACGCGTGATGTCCTCAGTCGGCCTTCTCAGTGCATGCCCAATCCATCTCCACTTCTTCCTGCATATTTGTTGCGTGATAGGTTCTTGGTTGCTTCGTTCCCAGAGTTCCTTGTTGCTTATTTTTTCTGGCCATCTGATCTTCAGCAACGAGCGTAAGCAGTTGTTGATGAATGTCTGTAGTTTATTGGAAATACCTTTCGTGGCGCGCCAAGTCTCTGAGCCATACAAGAGCACTGACTTGACGTTGGTGTTGAAAATCCGTATCTTGTTCCGCATGCTGAGTGCAGAAGATCTCCACACTGGTTTCAGGCTAATGAACGCCTGTCTTGCTTTTCCGATTCTGACTTTGACGTCCTCGTCCGTCCCGCCTGTAGTTGAAACAGTGCTTCCTAGATAAGTGAAGGAGGTTACTTCCTTCAAGTTTCTCCCGTTGACGGTGATTGGAGTTTGTTGTTGTTGTTGATGGTGGTGGTGCGGTATCTTCATCACTTCTGTCTTCTCTATATTCACCTGAAGTCCCGTCTTAGCTGCCTCTTCTGTCAACTTGTTAGTTTTTGCCTGCAGATCTTCAAGTTTATGTGACATTAGGCACAAGTCATCGGCGAAATCCAAGTCTTCTAGGTTCTTTTCCGTCGTCCAGTGTATCCCCCTCTTCTCGCTGCCTACTGTTTGCTGCATGATCCAGTCCACCACAATAAGGAATATCATGGGGGATAGTAGGCAACCTTGTTTCACTCCTGTCTTCACTTCAAAGGCATCACTGAGCTTCCCATTGTGGATTACTTGGCATGTGGCATCTTCATATAGTTGTTGAATGAGGCGGATAAAGGTTTGCGGTACTCCGTAGTATTGAAGCAGTTTCCAAATTACTTCTCGGTCGACGCTGTCAAAGGCCTTCTCAAAGTCGATGAAGTTGAGGTATAGAGCTGATTGCCATTCTACGCTCTGTTCTATGATGATACGAAGCGTTGCAATTTGGTCAGCACATGATTTGTACTTCCTGAAGCCTGCCTGTTCCGGTCGCAGTTTTGAATCCAGTGCGTCTTTAAGCCTCTCCAGGATGATGCGGCTTAATATTTTACTTGGGGTGGACAGGAGAGTGATTCCGCGCCAGTTCTTGCAAGCACTGAGGTCTCCCTTCTTCGGCAATTTGACAAGGTAACCCTTCTTCCAATCGTCAGGTACCTTCTCTTCCTTCCACACCTTCTGCAATAGTGGTGTGAGCATGTCCGCTGTTGTCTCTGCATCTGTTCTCAGTGCTTCTGGCGGTATTCCATCTGGTCCTGCTGCTTTCCCACCTTTCAGTAGCTTTATGGCGTTCAGGACTTCCATTTTCGTTGGGGGATTTATGTTCACTTGTAATTCAGCGGCTGCAGGTGGTATTTCTGGACGAAGTGCAGGTGGTGGTCGATTCAAGAGCTTCTTGAAGTGGTCGGCCCATCGTTTCCTCTGTTTCTCTTCTTTTGTAATTAAATTTCCTTCTTCATCTTTTATTGGTTTCATCTGTGTTGGTCTCTTCCCTGATAGCAACCTGGTTATTTGATACAATGTCGTCAGGTCTCTCTTACCTGCAGCCTGTTCTGCTTCACTTGCCAGTGTGTCGTAGAAGTGTCTTTTGTCTTTGCGTGCACTCTTCTTCACTTCTTTGTCCAGTGTTTTATACATTGTGCTCAGTTCCTCTTGTCGTTGAGCATCCTTGCACTGGTTTATCTTCTGCTTCACCATCCTCCTCTCCTCTATCAGCTTCCAGGTATCCGTCGAGATCCATTCCTTGTCTTCTTTCTTCTTCCTTCCTAATACGGCTGTGCAGGTTTCTTTCCACACAGCTTTCAAAGACTTCCAGTGTTCTTCCACACAGGTTTCTTCAGGGATGTCCCTCGACGTCTCCCATTTTGTCTTGATGGCTGCTTTGAAGATCTCCTTTGTAGTTTCATCCTTCAGTTTCCGAGTGTTGTACTTGAATTGAGGTCTATCACCAGCTTCCTTGAAGGCTTTTAACTTGATTTGGAAGGTTCCTTGCACTAGATAGTGGTCTGAACCTACATCTGCTCCTCTTCTTGACCTTGTGTTAAGTAGACTGCGTCTCCATTTTCTTGAGATTGAGATAAAGTCGATTTGATTTTTAGTGTGTCCATCTGGTGAAGTCCATGTCGCTTTGTGGATATCCTTGTGCCTGAACACACTGCCTCCAATCACCAAATCGTTGAATGCACAGAATTCTGCAAACAATTCTCCATTCTCATTCATTTCACCTAGCGCCTCTCGACCCATGGTTAGTTCTCTTCCCGTATTGTCCCCTCCCAGTTTGGCATTCATGTCGCCCATTAGAATTTTGATATCGCCAACTGACGTCTTGTCCAGTGTTGATTGAAGTTGTCTGTAGAAATCCTCCTTTTTCTCTTGCTCTGCATTATTTGTAGGTGCATAACATTGTATGATTGTGACCTTTCTTCCTTTTGAGTTGAACCTTGCTGTCATGATCCTGGAGGAGATTGGTTCCCACTGCATGAGAGCCTTCGATGCTCTTGAGGACATCATGATAGCCACTCCCTCAGTGTGCTCGTGGTTGGCGTCTGGGTGACCGGAGTAGATTATTGATTCTCCAGTTGACAGTTTGGAGAGTCCACTCCCATTCCATCTGCTTTCGCAAATCCCAAGCACTTCGATGTTATACCTTCTCATCTCCTTTGCAATCTGGGCTGCCTTACTGGGTTCAAACATCGTGCGGACATTCCATGTCCCCACGTTTACTTTCGCTTTCATCGAGAGAAGACACATCGGCCAATTGGCTTCCCGAAGGCTTTCACCAACTGGCGTCATTTCGCCTCTCCGATTCCAGCGGGGTATAAGTTTGTTTTCATTTTTTATATTTTGTTTGTGCTTTGAAGTTTCTTTAGCGGTTAGATTTGTTTTACGGGGTAGGGTTGCTAGCCCTATGCCCAACCTTCCCTCTTTACCCGGGCTTAGGACCGGCTAGTAACTAGTAAACTAGTTAACCAGGCGAGGTTAATAATTCTACTACTAATAGTAATATTGGTAACAGGGTTGAAGAAGAATTCACTACCGTGTTACCATACAAGGAAAGCACATCAGAAGCATTACAAGGAATTCTCGATAAGGCTGGCTGGGATTAGAGTGGCATTTGAACCAACAAACTCGCTTAGAAACAAGTTTTGTAGGTTAAAATACCCTATTGATGCAATTAAGCAAAATAAACCGGTTTACCGAATCTCTTGCAACGATGGTCAGGTTAAATACATAGGTCGAAATAGTCAACCAAGGTCAACTAGAATAACAGAGTACAAAAACTCAGCTAAATCAAGATTAGTAGATAGTAATAAGATAAGAAATTTAGAGAAAAGCTCAGCTACAGCTTTGCACACAATTACACACGACCACATAGTAGGGTAGGATAGAGCGACAGCATTAAAATATAACTTAGTTGGATGGAAGGAGGGAGAGATTGATAACCGAATCTTTGTTTATCGAATCAACACCAAACACATACAATTATAGAAATGATTCTGCACCTGTTTGTATGGAAAAACTAGCAGTACATAAAGTTGTGGAGTTACCTGATATGAATATAGACAATAAATTGTGTTCGAAACGCTATCCAGTAAGTGATACTGTTTCACTGTGTGACAATTATAATGAACAGACTGAAATGGAATTAAAGTCTACCACAATGCCCAAGTTTCACTCCTATATGAAGCTGGATTGGGTTAGAAGAAGGTTCATGGTAGTCAGACCAAAACGTGGCACTAGTCCACGAAGTCCATGACTCTTGATCTCACCCATGTGTGGAGATGAAGATTAGATGATTGAGGTCCTCAAGATGATAGAAATCAGTGGTTGAGAACTCTTGATGACATGGCTAGAGATCAGTTTCAATGGCACAGATGTATTGAATATAATAATAACCAATTCGACAATGAAACTTCAACACTTTGTTTAGACCGACAATTAGATATTACAGGAGCCCGAGATATATTTCCCCCGAAGTGTATTACTAGTAGAACAACGAAACTAGTATGATGCATGATCTACAGTTTTATTTGCTTCACCTTCAAAATATTTATCATTTTGTATCTAGATCAACGCAGTAGCGTTGTAACTCATTGGCTTTCAAACAATGGGTCCTGAGTTCGAATCCCACTCCACCTACACGGATCTGAGAAACTGGGTAACTAACATTAACTCTCACATAGCTTATCAAATGATGACACCAAGCAAAAAAATTATCAGCATTTAAAAACTATTGCACAAAAATAAATTGCACTATTTGTTGAGATGTTAAAGATTGTGGTTAAACGTTGAATAATAATAATAATAATAATAATGATAATAATAATAACAATAATAATAATTTTATTCATGGAATTCAGATAACCTTCTATTCAAGTTACCGCCCTCCATAACCTTGAAATGTTAAGTTGGACAGGGAAATCATCAAGATGACCTTGACTTTAATATACTAACTTAAAAATGTAAGAAAAATTGAACCGTTTATACGAGTTAAAATCCAAATTACAAACCCTTACCTTACTCTCCACATGATATTGTACATAATAAGGTACTGGATCAAAAGTTATCCATTTCATTCCTAAGTGTTCATTAAATGAATAACCTGGAGGTAAGGTGGCTAAACGCATTTCATTCTGTGATTAAAAAAAAAAACAAAGAACAAAATAAGCAAATAAAACATTGATTAGGAAAACATTTTAAAGCCAAATATTCAATGAATTAAAAGTAATTCATCATATAGAAATAAAATCTAGTTGACAAATTATTCACTTACTTTATAGATGTTTAAATCATCAGGTTAGAATTCGATGATTTGAAAATACTTAGGCATTATTATTTTGATACTTGTATCTTCCAATGAATATAAAATTAAAATAAATTTGTTTTAACTAACCTTTTTACTATCCAATACTACTAATATCTTTATCAAAATGATAATAAAACCGGAATTGAAAATATCCCTTAAGCTTACATATATGAATGATAACTTGATATAAGTTGTTCTGGATGGATGATTCTGAACTGTCAAATAATTGAACAAAAACGATGCCCTTGATATAGTATGTTGTGTCCGAAGTAAGTGAATTACAGATTGAGATTTGTGAGTACACATATGTTGATAGTTCTTACCTTATATATGTTGGTTATATCAGTAAGGTGAGGATGGTTGGGTTGAGACCAGGTTAGATCACATTTTTACTCCTTTATATTCCTATTTAGACAAATTTGATTCCAATTTATGTGAAACGATTCTGCTGCAAGATGTTCTCAATAATTTCAATATTATTATTTTGACTACTATCTGAGATAGCAGTGGGTTTGGTAGACTAGTATTTATAATACTGAGTGATGATTGAAAGTGAAATGAAAATTTGGACCGAGGCCGGATTTGAACCAGAAACCACCGGCTTTTTGGTCCAGTGTTCTATCAACTGAACTACGAAGTCCGACTGTTGACCAGATTTTTCTTTCACTTCAATACCCAAGGGTTTTTATCCGACTACCATATGTATTCGTGATGAGTTGCTACCACTTAATCACACTCACACTGACTGCCGAGTCATGACTTCTCATTCCAATCCAAATTTAACTGAATTAGAGAGAAAGAGCATCATATTATTATGTTGACCACTATCTGAGATAGCCGTGGTTTGGCAGACTAGCATTTATACTGGGTAATGATTGAAGGTGAAATGAAAATTCGAACTGCAGCCGGATCAAGCGGTAGTAACGTATCATGAATTCACATGGTAGTCAGGCAAAATCCTTGGTGACTGAAGTGAAATAAAAATCTGGTCGGTGCCCGGACTTTGTAGCCCAGTTGGTAGAGCATTGGACCTGAAACCCGGTGGTTGCTGGTTCGAATCCGGCCACGGTACAAATTTCCGTTTCAGTTTAGAAATTATGAAGAACGTCTCGTAGTAGAATCATTTTATATAAAGTGGAATCAAAATTGTCTAAATAGCAATGAAGGACTCTTTGAACAGTCTCAAGATGGTGGATATGAACTTGAAGTATTTAGTGATACACTTTGAACATATTCAACAAATGGTTATCTTTACAGCATTTCAGCTTCTTGATACACAGATTTTTTAAACCGAGTTATTCGTTAGAAGAAATAAAGCATTCATTACTTTTCAGCAGCAGAAGATAGGAGGAACCTACAGCATGACCACCACTCGTTTCCATTCTGAGCCATTCCTGGTAACGTCTTAAGCTGCTGAGCTGCGTGGTCTCTCGGACCCCAACCCCACTCAGGGAGTTGTGATGCAGCAACAGATGCCAACCTGATGCAACTATCATTCATTCTAAGGCGCCACGTCATACACTCATCACCCCTCCGCTTCTACCATCCAGTCCATGACTAACAAACAATGAACATAATGGAAGCCATTGGGACGACATGCGTAGCATATGTCCAAGCCACCGAAGTCAATGTATTCAGATGACTTCATTTATTGCATAGCGCTCCTCATCATGCTCGAACACTCGCTGTCGTAACTCAGAATTACTTACATGGTGTTGTCACCAGATACGAGCAATCCTATGGAGATAACGATGATTGAACACAGAGTCATCGCATATCCTCAGCTCGGAGTTTCACAGGTGTAGAGCAAGACTACTCACACTGGAGCGTTTCAAATCCGACCTTCTGCGGTCAAACTAACATCACGACGGCGCCAAAGGTGGTCCAGATTGACGTGTAACACTCTGGCTTTCGATATGCAGTTGGAAACCTCACCACTCACATCTTCATCAGCAATCACATAACTATTCAGATACACGAACAACTTTTCAACTACTTCTAATGGCTCACCACCAAGGGTGAGCGCAGACACAGGCTCCTACCAATCTTGCCATACCTATGAATACCCGCGAAGAATTATTGTTTGACAAACCATACTGACATTTTAACCATTAAGTGTGTATACATTAATTAACTGTGATTGTGTAGCTACTGAAAAATGATGTCGTCGAAAACGAATTACTTCACTGAAGTCTTTCTTCTTACATGACTTAGTGGGAATATTTATCATGTTTGAAAAACAGTAAGGACGTTTTGACAATGTAAGAATACAATGATTTCTTGCATTACTCAGTCAAGCTTGTCTTTGCAAAACATGGAACTAATTTTCTAGAAAGTTATACTGAACATTATAGGATATCATGAACGATATTAAAAATCTCCTTTAAAGTGGTCCTATTCATCAAAATTCAAGAGAATGAAATAGAATACACACTTAGCAACCTTGTGCAATTCATGTAATGAGGGAATGAACCTCATGTATTGTATGAGGGTTGCTGAAACCTCAGTAGATAGAACGAGGTTCGAACCTATGCATGACCCAATGGTTGAGATTTATCACACGAAACCAATAAGCCATAGTTCACGAACGCTAGAATGTCATAAACTGAATCACATTGACGTTATTCAATATCATTCATCACCTTTACTAGATAGAGACAGAAAGGGATTAATGACAACAAATAACTTGCAAATGACGTCCAGATCAATAAGAAAAGGTAACAAATTCATATGTGAATAATCATTCGTTTGGATAGATAACATTTTAGCGAATATACAAATGTGAACAAGAAAATTATTCATTTATTCAGATTAATGGAATGTCAGCGTAAATTAGAATGCCTAGTTTAATGCCGACTGAGTTATCCTTAAAGCTTAAATTCCGTTTATAAGTTATTTTAATGTCAAAGTAAACCAGGAGATCATTATCGACATCCAACCCTACCCAGTTGTTCTTCCCCAAGAGGTTGCAGTGAAAGCACTGACAATTATCAGCGACTTGACATAGACTAACTAATGATAATCTGAGTCACTTGTGTAACTAAAGTCTTATTTATTTAATTGACTAACATAACATTTAGGTTACGATGAATCATGTCGAGCTAAACAGCTATTACGTAAGGATTACCGCGTTATTACAAACTCATGAACCATTGAATAAAACATACCTTTCCATAGCAATGATTACATGATTACATGGATGTTAATTTGAAACAGTGCTATTTCGCAATTCATCGTCTGTTCCATACACTTCTGTAGAGTGTAAACATATAACCATTGGTGAATAAATTTGACAAGAAGGTTTAAGGAATTCAACCATCTTGACTAACAACTACCACGATCTTTGGCCAGATCGTAGGTGCGCACCGCTGAGGAGACTTATGTTAAGATGATACGATTACTCAATGCTCCTAGGTTTTTAATAGTTTTTCAACTATACAGACAGGAAATTATTGAAAACATGATCAACTAGGAAATGGCACTACTTTAAATTAATCACACCACAAACTTAGACTGCTCAATTAGTCATTGCCAGGTTATGAAGTAGCTAACTTGAAGTAGCCAATTAAATTAGTTTGAGTTTACAGAAAATCTCTGAAAACATTCTCAAATTTGATTTCTACAACTTTATCAGTTGTTTTAGAAGAGTAGATGGTAATCTACTGAAAGGTAGAAAGTCATGTTACAGTTATCTTAAGCGATTAATCATCTAGGAGTTGACATTAGATATAGATTGTATTTGTGTACGTCACAGCGGGTTTGACTTACACAAATACAATCTATATCTAATGTCAACCTTTTACTCAGCGCCCAATGTTTGCCATACTATAAGATCAAATCTTGATCATAGTTTATACAGAAAAAACATTTAGGGGTTGGTTGTTATTTAACTGTTAATTGCATTGTAGTCGACACTAGAGGCTGTTGGATAGTCAGGACAAAACAATTAATCTGACAGTAACTCTATTCATATGAAATTTCACTCGATTTCAGGTAATCAGTCTATAAGACTAGCAGATAGATTATTCCTAACTGTATCATTACGCGATATAGCTGGACAAATTGGCTTATAGGGAACACTCACAGTACTAACAACTTTACATCCAAGGACTTGAATATAGTTAATCATGACAGTGAATAGACTACAAGAGCTAGTACGCTTCTCTTAAGCGTTTCGTTTCAGATTTCTGACATAAAATCTATCCAACTAAGGCAAAAAGGTGTTTAGATATTCAACAAACCATTGAAAGCATGCGTTTATTTCCCAACAGAAAATCACGTTTAACTCAAAAGAGAGTTACAATCTACGAAACGAAAGGCAAGAAGAACAAAAACAGTCAAAATAGATCCAGTAACTTTGTGAATATTTTTGCAGTAGGCAATACGTCACATCTATTTGTGTGAATGCTACTGATATTACCTAGTCCTCCACACCTCGGTAAGTGGAGAGGAGTTCGAAATACTTCGGTTGGAAATTAGGTATCTAGACCAAAAGAATGACAGCTTCAAACAAGGATTTAAGAAATCGTATATACGTGATAAAAATTAGAATAGATAACAATGGAGCCATTGTAATGACAATCGACGAAATGAATAACATTACACAAAGATAACCACATGAATGATACTACTTATTAGTTATGAGTAGCAGAGCAGAGCAAAATGAGTAGGAATGTAGCTATACAACAATATATGAAGAAAAACACGTGTATAAAACATTTAGAAATTAAATGGAACAGGATTTGTCAAGCATGCATGGAACATGAATTAACATGCTTGGACGACAGATTGTTGTATAATCGATAAAGTAACCAGTCTATGCAAACTAATCAACTCATGAAACAGTAATATTTTACATATATATGCATATCAAATAATTTTGATTCTTGATTGTTAATTTATGTACAAAGTAAACTAAAATAATAACAAAAACAAAAAAAAAAAAACGCTCCAACTTTTTAAAAATCATAATCACAAAAATCTCTCACTGAAAGGAGTACCGAGTAAGTACATCACCTTATTAAAGGCTCTCTACTCGAACGCTTGTAGGCATGTTAGAGCTTATGGTGGGATGTCCTGGGAGCTGTACTCATAGAGTGGTGTCCGTAAAGACTGCCCACTCTCACCATTCTTATTCAATTTTATCATAAATATTCTTATAGAGGTCTCCTTCTCGTCATCTGACTCCCGCGATAATCGCGGGAGAGTTTTCGTCAGACCTAGAATACGCAGATGATAGAGTCCTCTTGGGTGAAGATGCTGACAAGATGCAGAGTCTTCTGGAGACTTTCAGTGGCAACTTGAGGATGTTTGGGATGCGTTACTTACCACCCAGAAGCAAATTGTTGCTCCAGGAATGGTCTTCAACGGTGACTCAGCTAACAACAGTGTAGTGGTTGAGTGTGTTAACCACTTCACTTACCTAGGAAGAGGGGTTACCCCAGGTGGCTCAGTGGCCGATGAAATCTCTGCACGAATAAAAAAGGCTTGGCTGGCTTTTGCCAACTCACGCCACCTGTGGTGTCGCCGTGAAATCCGATTGTCTGTTAAAGGTCGCGCGTACCCTGTAGCGGACCGCTCTGTTCCATTGTATGGTTGTTAAACATGGTCATTGAAAGTGGAAGACATGAGAAGGGTTCAGGTGTTTGACAACCGTTGTCTTTGTAGTATAGGTCGTATTCCCTGGTGTCACCAAGTGAGTAAAGCAGAAATCAGGTGCAGAGTTTTAGGGAGAAGACGTAAGTCAGTTGACACGGTTGTGAACCTTCATAGACTGACATGGCTGGCTGGTTGGGACATATGTTACGTATGCCTAATCACCATCTGCCTCATCACACAATGTTGGCCGAAGTACGTTCAGGTTGGAAAGAGGCTCGAGGTGGCCAGACTGAAACATGACATCAATGTATGAAGTGTTTGACTGTTGGTTTGAGCCATGAAGGGAGATACAGACTGGATGGTTGGAGACTCTAGGCAACCATATGGCTGAGAACTGATGTCAGTGGCACAGATGTATACACACGTTATCGTCATCTTAACGACGCTATGCCGAATCTCACTATTTTCTCATTCTTCTTTCCTCTCTCTTAGAACTTCATGTATTTCTTTTGCTCACCTTCCACTTCATTGCCTTTTTACTTGGTGTGCTGATATGAGATGAGGTGTAGGAACTCGGACCGTTACACAGTAATGCCTGGTCCTATGTTGATTTGGATGGATGATGGAAAGCGAATTTGTTGCTGACAGTTAGGCAGTTCTGAATTCCGTGAACCCTTTACAACCCAACATCTCGTAGAGATCTTATGATTCTAAGATTTTAAGACCAACCCAATACTACTGTATACCTATTGTATCTGGAACGAGCGACGTCTGTAGTGTTGAGCGATTAAGAAACAGTTGTTCAGTTTTATTATTAAATGTAACCTTTAGATAGGTGTGTCGTGATTTCTTAATGAACCTCACAGCACTACTTTCTGTTTTACATGTATAATGTGTAATGGACTCAGAAACCTTGTGCAAATTTGTACAGTAGGCGATGAGTCACACCCATTGTGTGACAACCATCTGCATGCACAAACCTAGGTACTTCGACTACGGTTCGAACTCGTGAACCTAACCCTGACCATGAACCGACGACTAGAACACTGAAGACGACGAAGCATGAGCCACTGTCTGTATACTGCATTAAGATAAACACGTTTCATTCATATCTTCAACGATAGTAACTACCCTTTTTCTTTGTGGTCAATGTCTTTGACTAAGTCACTTCTTTTAGTCCAACTAAGCATCAGTGGTACAGAAGAGTACTGAAAGGAAACTGTGAACTTTAGACATGAGAAATACATTGAGCACCTGATTATTTTTTATTTAAAAAGTATTTTGTAAGCATCTCAGCGTGCCAAGAGACATTGTTACTAGAGGACATCAAATCTACTAAAGAATTTCAAGTGAAGTGTGATATCCAAAAGTATATATGTGTCAAAGTTGAACAGAAATGAGTATTATTCTATGCACCTGCCCCAGAAACTATCTGAACATAAATCTTGCTCAATACAGCTTCAGATTTCTGAGTAAAAGACTTTCAATAACATGATAAACCTGCTAGATATGTCTCCAAAAAAGATGTTATCAAAAGACCTTAACATCGATTAAGTAAAATGTTGTCTTTCTATCAGAAACGAATATTGTTAGTCCAATACGCCAGTAACTACACCTATAACCGAGTATTCATCATGAACTGACACCAGTTGGAGGAAAATTGGAAACCTGGGAGGACTCGACAGCTGTCTAGTTCTAGTATGGGACTCCTTAGCAGTGTGCACCCATGGACCCACTCCACTAGGGAACGACCTCAGGATCATTTAACCACTGGGTTGGAATCCAATAGTCCATATCTTCAACTTCTGTCAGATAACGACATAGCGCGAGCATCACCCAATGTCATCGTTGGGTATTTATCTTCATGTCTATCAGGTTTGCCCTACGGGTGACGACTTCTCATTGGAACTTAAGGAATCGCCTCTCGAAGCTAGTCGCCAATGAGTACTAAGTTAATTTAATTTGGGGGTTTGTGGGGAGATATTGGTTTGTAGTTGGTATTCATCAAGAACTGATATCAGTATGAGACTCTTTAGTAGTGCACACCTATGACCTCTCCCCACCCGCCAGGGATCGAACCCAAGACGATCAGCTTCCGTGGCCAGCACGTTACCATCAAGTCAATGCAAAGGGATCCAATGGTCCATATTTCCAACTAATGTCAGTTCATGATGAAAACCAATTTGGAAAAAAGCATTTATCGCTATTCTGTGCATGATATATATTACAAAAAAAACACCATTACATTAGAATCTGGGATCCAAGCTGGCATATGGATCAGATCAACTATCAATCTTGAACTGATAGTATTAAAAATGCAACTGACAGTAGGGAATCATGATTTTCGTCCCCATCTTCGGATAGTAACTATCATCTTCTGTGAAACACTCTCTTCTTAGTAATTATACTTATGAAATGAATAACTTGAATTTTGAATATTTACATTAATAGTTGGGTTAAAAGAAAAGAAAATCCTTCCAAAGAGTAACAAGTGAATATATACATATTCAGAAGTATGAACTTACAGAGAATGTGAAATAAACAAAGCCTGAATGACAAATACTTGCGTTCAATGATGCAAAACTTCCCATTACACCATCAATTGAATGCGGAAATATACGCAGTTGTCCAGAGTCCGTAGCAAACAACCAAACAGGATTCCCACCGCATACAAATACACCACGATGATCACCAATATTTTCAAAGCTACGAAGCATATGACTTCGTGTTAATAATGTAGACTGTCAAATTAAAATAAACGAAAAATACACCGTCAGTAGAATAGTTATGAATGTGACCTAACACAATCTGTTTACAACATAAAACTTTGCAATCGAATTAAACTATCATTATTCAAGTTGGTATTCATCATGGACTGATATCCGCTGAAGGAACATTGGAAACCTGGGATCAGTCGACAGCTATCTATCCCTAGTATGGGACTCCTTAGCAGTGCACACCTGTGACCCCATCTTGCCAATGATCGAACCAAGGACTTTCAGGTTCCGTGACCAGCACGTTACGATTGAGCCACTGGGTCGGAATCGAATGGTCCATATTTCTAACTTCTGTTAATTCACGACATAGCGCGACCACTCCCCAGTGCTCCTACCTTTCCAATGTTCTTCCAAGTGATGTCAGTCCATGATGAATATTAAGTCTAACAATCACTAAATCCTCACAAACCCCAAAATCAAACTTGTTTCCTATCACAGACAATGTTTGTCAAACTACTCTGAGTGTCATCCTTCAGAGAAAACGACTCCGATAGGACTGGTCAATACGATGTTTATGTAGTAGTTAAGGGCGTTGAAAGTAGGTACTTTAAGGAAAACCTCCTCCTACCCGAGACTACGTGCTATGTCCTCTACTAGAGGACATCATGTAAACTAATATCCGGTGCTTTCCAGTTTTATCTTAACACTGTCAAAACCTTAATTAAACCTAGATATCATTCATCAAACACATTCGACTAAGAACTGGACGGTTCATCCAAACAATGATGATTACAAAAGTGAAATCAGGTGATCGACGATATGCAAAAGAACAGGTTGAGAAGTTAGAAACCACTCTCATGCTGATCTGTAGATTTCACCAACCAGCCAGATGAGAGTGGTCTAAACACCGAACGGCCATTTCCCTCGTTTGGGGTCGAGTACATCAGCCATGTGCCCGGAAAAAATTCAATTCATAAAGCCTAATTATTATTTCTGATCATCTGAATCTACAGATAAGTTCGAGTGCTTGCCAACTACTCAAATTATTCAGTAGTAGTATATTTCGCTAGTTCATGACACTTTTGCATCGAAGATTATATCTTGTGATCCAACGGGAACCCTGTTGATACCATAGTTGAAAAACTATTCAGCTGTGAGAAATATCAAGATGGATTGTATAATTTGTGAATCGTTTGTAAATCCCATTACATCTCATGATGAAGAATATTAGTAGCTTAGGAAAGCAATTTTTTGGTAGTGTTTTATCCTCTGAGTTGAAGTGAACTCTGACTTTCATGTTGTTAGCAGGAAAACTAGCCAACAGTAATACATGTGGAGACAATGACAAGATTTCAGCAGAAATAACCAATCACACTCAAGATCATCAGGATAAGCTAATAAGCTACTTGTGGAGAAAATGTTTGAATGAAAGCAGTTCAGTTGCATCACTTAAGTAGGCTTCCTACAGATATATCCTCTGAGTGGAATTATCAGGTCTCCTTTGAAGTATGACTTCGAGAAAATGGAATACTGAATTAGATTCAGAGCTCACTCATCCAAAGAAAGATTCATTTGTCAAATCTTGAATTCAAAAATGATGCTGATTGTCAAAATCTTGAAATAAGACATACTTGGCCGCAAACTTGGAATGATTTTCTCCTGCAAGAAACGTTTTGGTCAATATGTGAAAGATACTAATTTGCTTGCTCTGGTGGTGTGTATATATTGGCCACACCGTCTGTAAAACGTGCTCACAAACGCTACCCAGGCTGACTGGTAAAGGGAGAACGGAAATATATCTTCAGTTCAATAACAAACACCTCGTGAACTCTGGTCATTTAGCTCCTTTTGAGAGCTCATTCAAAATCCGCTACACAGTTCGATCAAACCACTTGAAAGAAGTAAGATCAAGGCATTTGTCTATAGTTGAAGCACTAGCCATTCAGAAATTCAAACCAGTGTTATGCATCCAAAAAAGGTACGTCTAACCTTTGTCTTTGCTATGGCCATCATAAAGCCTTGACTGACATAGATTCATTCTGTGTTGCGTAATTACAGATAATTTCATAATCCCTTGTCAATTTTCCAATACTAAACCCAAATGTGTATTAATTAACCTCTTTTAGTTATTCGATATATTTTGCCTCTTAACCGGAAATAATTCTGAAACATTCTGCCCATTGTAATATATATTCACCAATGTACAGCTTAGTAGTGAATGATTTCATTGAAAAGAAAATTTTTTACTCGCTGCAACCATGTCTTGTCTTTTCCGATGAAACTATAGTTTTTAAAAATGGTTTCTAATTCTGATCAAATAATTGCCTACATTTAAGATAATTAGTGTTATACTCTAAAATCTTAATCTTGAATTGTAGTTGACCATATGTTCAACCACCAAGAACAACTACCTTCGAAATATTAACTATTGTAATCGAAATGCACACACCCAGTAACTATATATACAATTGTGTATTAGGCAATGAGCCACACCTATTGTGTGAGGGATATATGATACTACTACCTGGTTGCCTAAACCTCGGTAGTTGGCAAGGGCCTCGAACCCATGACCGATTGGTCGAGTCAAATATCTAGACCAAATGGGTCATAGCTCACAGGATACTCTTGTAAACATGACTTAGTAATAAATATTTCCAACTAGTACAAATATCAGGTGTGTCAAATGACATGCAAGAATTTGGCTATTATATACATTCTGCTAGTGAGTATCAGGAATGACAAGATGAAAGTGTGATATTTCTCAATGACTTCGACTAAGTATTCCGAACATTGAATGCTTGATTTACATAAGAATTCCTCAATGATATCGTAGAAAATCGCGCAACAAGATCAATAAATTCAATTCAGAGGTTTGTGGGGATTTATTTATTGATTTCAGTTTGGTATTCATCATAGACTGACACCAGTTTGAGAAACGTTAGAAACCTGGGAGCATTCGACAGCTGTCCAGTCCTAGTATGAGACTCTTCAGCAGTGCGCACCTACGACCCCTCTCCACCCCGCCAGAGGTCGAACCCATGATTTTTAGGTCCCGTGGTCAGCACGTTGCCATTGAGCCACTGGATCGCAACCCAGTGGTCCACATTTCCAACTTCTGTCAGTTCACGACATAACGAGACCATCACCCTATGTCATCGTTTAGTAATTGTCCTCAGGATGAATAAACGGTAAAATACTAATTTGCTACATATGCTTAATAGTGAAACTGAATATCCACAACTTATCACTTGGCAGTTTAGTTATCAGATGAGATTATTGATTACTGTGCAGATTATACAGGCTTAGAAATTGGAACGATAACTTGATATAGAAACCAACAGTAAATAATGGTATATTCTTGAAAATCTATAGCTGTGGAAGATAGATGAGCATAAATTTTCTACACCAGTTCTGTTCACATTAGGATGCATACCTGAACATCCATTATTTTGGGATCAGTTCGAATACGACGTGGTGCCACTAGTGGACAAGGTAGAGGTAAACGCCTCCAGCGTAATCTGCCATCATAAAATGAGCCGGAGACAAGAGGATAAGCTTCAGTTGGTGATCGGCATAATGCTTCAAAAAATGCTATTTCTTGATTTGTTCGAACCTTGCAAAAAAGAATATATATAAATGATAATGTTAACTTTGAAAAAACATAATACCATTTAAAGGCTCATATAATAAATGTTTACGAGACAAAAATTGTTGGTAGTCCCCACATTTGCATAAAACATTATTCACTAACTTAAACATTTTTAAATTATCGTTTTCACGCTACTTTTACGCCATGGCTAGTAGATCATTTACTTGTTCCCATTATTTTCAAGGTAATTAATTCGCTGATTGGTTAACGTTAGCTTTTACTATGTTAATGTATCAAATTCCGATCAAGATCATATGTCATATATATAGACATAGATGTATTGAGTTATTTGACGAATCTTCTCGAAGGCAATAAACTCTCCCCACAGGACTAGCCTTTTCCTGTTTTTGTCTAGGGTTTGGAGTCAGCGGTATTTGGTGTTCCAGTTTGCCATTAGTTAAGCGTGAGTATTATGTCCACTAAGGAACATAATACAAACAAGTGGAAACTTAAAAATGAAGGTTGATCTTACGTGATCTTCTCCGAGTCATACTGAATACATCTGACATAGGTTACTAATTCTAATTGATATGAGCAAGAATATGTTTAAAAAACTAGATTAGCTAATAGTAAGGATATTGAAGTGTTGATACATTCACCGACAGACAGATAGAAAAGTCAACAGAGAATCGGAATAGAAAGCGGAAGGCATCAGAACAGGCAGAAGTTTTCAGCAAGAGAGAGAATAAGAATAAAATGTTAGCGAAAATATTCAAACAGTGAATATATCTACGTCAATGTAACCCATTCTTAGCTATGTAACCAAGAGTCTCCAACCGTCCATTCTTATCTCAAGGTTACCAAACTTGCTGTCCATAGGGCATGCTACACGACTCAGACCAATAGTCAAGGACTTCATACATTGGTGCCATGTCTTGGTTAAGCCTACTTCGGTTAACATGGCACGCCTGGGTAACTGTTAGTGGCTTAGTATGCGCAACACATGTTTAAGTGGATGACACGCTCAAAAACACATCAACTGGCATTCTTTTCTGTCAAAAGCTCTACACCAGGAAAATCTGTATTATTGTAGTCCCACGACATATAGTAGATCGTAAGGTGGCGGCAGTCGGACATTTGGAGTCTTCTCATATTCTTCACCCTCAATGGTCACGTTTAACAGCGGTGGAGTAGAACAGACAGATGTGATATACAGTATATTAATCTTCTAATGGGAAGCTAGTTGTATCGCTGACACGACAAGTAACGTACGTCAATGAAACCATTTTTAGCAGTGTCGAGATTCCGTCAGTTACTGACCCATCAGTGCTGATCTGACTTACCAAGTATGTGAAGTGAGCAGCACATTCGACTATTTCAATTCTTATGGTAAGATGTCAAAAGTTGTATACTTGAGGCGAGTCATATACAACCTCCATAGAGTTGCATCTATCTTCCTTGGAGAATATCAGCACTGGCAATAGAAAGCCAAATGGCAAAATAAGATGCTCAGTTTTTAAAATCAACATTTTACAACTTCTGTCCAGATTAGGAGGGCAATATATAGTTAGAATGCTGGTTTCTGCAGAAGACACAACTTCTGTGTATCGCCTATTCCGCCAGCGGTAAGACTTCAATATCACACATCCAGTATACTACGATGGCAACTACTTTTCGTTTCATCACTATCTAACCAAACTTTCCCTGACTGATAGCTACTACCTTGATGTAGTGGTCGGGGTTGTATATGACGATAACCCAATGAGCTAGGCCGGTGGAATGCTTGTTCCCTCGAGGTCCTACCAAACCAGCAAGATCCGTTGGATAGTGATTAGACAGAAAGTAGCTACTCTTACCCTTAGCATGTTCTTAAACAGTGAAACGATGCATTATGATGGCTTAGATCAGTCATTAGACGTGATCCAAAACCACAGGACAAATGTCCGACCACACCTTCCAAAAAGGTCATACATGACCGACCTCTAGCAGATGTCCCCTGGGCTCTGTGACCATGCACCAACGCTTCTTTTTCAGATACTTTAAGAAGATCTAGCTTTCCACGGTGTAGTTAGCTGAGAAGTGTCAATCGTCTTCTCATATCAACACATCAAGTAAAAAGGCAGTGAAGTGGAAGGGGAACAAAAGAAAATCCAGTCAAAAGAAACACATGAAGTTCTAAGAGAGAGAAAAGAAGAATGAGAAAATAGTGAGATTCGGCATAGCGTCGTTAAGATGACGATAACGTGTGTATACATCTGTGCCACTGACATCAGTTCTCAGCCATATGGTTGCCCACTGGTTTCTCTTGTCCTGTGGACTCCAACCATCCAGTCTGTATCTCCCTTCATGGCTCAAACCAACAGTCAAACACTTCATACATTGATGTCATGTTTCAGTCTGGCCACCTCGAGCCTCTTTCCAGCCTGAACATACTTCGGCCAACATTGTGTGATGAGGCAGATGGTGATTAGGCATACGTAACATATGTCCCAACCAGCCAGCCATGTCAGTCTATGAAGGTTCACAACCGTGTCAACTGACTTACGTCTTCTCCCTGGAACTCTAGGCCTGACTTCTTATGTATATATATGCAGCTTGCGTTGTGGGCTACCTATACATATATAAGAAGTCATCTATCAGTCGGACGTACGTTGGGTCAGACAGCTATATTAGTAGCAGCAATAAGTTTCTTACGTCATCAGAAGACCATATTCTCTACAGAACATACTAGTAGTGCTTAACTTGTTTAGATAAAGAAGAAACGACAGAAATCCTTAATTTCCTAAAAAGGTCCGAGTACCCCTAAAAGTCTACAACATTTGTGAATATGTCTAACAAAGAATCATCTGGTCGGTCTTAACCAATGACGATAAATTGAAAGAGACAGATATGAATATGAAGAATGAAGGGAATTTCATTACCAAAATAGTAATAATAATAATAATGATAATAATGTGTCATATTAGCAGGTTACCATTAATATTGGACGATCTTTATCAATACCGACAGGATAAACCAAAATTTCCAAAATAGGCGGCGGTACACTATCATCCTCTGCGTAGGGTACACTTCGCATAAAAGAGACAATAAGAAAAATTAAGTTATGAACAGTAAGCGAAAAAGGATTATGCTCCATCAGAGTACAAGCATGAGAACTTTAAAAGGAATTAAAATGCCTTTAAATTATCTACGTCAAATGATGAATATGTCAATGATTATGAGGACTGAATACCTACAATACGAGTCCAAAAAAAAGAAGGATAACAACTTTAACTGGATGAGTTGCATAAATTTTACGAATTCATTTTTGTAGCAGTTGTTAACATTGATGATTTTGTCAACAATTGTGTTTAGTTGAAATGCAATACAATCTTAACAGAGGTCACATTTAGCTCGAATAGTTCAGTAGAAAAGTCTTTGAACTGCAGCATTGGTTGTTTTCGGTTCAAAACAAAACCCTGATGGGATATTTATTCCTTTGAGGTTATAGATACGCCTTCCTGGTGAGTACCAACAAGTAAAAAATCTAAATGTATACCATCCTGCCAATTATCTCGAAACACCGGATATTAATTCAAACGTAGGTTGTTGTTGAGTTTTCCAGCTTGATCGGATTAGCTCAGCACTTGACAAAAGGAAATTGGTTACGTCCCCAATAACCATATCAATGTATATTTTACAACAGTGAATCGACTAAAAAAAGTAAGAATCTATATTCAAGTCATGAAAGAATTTCAACGGTCGGTAATTGTTAGTGACAAAAGATATTGATAGAAAGCGGCCCAAATAAAAATCACCAGTTAAGGGATAAAGGTTCTGGATTTTTTTTTTATTCCATGTCACTGTTTGGTCAGGAAAAAACTTTATTGTAGAATTTCATCCCACAGCTGACTGATCAAAATAAGTTCATTGACTGTTCACCTAGAGCTTTTATATGTTCATGAAAACTGTAAAAAGAATAATGATGTAAATAACTATTAAAAAAACGGATATAATATAATGATCTGACTCCACTTCATAAGTAACGCATTGGGGTTTTAAGCGGTGGATGCAAGGTTCGAGTTTGAAAAGGGGGAAACATCACTCATTGGGGCGTAGGTACATCCAACTGACGAGTCTCTTATAGAAGGGAGGCTATGTGTTCTAAGCTCCACTGATAGTCACTATTTAGTAAATTATCAAAGATAAAAGTTTCGATTTGATCCAAAAAATCTTTGATTTATTCAAATTGTGATTAAGAATAATTCAGGTGTCCATAAGGTAACAACACGGTTTGGAAAATATACCCCAGACTCTAAAGCAACGCTTCTGATAATTATCTCTCATGGTTAAGTATACAAATTGCTAAGGATCGGAAAAGTGAGATAGACTTTCACTAACCTGAAATCAGTGTGGAGATCTACTGCACTCAACTCAGCATAAACAACAACATCCGGATTTTCAACACTAATTCAGTCAAGTAAGTCAGTGCTTCTATGTGATGGCTGAGAGACTTGGCGCGTTACGATAAGTATTTCCAACAAAATGCAGACCGACATCACATCAACAGCTGCCGACTACGCTCACTCGATACTGAAGATCAGATCAGATGGCCAGAATAACAGGAATAAGTAACAATGAACAAGGAACTCACTCCGGCTGACTGGCAACGAACCAACCAACAACCTATTGCCCAACAAATATGGAAAAGAAGAAGGTGGAGGTGGATTGGATTGGATTGGGCATACACATAGAAAACTGACTGGGAACATCACGAGCCTTGTCAAGCCCTCGAGTGGAACCCAAATGGGAAATGATGAGTTCGGCGTCTGAGGGTGACATGGAGGAGATCGTGTGAGGAAGAAATGTGAAGGCTTCTGGGAAGTGGTGGAGCCAGGTTAAAAAGACTGGATAGAAGAGAGTGAAATGGAGACGTGCTACTGAAGCCCTATGAATTTGTACCATATATCAATATACATTTGCAAAAGATGCAGAATATAACATAAATATCCATTATTTTCTAATGACTGATAAACAGTTAATGATTTGTAAGGGTTGAATAATTTTAAAGTAGTTTTCATTCGAGTTTCATATCAGTTGGAGAAACACTAAAAGCTTGGAAGCACTAGATAGCTGTTTTTATCCTAGTATTGAATTCTTGAGGAGTGTGCATCCATGAACCCCGGGATTCGAACCTAAGACCAGTAGATTTCGCGGCAAGCATGTTACCAATCAACCACTAGGTTGCAACTCAATGATTCACAGTTTCCTACTTTTATCGATTAGCGATATGGCACGACCACCATCCAATATCTCCGTTGAATAGTTATCCTCACATCAGACTTGGTTTATCTTATCAGTCACAGCTTCTCATTAGAATTTCAAAAAATCCATCTTGAAACTTTCTATCGTTAACCGAATGCAATATGGTTTCATAACAAGCTTGTAACGTTATTCAACTATTGGTCCGGTTTATGGCTTGAGATTTTCAGCCCGAACAAAGATGTGATAGAAAGAAAACACATTTATAAGATGAAGTTCTAATGAGAAGCCGAGATCTGTGGGGTCAACCAGTTGGAAGAGAAGTGGATGTCATCTGAAGATCCTGGGTGATAGTCACGCTATATCGCGAATTGACAGAAGTTAGAAACTGTGAAGCATTGAACTGCAACCAAGTGGCCAGATGGTTAACGCATCCACCGTGAAACCTGAAGGTCCTGAGTTCGATGTCTAGCCGGGTCGTCGGTGCTGCTGAGAAGTCCTATAATAGGACGAAACAGTTGTCCAGTGCTACCAGGTTTTCAATGGTTCCTCAACTAAAAAAAATGTTCCTGGTGGATGCGATCATCCCATTTTCCCCAATAGAAGGATGTAGTCAATCTTAAAACTGAGGGCAGTAGTTTGACAGGTATATTTCTAAAGGCTTAAATCCACAATTTAGTTGTAATCAATACGCAGCTTAGTTGCAAATTTATTTGTAGAAATACAGGCTTGAGATACCTGAAGATAGTTACTTAACGACGGCATTGGATGGAGGTTGCGTTATATCATGAACTGACAGAAGTAGGAAATATGGACCATTCGATTCCGATCCAGTGGTTCAATGGTAACGTGACGGCCACGGGACCTGAAGTTCCTCAGATTGGTCCCTGACAAGGCGGGGTCATAGATGCGCATTGCTGAGGAGTCCCATACTAGTACTAGACAGCTGTCGAATGCTCCTAGTTTTCTAATGTTACTCCAATTGATGTCAGTCTAGGATGAATACCAATCTGCAATCAATAGGTAAATCCCCACAAACCTTCAAATTCATTCAAACTTCTCCTCAGTAAAACTGCATCCATCAGGTGGCAGCAGCAACAGAGATGGATTTTGACTTCTATAAGCACCCAATATATCGTCCTCTTAAATCGGTCACTACCACTAAAGATTCGGGTTCACATTCAAGAGTATTAATCCTATGTAAGAATACTTCTCAATATATAAGCACTAGTGATCTATATATGGACAGAGCTGAACAAAGTACGAAACAAAACCGAAGCAATGATGAGTAGTGGCTGGCAGTGGGATCCAAGATGTGGGTTTTGTCCTATTTCGGACTCACCAATGAGTGATGTTGCCTGCACTGAGACTCGAACAAAGAAACGATAGTTTCAAACATCATAGCGTTATCCACTAGCCCACTGAGGCATGTGAGCGTACTCAATTGAACCTCACGGATAAAAAAGTCAACATATGAAGCGTAAATTATAATTACCTTGGTGGATTTGCATATCGTGCATGTACCTGTTCATTACCCATACCTCGATGATCAATTAACATTTGTGGAAGATCAGAGAAATGATGAACTTCATAAAGTAGCGTAAATTCTGGTAGACTGTAAATCTAGAAGAGAAAAAGAAAGGAAAGGAAAGAGACGTAATGAGTAACAAGAAATTGGTATGCTAACAATAGTACTTTACTACAAGAATGATGATTAGTGAAGTAAAAAAATAATACACATTCTTCTGTGGAGAATATTAAACGCGTATTTTTCAGGCATACTGAAAGTCAATTAAACTTGGTTAGGATAGACGGGAAATGTACACAATCACGTATACAGTCAACTTTAGCAGATGCATTAACCTCTAAAATATGCAAATTACATACAGACACACAAAACTAACGCAGAACCTGGTATATGAGTGCATCGGTTCAACTTGCTAAACTTCACAGTACCACACAAAGAACAGGTGGGTATAAGAAGAGTGATATCAAAATAGACAAAGTTGTGTGAGAGAATAAACAATTTGAAGATAAATGTTAGTGTAAATTCTCAAGCTTTAGATGTCAAGGACTGAATACATCTGGGCCATTGTGACCGATTTCTAGGCATACGACACCAACAGTCCTCAACCGCTGATTTCTTAAATCACAGGGAGCCCAAACAGACAGTCTACCCAACAATCAGAGACTTCATGGACTGGTGCTATGCCTTGATTTTGACACCTTGAATCCTCTTCTAACCTAATTGAGCTTCGCTTAACATTTTAGGTTAGGGTAGGCAGTGGATGGGTATGCGTAGTACATATGCAAGCCCCCTCGGTCAATGAGGGTTTACAACTTTATCAATTGACTTACATTTTGTCACTGTCTTCACCTAACAGAACAATATCGTCAGCACACTCCAAATCAATCAGATAAATCTTTATGAAGTCAGACCCACCTAATCATCATCATTATCAACATAGGACCAGGCATTACTGCGTAACGGTCCGAGTTGCCACACCTCATATCAGCACATAGACCCACCTAAAGTTATATTTATTAGTTCATGACAAATTAAAAGCTTCTAAGCACAACTCAGAGATAGAAGAAACAACTAATCAATGGAAAACGTGGTTGTTGCTGCATTTTACCAACACCTACTGATCAACATTATGAACATACATTAGTAATTTAAAATTTTTGTTTGCATGTGACACTATTTATTTGCTGATGTTCCATTCTTTAAGATAAATGCTACACCATTCTGTTCAACAGTACATTGGACATACAAAGCATCAATTCCACTAACCTATACTAGTACATTGTTCAAGTTGGTTAATCGAAAGGAAAGAGAAGGGATATCGACACTTGTATTCTCTAACATCTCATCATCTATAGATATCTGACCTCTCCTGTAAAGTAATTCACATAGTGTTTTTTCATACAATAGTACCATAAAAGGACTTCCACCACGTCACCTATGCATAAGATTATTATTGGTATAATCTAAAAAATGATTTCAGTTTAAGATTAGACAACAAAATACATTTCTATTACTTATGATGAAAAGAGATCAGAAGAAATATACCAAGCAAATTTACATCCATTCATACAGTAGACGACAAGCCATACCTATTGTATGAAGGCTAATGATACCATTTGGCTGCAGAAACCTTGGTAGGTGGAATAGTATTTGAACCCATGATAAATTGGTTAAAAATTCACTATCTGAACTAATCAGCCACATACCTTATAATATGATCATTTCTGATCATGTAATTTTGTGATTTTTTTTCGTAATTGTATGGCTTTGATATAAAATCCAAATCTGTAATACCTGTGTATCAAGTTCAGAGATTTTCAATGAGAAGCCAGTTGATGAAGTTGTAAACTTTCGTCAACTCAACAAGTGAAGACGTATGTTACACATGCCTACTCACAGACTTATCTGACGAAATATACCCATTTATTCAAGAATAATAACAAGAAATGTATCAAAGAAGACCATCTGATTCAAACATGCCCTGTTTATATGGTCTGGCGAAGGTGTCTATCAGGTCAGTGGAACATGAGCGTTAAGCATGCCAACGCAACGCTTGCAACATGGCATAATGCTAGCTGAAGTAAGTTCAGGCTGGAAAAAGGATAAAGGTGATGGCATCATTGCCTTAAGTCTTCGACTGTTAGTTCGAGCCATGTAGGAAAATTAAGACTTCCCAGTTGGCGAGTCTAGGTAATATGGCTCAGAATCGAACTCAGTAGCGTAGGTGTATTCACAAACTATCTATATCCTAACCGTCATATCGAAATTCATTATCTCATTTGGAACACTTTCAGTCTAGACCTTCGCCTAACGGAACAATGATGTCTATATAGTCCAAGTTATTAGGATGTGACCTACCACAGAGTAACTGCATTTCTGTGAAGTCGGAGGTATCTAAAGTTGTGTTCCACTCGAGGGCCTGACAAGGCGCGTGATGTCCCCAATCAGTTTTCTATGTGTATGCCCAATCCAATCCAATCCATCTCCACCTTCTTCTTTTCCATATTTGTTGGGCAATAGGTTGTTGGTTGGTTCGTTGCCAGTCAGCCGGAGTGAGTTCCTTGTTCATTGTTGCTTATTCCTGTTATTCTGGCCATCTGATCTGATCTTCAGTATCGAGTGAGCGTAGTCGGCAGCTGTTGGTGTGATGTCAGTCTGCATTTTGTTGGAAATACTTATCGTAACGCGCCAAGTCTCTCACCCATCACATAGAAGCACTGACTTACTTGACTGAATTAGTGTTGAAAATCCGGATGTTGTTGTTTATGCTGAGTTGAGTGCAGTAGATCTCCACACTGATTTCAGATTGATGAAGGAAGGCCTGTCTTGCTGTCTTTACGATCCTGGCTTTGACGTCCTCATCTGTGCCTGTGTCGCCTGTAGTTGAGACGATGCTGCCTAGGTAGGTAGGTTAGTAGGTAGGTGAAAGAGACAACTTCCTTTAGATTTCTCCCATCCATGGTGATTGGTGTTTGTTATTATTATTGTTGTTGTTGGTTGCTTGGTTGGTTGGGTATCTTCATCACCTCTGTCTTCTCTACGTTCACCTGAATGAAGTGTCGTCTTTACTGCCTTTTCTGTCAACATGTTAGTTTTCGCCTGTAGATCTTCGAGTTTGTATGACACTAGACATAAATCATCATCGACGATATCGAGATCATTTAGGGTCTTTTCATCGGTAAAATAGCGTATACCCATCTTCTCACAGCTCCTCACAGTTTGATGCATGATCCAGTCGACTTTCCATTATGAATCACTTGGCATATAGCATCATATGGCATATAGCTGCTGCTGTTGAATGAGGTTGATAAAGGTTTGTGGTACTCCGTAGTGTTGAAGCAGCAGTCTGGTAAATTACTTCTCGGTCGACGTAGTTGAAGGTCTTTTCAAAATCGATGAAGTTGAGTTAGAGGGCTGACTGTCATTCTATACTCTGTTCTATGATGATGCATAGCGTAGCATTGCAATTTGGTCCACACATGATTTGTTTTTCTTGAAGTCAGCTAGCCTGCTCCGGTCGTAATTTTGAATCCAACGCATCTCCAGGATGATGCGGCATAATAGTTTGCATGGGGTGGAGCACGATTCGGCGCCAGTTCTTTCAAATACTCAGATCTCCGTTCATTGGAAGTTTGACAAGGAAGCCCTTCTTTCAATCAATGGACAGGTACCTTTCTTCCCTTCCTTCCGTTCAAACCTTCTGCCATAGTGGTGTGAGCATGTCCGTTGATATCTCTGCGTCTGTTTTCAGTGTTTCTGGAGGAATTGCATCTGGTCCTGCTGCTTTCCCAGTTTTCAACAACTTTGTGGTATTCAGGACTTCACTTCTGCTCTTGTTAGAGGGCTTGTGTTCACTGGTAGTTCTTTGGCTTGGCTGCTGACGGTGGTCGATTCAAGAGTTTTTTGAAATGGTCAGTCCATTGTTTCCTTTGTTTCTCCTCTTCGCTGACTAAGTTTCCTTCACTATCTTTCATTGGCTTCATCTGTGTTCATCTCTCCCATCCCAAGTAGAGTAACCTGGTTATTTGATATAGTGTTGTCAGGTCACTGTCTTTGTCTCTGCTACCTTCAACCTGTTCTGCTTCACTTGCCAGTGCGTCGTAGAAGTGACTTTTGTCTTTGCGCACACTCCTCTTCACATTTTTGTCCAGTGTAGTGTTTGATAGGTTATGTTCAGTCCCTCTTTTCGTTGCTCATCCATGCACTTCACTGCACTGCACTGGTTCATCGTCTGCTTCACCATCACCATCTTCCTCTTCCTGCTCCATCAGCTTCCATATGTCCATCGAGATCCATTCCTTGTCTTGTCGCCTCTTCTTCCTTCCTAATATGGTTATGCAGCTTTCTTTCCACATAGCTTTCAAGGAGTTCCAGTGTTCTTCCACGCAGGTTCCTTCACGAATGTTGCTCAATGTCTTCCATTTTGTCCTGATGACTGACTGACGTGAAGATGCCATTTAAAGTTTCGTCCTCGAGTTCAGTTTGTGTCGTGGGTGTTCAACTTGAAATGTGGTCTAACACCAACTTCTTTGAAGGCTCTCAACGTGATTTTGAAAGTAGGTTCCTTGCACTAGATAGTGAGTGGTGTGAACCTACCTTCATCTGCTCCCCTTATTGATCTGATCTTTTTCTTCTGTCCAGTAGGCTGACTGCGTTTCCACTTTCTTCACATTGAGATGAAGTCAATGTGATTTTTAGTGTCGTGTGTCCTGGTGTCTGGTGAAATCCATGTCGCTTGCTTTGTGAATATCCTTGTGTTTGTTAACACTACCTCCAATCACCAAATCGTTGAATGCGCAGAAGTCTGCAAACAGTTCTCCATTCCCATTCATCATTTCACCGAGTGCTTCTCGATCCATAATGAGTCCTCTTTCTGTGTTGTCCGCTACCAGTTTGGCATTCATGTCACCCCACCCATTAGAATTTTGATGTCGCCAATCGGAGTGGGGTGTTGTCCAGTACTGATTGCAGTTGTCTGTAGAATTCCTCCTTCTTCTCTTGGTTCGTGTCTGCATTATTTGTAGGTGCATAGCGTAGCATTGTATGATTGTGACTTTCCTTCCTTTTCAGTTGAATCCTGCTATGATGATCCTGCAGGAGGGGATTGGTTCCCACTGCATGGGAGTAAGCTTTCGATGCTGTTGGGGACATCATGATTGATAGCCACTCGAAAACTCAGTGTGTTCGTGGTTGTCATCTAGGTGACAATATCGGAGTAGATTATTGACTCTCCAGTTAAGAGTTTGGAGAGTCCACTTCCATTCCACCTGCAGATTCCTAGCACTTCTATGCTATACATCCTGATCTCTTTGTCAATCTGGGCAGCCATGCCAGCCAGCTTAAAGCATTGTTCAGACATTCCATGTCCTCATATTTACTTTTACTTTCACTTTCATCGAGAGAGAGGGAATTTTTTTTAGCAATTGGATTGTTTTTATGAGATAGAGTTGGTAGCCCTATGCCCAACCTTCCGTCTTTATCCGGGCTCAGGATCGGCTAGTAACTAGTGAACTAGTTAGCCAGGCGATGATTCTGTTAGTAAGCACATTACAACAATACAAATCGTCTTACTTCTGGGAAGTGGTTATATATATATATATATATATATATATATATATATATATATATATATAGGTGAAAAAAATGAACTTGCATAAGCATATCAGTAAGAGGAAGAGAATAACAAAGCTGACAAAGTTAGTAACCAACTGGCGACATAACGAATAACCAGGGAGAAAGAGGAGGGAGGGAGAGGGAGGAGAGGGAGACAGTTGATGTTCCCAGTTAAAATCATCCGAGATTTCTAAGTAGCAAACTTGAGATACATTAGATAGTTGTGAAGTTAACTTAGCAATGCAGTCACTTGCTTAAAATCGAGTAAAATCTGATGACGACAACGGTGAACAAAAACCGACTTTATGCTTCTTCGACTTAAAAAAATGTGATTCTATGTAAATGTTACAAGTAACACGCTTAACAATTATGCCTAGAACTAAACTAGCAAACACCAACACACCAACACAAACATTAAACAAATCCTATTATACCAAAAAGGGAGCCAACACAATCTACAAAAGAATAATGCATGAAAACTAATGGTATTACTGGTGAGTAGTAAAACTAAATTAAACACAAATATAAAAAAACCTACTTCAAGTGCTCCATTGGTGAAGACTATAAACGCGAAATATTTCGACGGCGGTTCTTCTTCAAAATTATTAATACTATTTTTTTCAAAAGTTAAAAATATAAGAACCAATTGATAGAAAAGAAGTGAAGTAGCTGAGGTAAAAATTAAGAATAACTGAGATAGCGCAACCATATTATACTTATCGGAATTTTTTCATTTTTTTGCAAATGATTGTGACGTGACGCCGGAGAAAACTAGTCAAGAAAATCAAAATATCCATGTACAGATCTGTGTCTTGGGTAATAGTAATGAGGCGCAACTGTGTAAGCCCAGCACACCACTTATCAGTGGCCACTCTAGAAGAGGGTTAAGTATGGTCAGATCAAGACATGGCACCAGTCAATGAAGTCCCCTAATGTTGATCTGAGTCGTATGCGGAGATGTAGACTGCCTGGTCGATTCGGCACCAGTGGTCGAGGAGTCTTGATGAAGTGGCTGAAAATCGGTCGAAGTTACACAAATGTATTCACTCCTTGACGTCTTTCAGAGCTTGAATATACGCACTAACCTATATCTTCAAATTGTTTATTCTCTCACACCATTTTGTGTACACTGATACCATTCTTTTTCGATCCACTTGTTCTTTGTATACTACTGTGAAGTGTGGCAAGCTGGACTGATGCACTTGTGTACGATATTCTACGTTGACTCTATCTGACATTCATGGAAACACAAGTTGGTAGGATAGATTACGAATCAACGACGCAAAAAACCAAAGAACACAAGTAAACCTATCCCGCCAACCTTGTGAACTTTTCTGTAGTCGCCAATGAGCCATGATTGCTGTGACGCGTTAAAGAAATTATCTGGCTATCGAATCTCAACAGACGCGGTGGAGTCAAACCTATGAATCAATTGGTTGGAAGTATCCTGTCTCTCTAATTATCACTGCGAATTTAACGTCACTATGAAGTATTTATAACCAGTTGGAAGATGGTTTTCTGAGCACGTTTTCTCTCTCTCTCTCTCTCTCTCTCTCTCTCTCTCTCTCTCTCTGTGGGTGTCTCTCTTCATAACAAAGTCTTTGTAAAACTGTCACATTTCATTACCGAAAGTGGGAAGGAAATGACAATAACCAGTAACTAACAAACACAATGGCGAATAACTGCGCTTCAAAGGGTTTCAGTTATCTAATACCAACGTCAAACTGTACAAAATGTAGGATAAACAGGCTTAGCCAAGCTTACAATACACAACGTGGTCTGGTTGTGTATAGAATCCAGTTAACGCACCTCATAACAATATTTATGAGAAAAGGAAATTCAAACAGCAGCAGTATACCTTAGACAGACAGACAGACAGACAGACAAAATCAACGAAGAACTTCGTACAGAAGTGAATCGGTTCAAGTTGTCACAGTTCAATGCAACATGGGAAGAATAAATGGTTAGAAAAAGAGATAAAGGTGTATGAAGGGAAAATAAATTTGAAAATTAGCGTTAGTGAAAATAATCAAGCTTTAAAAGACGTCAAATCATGAGTACATCTATAATACTAACAGCCGATTTCCAGCCATGTCACTAACAGTCTCCAAATATTGATTCTTATCGTCTCAAGTACCCTAACCAGACAGCCAACATATTCCTACACGACCGACAGACTGACTTTATAGATTAACTCAGGGTCTTAGTCTAGCCACGCTGAGCTCTCTTTCAATCTAATCGTATTTCTACTACCATTGGCATATGTAGCACATATCCAAGCCAACTCATTCAATTAGCGTCCATAATCACGTAGACTAACTAGCTTTTCTCGCCTAACCTTAGTATCACTCACACGGTAATTTCATCAAACGTGAGCAGTGCTGTGTTTGCAAAACTGTAATCTTTTCATATCTACCTTCAACATCCCTGTCCCACAGCCACGTAATAGGACAGGCAAGTGCTAGACACGCTTTCTACATCCAAACAGAAATTTCTTCATCAACCAACTGGTTCGGGCTGATGCAACTCTTCAAACATGTCAAGTGGTTAACACATTCTATCACTTTATCCCAGATTCGTAAACTGGAATTAGCTACAGATCAGTCCTCAAGTATTATCCTACATTCGACAGGTGCGAAAAGCATGACGAAAATATATACAGATTTCTGACTGAGGCACTCAGAAGCTCCTATATTTTGTCAGCGGCTTCGCCTAACAGGAAAATGTCATCTATGGACTCCAAAGTAAACCGAGTAGACCAACCTCTGCGAATTCGGAGGTTCCTAAAGTTATGTCCATTAATGAGTCTTTAAGGAAGTTAAACAGTGAAACTTGATAGGTAGACTCTCATTAGTGCTAAGCACTGAAGATTAAACAGCTACATGGATTACCCACCACTGACCAATTTATGAAGCTATCTGTCCACCATTATCCTATGGTAGGAGTTAAAAGCCAGGAATCTTAGTTCACCTGATCTAGTTTTCAACCTCCAAATAGATTTTCGAAAACCTACACGATGCTAACACTGGATTTTAGGTTGCAGGATAAATATAAGCTATTCAAAGCAACAACAAGTATGTGAGGGATACAAATAAATAGTCTGTGATAGAAGTTGGGATATGTGTACTTCATAGACACACTATACACTGGGTAGGTTAACATTTCTCTGAAAGAAATTTAGTTATTCGTACACAATGATTGACTAGTTTCTAATGTGTAGACAGACAAATAGACAAAACCAACGCAGAAAGTTGCATGCAAGTGCATCAGTTTCACTCGCTACACTTCACAGTAGTATACAAATAACAAGTGGATAGAAAAAGGTTAGTGAGAATATTCGAGCTCTGAAAAACGTCGAGGAGTGAATGCATCCGCGTGATTGTAACCGATTTTCAGCCATTTAACCAAGAGTTCTCGACCACTGATCCCTATTGTCTCAGGGACCCCAATCAGCCAGGTAGTCTACATTTCCGCACACGACTCAGAACAAAAGTATGGAACCTCGTTAACTGGTGACATGCCTTGAGGTAGGAGGTGGATCGGTATGCGCAATAGAAGGCCAAGCCTCAGTCGATAAGGGCTCATAACCTTATCAATTGACTCGCCTATCTTGTCTAGTACCCTTTGTCTGAATACAACATTGACTATATGATGAATCTATCAAACGCAAGCAATGCCACGAAGACACCTATAGTCTAAAACCTGTAACCGCTTCAAGTTTTCTACTATTAATGGCCATTATCTCCCAGACATATTATAGGACAGAACAGACTACAGTGCAATATACTCGTCCAAGATACATTGGAAAAATAGAGTTAGCAATATGTCAAAGTTTATCACATCTTCAGTCCCGTTTCAGACTGTTGCTGGCAAAATTGCAGCGTGCGATACCTGCTTAATAGAATTTAATGACCTCCCTTCTGTACCATTCAGGTCCCGTAAAATCTTGTAGATTTTTCAATATATATCAATGTGATGACACCTGTAAACTGATTTCTTTCATGTAAAATTACTAATATGAGAATAAAATATTTAGTTATTATTATTACAAAAAAAAAAATTAGAAACGATGACTGATTTTCCAAAACATTAGTGGATAAAGATAAACTACTGATTAATTATCAGTAGTTTCATAACACAGAAATAAATAGATAATTCTCTTGAAACTCACATGTCACTGGTATCCATAAGATTATTATTCAAGGATGAAACAGACGATGTAGGATGTCTTAACCTATGTGAAGGCAAAGGATTAACTACTGAAGAACGTTCTTTTTTGCATAATTCAATTGGTTCACCATAAAGTAAAATATTCTCTTCCTCGGATGCACTGATTGTATGTATAAATTTCCTGATAACAAAAAAGAATCCGAAGGAAAGGAAGAAAGTTAACTCATCAAAAAAGATTTTTTTGAGTAAAAATGAGCTTTTAAAGTTGAAAAATGATCGGTACACTTACTCTGTTGACTCAGGAGCTGGAGTAGTTGATCCAGGTTCAGGCCATAATGCTGTGCCTAAACCAGAAAATGACTGATCCAAAGAAGCAGTTGTATGCAGATTGAAAAATGCACTGTCTGCAGGCAGATCTTTACAAGCCCAAAGCCATCGAGCTAGATGTCCAGCACGATCATGATATAGACTAAAACAAAGTGGTGCAGATACCTAAAAACAAAATAAGATAAAACGATTTCAGAAGTTATTTGTTTCACTGAGTATTACATCATCACCAATGATAAAAACCATTATATATCTGCGGGTAACTATTACTAACGATAATAGAGAATATAACCCAATTTAGTAATTGGTGGAAAGATATGGGAACCAACGTTAACTGGCTCATACACATGTTCACTCTAAAACGTGTCAGCCATAGACAAACACTTTAAAACTCTAACCACCTCAGAAGTCGTATTCGATGAAACTAGTCTAAAAGGGAACATGTACCAGGTTGAGACTGTTATACATAAAAAAACTCTTCAAAATTCATCGTATAATTGAGCTCCTTTCTATCTTTTTATAATCTTTGAAGAAGAAAGAATATGAAATATACTATAGCATGGAGAAAAGTGTCTTCCAATAAATAACAATCTATCGCCTATTGAACATACGCTTTAATGCAAGGTAACAGTAAGGCTGGCTTCCAACTTAATCTTCTAGATACGACCGAATGCGCAGAAAAAAGAATATGGATATGCATGCAGATCTCCATTACACCACTTATCATTGAAACGCAAAATATTACTGCTGGACTGATTTATGTTGGTGCCCCGTCTGATGATAGGGAGTGAATTAATTGGAAGCGTTGACTACTTCACTTACTTGGTAATCTGAAGTAGCTCTAGTGGGTCTGTGATGAACGAAATCTCCGTACGAATACAAAGGCCTTGTTTGACTTTTGTCAACTTACATCGTTTATGCCGTCACCGATATCCAATTGCCTATTACGAGTCGAGTATGATGAGCTGCAGTTGGCTTTGTTCAACTATATGCCTGTGAAATGTAGTCACTGAAGGTAGGGGACATGAGATGACTTCAGGTATTCGACCATCATCATTTTCGTAGCATGGGGTGTGTGTCATAGTGTCAACATATCAGTGACGTAGAAGTCAGGGGTAGAGTTTGAGGCAGAGGAGGAAAAATCAGTTGAAAGGAACATATGGAAACAGGAATATACGAGGAAATTAAGAAACCAATGGACACTATTATGGATAAAATTAAAAAACCAACTGTGGATCTAACACGCCGAATGAAGCTGTTTCTAGGTGAGTCGGAATGGTTCAATTTAATGCCGAAAACTAATAGCCCAAGTAGGATTTATGGTACTATTAAAATTCATACGCCAGGTTATCCTATTAGACTCATTGTAGACTTTAGAAACACTCCTACTTAAGACGTATCTAAATATTTAGCGATGGTGCTAGGTCCAATTAGAAACCGTTCTAAATCAAGATTACTAACTCTTATGACTTTAAGTACAGATTAGATAACATACATTTAGATGACGATGAAAAATGGTTAGTTTTGATGTAGTTAGTTTATGTACTAATATACCGATTGGCATGGCTCTAGAAGCAGTTAGAAACGATCTCACTAATGACCATGAGCTTACACTACGAACTAAGGTACCAGTAGATGATATCATGCTATCATGCCTAACTTCCACAATTTTTAGGTTTCAGAATAAAATATACAAGCAAACAGAAGGCATTGCCATAGGATCACCAATATCCCCTATTGTGGCTGACATAGTTATGGATAGTTAGGAACGGATTACTGTAAAAAAAAATGTAGTCTAGCTCCAAAACAATGGTTTCGATATGTAGACGGCACGTTTACAGTGTTGAAATCGGAGTATATACATAATTTCTTCATATATATAGACTCAGTAGTCAGTGTAATCCAATTCACCTATGAATTAGAAAATAGTGAAGGGGAATTAGCCATATTGGATTGCAGAATAAAGCGGAAACAAGATGGAAGTTTAGACACTAATGTCTACAGAAAGTCTTCACATTCAAGTCGTTACTTAGATTTCAAATCGTCTCACCCTATCCCGGTCAGTTGACGTTGGCTTGGTAAAGTGTCTAAGTAACAGGGTCAAAAAATTTACTGGTAAAACAGAAGATCTAAGACAAGAAACTAGATACATTAAAGACACCTTACTCATCAACAATTACCCTTCCAAATTAATTGATAAGTTCCTGAGGAATAGTAAGAAAAATATTAATAAGACATGTGTTAATAGAAGTAATAATAGTGTCAATAACAGTAGTAGCAATACTGTGAACAGAGAATTCAAAACCTTTACAGTATTACCATACAAAGAAGGCACCTCAGAAGCACTACATAGGATTCTCAATTAGGCTGGTTGGGATTAGAGTGGTATTTAAACTTACAAACTCATTTAAAAATATGCTTTGTAGGTTAAAAGATCCTATTGATTCAATTCAGCAGAATAATTTGGTTTACGAAATCCCTTGCAACGATTGCGAGGTCAAATACATAGGTCAAAGTAGTCGACCAGGATCAATTAGGCTTTCGGAACACAAAAGCCTAGCTAGGTCAAAATTGTTAGATCCTAGTAAGGTAAGTAATTTAGAAAAAAGCTGAGCCATAGCTTTGCATGTGATTACACACAACCACACAATAGGCTGTTTGGGACAGGGCGAACATTTTTAAAAATAACAAGAGGGTGGAGGGAGAGATTGATAACTTAATGTTTGTTTACCGAATCAACATCTGTTCCGGATCTATAGAAAATCTTACTACCCATTTTACAAAGAGGATAAGGAAATTAGGACTACGCAAAGGATATCTGAGTTGTGCAGTTATCTTGATATGATTATAGGGACAATAAATTATGTCCGGAACGTAGTCCAGTAAACAATACTGTTCCTTCTCTGTATGATAAGTCTTATGAATCAACATACATGGAACTAAATTCTAACACAATGCACAAGTTTTACTCTTATATAAAATCAGTTGAGGAAGTTGTGAACCTTCATCGACTCAGTCGCATATTTAGTCGACGTTCGCCCCACCGCATACTCTTAAAGATGGAAAAAGGTTAGAGGTGGCCAGATAAAGATATAGGATTAGTCAATGAAGTCTTTGACTATTGGTGTGAGGCGTGCAGAGAAATGTAGAATTCATGGTTGAAGTCCATGTGACATGGCTTAGAATCAATGTCAGTAGCATTGATGTAACTACGAATAATGTTTGTCCTAACCATCACAGCAAATCTCATTATTGCTCCATTCCTTTTAGTTTTACAACTTTCAACCCCTTTTTTCGTTATTTCACTGTTTTTCATCTTGATATAGCGGTGGTCCTAGGTGTGACAACCTTGAATTGTTACTCAGTAACATCAAGTCTCACGTTGTTCCTGACTGGCAGATTTAACTGAAGCCTCACTGAAGGAGTCGTTTTATGAATTCTACATAACTGGCGATAACTAACAAGTATCGAGTCTAGAAAGACATTTAAAACTAGAGGTTGTCTAGTTTTCTTGTCAAAAACTTGTGATTTAATTATTTTGTTGGTTTTACAGTAGGATGACATCCATTTTGATGCGTATTCTAAAAGTGAACAGAAGACTATACAATGATTGACTTGAAATTTCTAAGCAAATGAGTAGGTGAACACTACTTGCTATAGACATATGTGCGTTTGAATATAACGCGTTCCAATCAGAATTTTTGAAGAAATTTGAAGGGAGTCTCCTTAAGTCTTAATGAACAGTTATTTATTTGGATTCTTCCATAACCTGACACAACATCGTTAGGTATTCAGGATAATTCGGTAGGAAACCTTCGATCTGGGCACCGTGCTTATCGGTACTCGTCAATAATTTGCATTTATGTTCATCAAGAAATCTGCGCTCCCTTAGTGACCGGATTGTATACACAAATTAGTTTTAATGTTAGCCGATTAGCGTATACTTTTAGAAAATCTTGTATTCAAAGAAATTGGTGATAGGCGACAAAGATAACATGCAGGTTGCACGAATTGCTTCTGCATCGCTCAGTTGTAGACTTACTGACATATTCATGAGACAGAAATGAACGAAAGAACGAAAGGCACTCAGTTACCTTGTGTACATTCATACAGTAGGCGATGAGTCACACACACCTACTGTGTGAGAGCTGATGATATTTACTGCCTGGCTGTCCAGGAGTGGGGCTCCAAACCGCGACCCAGTCGTTAATAGTCAACTCTCTACACCACTGAGTCATAGTTCCAATGGAGAGACAGAAAAAAAGACTACATAAACACATATTTACCTGTCTAACTTTTGGTCGAATCACATCTAAATGAATTGTAGATATTGATTTAGCAGGTTGATCACTGTTTTCATCGATAAGTGTTGATGTGATAACTTTATTTGATCTTTTGATTGGACTAAATTTACTGATATCATTTGGATTCTTTAATTGTACTAAAAATAATTCATCATCTTCAGTGCATAATAGAACATAAGGATCTGCACAACTTGCTAAGTGTACTCTCCATTCCAGTGTTACTTGAACATATTCTATCAGTCGTGGACCGTCGAGTAGACGTAGAGATGTTGGTGAAACCTAAGTTGAAAGTGGAATAGAAATATAGCATGTATAACAGAAACACGGACAAAACTGTGAGGATAATTCCGAAGTAGCTTTCATAATAGACTAATACTAGTCGCAGAACCATTGAAAAAACTTAGGAGTAGTAGTAAACAGTTGTATCGTCCCAGTCCTGATTGAGGTGGACTGGATCATGCGACAAACCAGGAGGAGCGAGAAGATGAGCATACGCTATTTGACCGATGAAAAGACCCTAAATGATCTCGATATCGTCGATGATGATTTATGTCTAGTGTCATACAAACTCGAAGATCTACAGGCGAAAACTAACATGTTGACAGAAAAGGCAGTAAAGACGACACTTCATTCAGGTGAACGTAGAGAAGACAGAGGTGATGAAGATACCTAACCAACCAAGCAACCAACAACAACAATAATAATAACAAACACCAATCACCATGGATGGGAGAAATCTAAAGGAAGTTGTCTCTTTCACCTACCTACTAACCTACCTACCTAGGCAGCATCGTCTCAACTACAGGCGACACAGGCACAGATGAGGACGTCAAAGCCAGGATCGTAAAGACAGCAAGACAGGCCTTCCTTCATCAATCTGAAATCAGTGTGGAGATCTACTGCACTCAACTCAGCATAAACAACAACATCCGGATTTTCAACACTAATTCAGTCAAGTAAGTCAGTGCTTCTATGTGATGGCTGAGAGACATGGCGCGTTACGATAAGTATTTCCAACAAAATGCAGACTGACATCACATCAACAGCTGCCGACTACGCTCACTCGATACTGAAGATCAGATCAGATGGCCAGAATAACAAGAATAAGTAAGAATGAACAAGGAACTCACTCCGGCTGACTGGCAACGAACCAACCAACAACCCATTGCCCAACAAATATGGAAAAGAAGAAGGTGGAGATGGATTGGATTGGATTGGGCATACACATAGAAAACTGATTGGGGACATCACGCGCCTTGTCAGGCCCTCGAGTGGAACCCAAATGGGAAATGACGAGTTGGGTGTCTGAGGGTGACATGGAGGAGGTAGTGTGAGGAAGAAATGTGAAGGTTTCTGGGAAATGGTGGAGTCAGGTTAAAAAGAGTGGATAGAAGAGAGTGAGATGGCGACGTGCTACTGAAGCCCTATGTTCCACTAGCAACTCAAGGGACAAATAATAATAATAAACGTCCCAGTCCGGAAGTCCTAGGCAATGGTCACTCATACCTTCATAAGGAATTGAGCCGAAAAAAAAGTCAAATGTTGCGGTGAGCATGTTACTACTCCACTAGTGATTTGGAATATAATGGCTAACATTTTCCTACTTTCGTTACATTATAAACCTCCAGTCCATATATGTTACTAGCGTCTCTGAATCATGTCATATTAGGCAGCCCACTTCGTTTGTTTCAAGGTAATAAATAGACAAGCGAGGTCAATTCATCTAAGGTTTGTTGAAAAGTTTGAAACCTGATTTATTTGTTCAGAAAGAAGCTATAGTCAACTTCTATCTACCTCAGTGACCCTTCTTGATTGTTGTCTGATTGGATTATATCTATAATCGTGATAACGTTTAACCATTTATTAAGCTTCCTTGAATTTGCCGTTATGATTGACCTTCGTTCTATGACTGACTACTTCTGTACGTCTTAACCACTAACCGATATTGTTTTCCTTCAACGAATTAAACTATTTATCATCGACTGACACCAGTTGGAGAAACATTGGGAACCTAGGATCACTGCGTAACTGTTTTGTCCTTGAATGGAACTCCTCCGCAGTGAGCACCCATGACCTTCAGGTTCCGTGACCAGTACATTACCATTGAGCTATTTTGTCGGAGTCCAACAGTCTACGTCTCTCACGATACAGCGCGACCTCCACTCAATGCCATCGTTGAGTAGCTACCATCATGTTCGATTTGGTTTCTCCCACTAGTCACAACTTCTCACCAGAACTTCGTAAATCACCTCTCGAAGCTAGTCACCAATGAGCACTAGACTAATTCAATTTGGGTGCGCACTGATGAGGAGTCCCATTCTAGAAAAAAACAGCCCTCCAGTGCTTTCCAATGCTTCTCCAACTCACATCAGTCCATGATAAATACCAACCTGAAAGGCTATAAATATTGGAAAACAAATAGAGAGTAACGCGATATCCATAAAGGCTTCAAGTATTTTTACATAAAACGCTGACTATGCAAAAAATTGCTTTCTTTCACGCAGTTTCCAATTCAATCGACACACATTCATATGCATATTAAGCGTAGTAAGAAACAAATACTGAAGTAAAGAGGTGAATTACCTGTAATATGTAAGGATAATCAATTCCTACAATCAATTCCTTCGAAGATTTAATATCACCTTGTACAGACAGTCTGCTAGATGTTGAATGAGATGGTGACACTAACAGAGTATTGTTATCGACATTATCATTGAGTTTATCAGCATCACGTTTAGCCTGTTCAATATATTCAAGACCCAGATTGAATGCACCAACTGTCATTTCTGTAGTATTGAAACCGCTTACTTCGAGTTCAACGATTTCATGACTGACTTCAAGGATCTTGAGAAGAGAAAAAAAATTGTTATTAGTGAAATCATTCTGAAGTGATCATGTATAAACGTTGACTTATCGAAGAAAAATTTGAATACGACATGGATATTCAGTATCGATTAGTGTTTCGTCTGCATTTTCCTACTTCTTTCAGTTCACAATATAGCACGACCTGTGTCCATAGTATGACTGGAACGGCAGTCCAGTAACGTACATTCAAAAAAACATTCATTACTTTTCAGCACCAGAGGATAGGTCAGAGCTACAGCATGATGGCCACTGGTTTCGATTCTCAGCCATATCTGATAACACATCAAGCCACTGAGTTGCGTAATATCTCGAACTCCACTCCTCATCCAAGGAGTCTGGATACACCAACAGATACTAACCTGATATAACTATCATTCATCCCACGGCACCACGTCATACATTGGCCATCCTTCTGCTTCTTCCATCCAGTCCATGACCCAGGGCTAGTAAACAATGAACAGTATGGAAGCCATTAGGACGACATGCATGACATATGTTCAAGCCGCCAAAGCCAGTGTTTCCAGATGACGATCTCCATCATGCCCAAACACACGTTGTCTTACCTCAGAATTATTTACATGGTGTTGCCACTGAATACACCAGCAATCCTACGGAGACAGAAATCATCAAACACACAGAGTCGTCTCACATACTCAATTCGGAGACGCCAGAATTTATAAGTGTAGAGCAGAAGCGTTGTAAACCCGACCTTTTATGGTCAAACTAACGTCGCGACGGTGCCAAAGGTAGCCTAGATTAACGTATGACACTGGCTTTCGATATGCATTTGGAAATTTAACCACACACCACCATTACTCACACAACTAAACAGATACATGAGCAACTTTCGACTACTCACCACCAGCACCAAGGGAGAGCGCAGGCGCATACTCCTGACAATCCTGCAAGGGTACTTTTGAACTTCAGTGGTGCAAAGCAAATACCATACTTACGGATACTAATCCCCAACTGATTAAGTGAGACTTGAATAGCCTGTGTCATCGCACAGTAAGACGATACCGTCCGCATATTCGAAGTTGAATAGCAGTTCTCCGCGTGGTAGATCTACACAACCATTATGCACTTCCTTCAGAGCTGTTTCAAGATTGTCATCGATAGCAAAGTTAAGGAGGAATAGAGAAGTTGGGAAACCCTATCTAACGCTACAGTTGGTTCGGAATAATTGAGACAAGTGGATGTATGCCCTCACTCTAACTGAGGTGTTTATTATATAGTGATTTTAAGATGTTAATAAATTTCTCAGGCACACCCCTCCCAACAGACAATTCCAAAGTACAGTCCTAATGTCAAGAAACAATGATTGTTGACCTGGAACACGTGTGGTGGTGTTCAAGCATTTGGAGAAGGGTAAACAAATGACCTGAAAGAAACCCGGCCTACTCCTTGCTAATCATTATCTCGCGCATTTTGCAAGGTCTGCGAAGTATGATAGCAGCCAATATTTTCGACGTTACTGGTAACAGACTAATACCTCGATGATTGTCACATACGTTACGTGGACCTTTTTTAAAGATGGGCACAACAATGGCTTCATTATAGAGGTTGATTATCTATCCTGACGTTTGATTTGGTATGCGCCACTAGTCACAACTCATTAAGACTTAAGGAAATATTTCGAAGAGTGTCACTTATGAGCATCGGTATCAGATACTCAATGATGGCATTGGGTGGAGGTCATGGTATATCGTGAACTCACAGAAGTTGGAAGATGTGGACTACCGAGTCAATGGTAACGAGCTCGCCACAGAACCTCAAAGTCCTGGGTTCGATACACAGCGGGCTCTTGGGTGCCCACTGCTGAGTTCCATACTAAGACAAAACAGCTACCACGTACTCCCAGGTTTTCAATGTGTCTCCGGCTGATGTCAGTCCGTGATGAATACCAGCATAAAACAAAAGGAGGTTGAGGAAAGTACTGAAAACTTCGAAAATAACACTGTGATCCACTTTAAACCATATCCCCTAGAACCTCCGACCATTGATTTCCATAGTTAGCTTTGAGGATCCCAGTCAGATGATCTACACAAACTAGACTAACAGTCAGAGACGAAAGCGATAAACCAATATCAATAACAACAACAATAATAAGTCGATTGGTTGATAAAAACGATAAAATACCCATTTGTTATCAATATATTACCCATCATTACTGTACAACATGACCAAGTTACCACAATTCAACTCACAGTATCAAGAAACAAGAAAAAAGGCTAAGTTGTAATACAATAACTTAAGGTAGTAGAAAACCATGAAGCAGTTGAATTAAAGTGATGTGTGGAATAACGTTCCAGTTGCAGATAAAACGTAGATGCGTCTATCCCATTGCAATCAATTCTCAGCCACATTACCTAGAGCTACCAACCAACGGTTTCGCATGTCTCTAATCTGATCTCTCAACTACAAGGCGTTATGGCAGTCTCTGACTGCGAAACAAGCACCGACTACCCATGCAATGCTAAGCAAAGTTTTCTACTCAAACTCACGCTGCAGTGCAAGGACTTAAAGAGGGTTTTCATCTGAAGAGATGATAACTATTGGTGTCTGATAAGGGCACAGACAGACAGACAGACAGACAGACAGACAGACAGACAGACAGACAGACAGACAGACAGACAGACAGACAGACAGACAGACAGACAGACAGATAGAACCAACGTAGAACCTCACGTACAAGTGCATCAGTTCAAGCCGCCATAGTAAACAGTAGTATAAAAACGAGCGGTTGGATAGAAAAAGATTGATATCAAAGTGCACAAATGTGTAAGAGAAGAAACGGAGTTTAAAAATTAAGGTTCGTCAAAATATCCAAAACCTCGCCAAGTTAACTAGGTTACTAGCCGGTTCTAAGCCAAGATAAAGAGGGAAGGTTGGGCATAGGGCTACCAACTCTATCTCATAAAAACAATCCAATTGCTAAAAAAAATTCAAAGCACTAAGAAAATAGAAAACATAAAACTGAACTTATTCCTCGTTCAAATTAGAGAGGTGAAATGACTCCTGTTGGTGAAAGCCTTCAGGAAGCCAATTGGTCGATGTCTTCTCTCTCTCGCGCGCGCGATGAAAGTGAAAGTAAAAGTAAATATGAGGACATGGAATGTCTGAACAATGCTTTAAGCTGGCTGGCATGGCTGCCCAGATTGACAAAGAGATCAGGATGTATAGCATAGAAGTGCTAGGAATCTGCAGGTGGAATGGAAGTGGACTCTCCAAACTCTTAACTGGAGAGTCAATAATCTACTCCGATATTGTCACCTAGATGACAACCACGAACACACTGAGTTTTCGAGTGGCTATCAATCACGATGTCCCCAACAGCATCGAAGGCTTACTCTCATGCAGTGGGAACCAATCCCCTCCTGCAGGATCATCATAGCAGGATTCAACTGAAAAGGAAGGAAAGTCACAATCATACAATGCTACGCTATGCACCTACAAATAATGCAGACGCGAACCAAGAGAAGAAGGAGGAATTCTACAGACAACTGCAATCAGTACTGGACAACACCCCACTCCGATTGGCGACATCAAAATTCTAATGGGTGGGGTGACATGAATGCCAAACTGGTAGCGGACAACACAGAAAGAGGACTCATTATGGATCGAGAAGCACTCGGTGAAATGATGAATGGGAATGGAGAACTGTTTGCAGACTTCTGCGCATTCAACGATTTGGTGATTGGAGGTAGTGTTAACAAACACAAGGATATTCACAAAGCAAGCGACATGGATTTCACCAGACACCAGGACACACGACACTAAAAATCACATTGACTTCATCTCAATGTGAAGAAAGTGGAAACGCAGTCAGCCTACTGGACAGAAGAAAAAGATCAGATCAATAAGGGGAGCAGATGAAGGTAGGTTCACACCACTCACTATCTAGTGCAAGGAACCTACTTTCAAAATCACGTTGAGAGCCTTCAAAGAAGTTGGTGTTAGACCACAGTTCAAGTTGAACACCCACGACACAAACTGAACTCAAGGACGAAACTTTAAATGACATCTTCACGTCAGTCAGTCATCAGGACAAAATGGAAGACATTGAGCAACATTCGTGAAGGAACCTGCGTGGAAGAACACTGGAACTCCTTGAAAGCTATGTGGAAAGAAAGCTGCATAACCATATTAGGAAGGAAGAAGAGGTGACAAGACAAGGAATAGATCTCGATGGACACATGGAAGCTGATGGAGCAGGAAGAGGAAGATGGTGATGGTGAAGCAGACGATGAACCGGTGTAGTGCAGTGAAGTGCATGGATGAGCAACGAAAAGAGGGACTGAACATAACCTATCAAACACTACACTGGACAAAAAAGTGAAGAGGAGTGCGCGCAAAGACAAGAGGTAGTGTGAGGAAGAAATATGAAGATTTCTGGGAAATGGTGGAGTCAGGTTAAGAAGAGTGGATAGAAGAGAGTGAGATGGCGACGTGCTACTGAAGCGTTATGTTCCACTAGGAACCCAAGGGTGAAATAATATAAGATAGTAAAATATTCAAGGTTTAGAATGCGTCAAAAAGTGAAGACATCTGCACCATCGTGACGAATTTCCAATCATGTTACGAAGAGTCCTCAACCACTGATTCCAATCGTCTCAGGGACCGCAATCAGGTAGTGTACACCTCCGTATACAGCTCTGCCCGAGTCTGGGGTAAGGATGCCTGGTGCACCACTGTTGTTCAATTTCGTCAGTGGACACAGCTTTAGATACCTCTGACTTCACGGTGACGCAGTTACTATGTGGTAGGTCACATCTTATTAATTTGGACTACATAGACAACATTGTTCTGTTAGGCGAAGGCCTAGACTAAAAGTAAAGCCTTCCGAACACTTTGAAAAGGAAGGGGGTTGGTGATGCGTTCTGCTTCTGTCAGATGTAAGATGGTGATTCAGTAGTGGTTTGCAGCTACCCCTATTAAGGGATAGTGAGTGAAGTGGTAGAATGCGTTGACCATTTCACTTAGTCGAATGAGTTGGTTATTAACAGAATTTCATCACGAATACAAAAGGTTCATTTGGGATTCGCCAAGTTTTCTGAATACCTGTTAAACGACAAGTATACTGTACTGCAGTTCCCTCTGTTTGTGACATGTGGCTCTTGAAATTAGGTGTTACGCGATTACAAGTTTTCGGATAGAAGCGTCTTCACAGCACTGGGGGAATCCCTATATGAGCCGTTTCGACGTCAGGTCGATGCGGTTGTGAATTTTTAGAGACAGAGATGTCTTCGATATATGATGCATATGCTGAGCTACTACTGCCTACCTCATCGTGAAATGTCCACCGAAGTTGGATGGAGTTCGAAGAAGGCTTACAGTGACCAAGCCAAGACGTGGCACCAGTTGATGGAGTTATAAATATCCATGCACAGTCAGTCCACCTCACTTTCTTCCAAAGCACTGACAACCCTTGCTAGAATGATATTGGCACGTTCTCCAGCCAAAATTGCACCTCAAAGAACAACCTCACTTAAACATATTAATAACCATTAGGAAGCCAAAAGAAAAATACAACTTTTCTATCATAACCACTACTGGATTAGACATTGAAAAAAGCATACCATCGTAGAGTCTTCTCTAGTCAGTAAAAGATAGCTATGTGTCAAACCAGTAGGTGATTCGGACTCCGTAACCATATTTTCGTTATCCATGGTTTTATTCCCATCTGTATCACAAAGATTTTCAGCTGGTTCAATTTCATTTGAGGCCTCCTCCTTCTTTGCATTATCTGCAGCAAGTAAGAATACAAGCATGATTCGAATTAATTAACTTTCAGTTGTAAACAGTTAACTTGCACACGCTTTTCAACATGTTACAGGGTTTCAATGCATATCAGACGGTAAGCTTCGAAAAATTACTTTTAATCACCAAGTCTTATGTATGAATAAATTAAATGGCTTCGATAAATACAATTCTAAAGTCTACTTAGCCTCACATATACTCAATAGAAGTATGCACAGAACTCTAATGTGTAAAACCAATAAACAGATGAATTCTTAAAGTTTGAAAAAGGGGACACTACAGACGGTGCTGAAAAGCCATCTGTCAAAGTGTATCAATAGTACTTTTTATGCTACTAGTCTGAGATTGATTTTATCCGGCCGTCGTCTGATTCGATAATGTGTGAAGAATAGGCTACCACTCATGTCCACATCTATGTGTATCTACAAATTCACATGCTCCTATGGAGTTGACTATATATTGAACGTTGTAAGTGGACCCTGCCAAAACGCGTTACTGAACACTACCCGGTTAGACTTACCATAGGTGAGCAAAGGAAAACAACTTCAGCCATATGTGAACACCTTGTAGAGTTAGGTTGCTCAGCTACTCGACATTCATCCTTTAAGGTAATTTACAAAGTTAAATTAAACAACTTCAAAGGTTTACGTTTCCACCACATATGCATAGCTGAAGCATTAGCTATACATGAACAGAAACCAAAACTTTTCATTCGAAAGCATTTTGTGAAACCTCTTTGTCTATACTGGCCTTAACAATTTCTTATTGGTTACTTTGGTATACTTCTCTTTCATCATTATCATTATCGTCATCATCATCATTATTATCACTATTTTTCACTTCAATGACAGCAACTGGCCCTTATCTCACTACTTGTTATCTCATTTCGTTCCTTATTCAGTGACCCATTTTATATTTCACCTACTACCAACACCAACTGCATATTTTGCAGATTGACTGAGCAACTGTTTTAGTGGAATTATCTATCACTTTACTGATTAAAAATACGACTGTACAGCTTGATAATGAAGTTGTCGAAAAGAAGAGGTGGCTATCGTACCCTATTGGCTTAGTGGATAACGCTCCGTCGTTTGATGCAAAGGGTACTGGGTTCGAGCTCCAGTGTGGACAACATCACTCACCGGAGTGTAGGTACATCCAACTGACGAGTCCCAAGTAGAACAAAACGCCCCTCCAGGATTCCACTGAGAGTCATAAAGATCAAAAATATTTCTTCACTGACACATGTCTTGTTCTTATTCATGATTATACTATTATTTATCCCTTGGGTTCCTAATGGAACATAGGGCTTCAGTAGCACGTCTCCATTCCATTCTGATCTCTGAAATCTTTTGAACCTGGCTCCACGGCAGCCCACAAGCTCTCATTTCTTCATCACAAGATCTCCTCCATGTCACCCTCAGCTGGGACGCCCAACTCGTCGCTTCACATTCCGATCCCACTCGACTGCCTGGTCTGGCACGTGATGTCCCCAGTCGGCTTTCTCAGTGTATGCCCAATCCATCTCCACTTCCTTCCAGTGCATATTTGTTGAGCGATAGGTTCTTGGTTGGTTCGTTCCCAGAGTTCCTTGTTGCTTATTCTTTCTGGCCATCTGAGCTTCAGTAACGAGCCAGCGTAGGCAGTTGCTGATGAATGTCTGTTGTTTGTTGGAAATCCCTTTCGTCACGCGCCAAGTCCCTCAACCATCACACTGAAGCACTGACTTGACGTTGGTGTTGGAAATCCGGATCTTGTTCCACATGTTGAGTGCAGAAGATCTCCATACTGGTTTCAGGCTAATGAACGCCTATCTTGCTTTTCCGATCCTAGCTGGCTTTGACGTCCTCGTCTGTGCTGCCTGCCTAAATAGGTGAAGGAGGCTACTTCCTTTAACTTTCTCCCACTGATGGTGATTGGAGCTTGTTGTTGTTGGTTGGGTATCTTCATCACTTCTGTCTTCTCTATATTCACCTGAAGTCCCGTCTTAGCTGCCTCTTCTATCAACTTGTTAGTTTTTGCCTGCAGATCTTCAAGTTTGTGTGACATCAGACACAAGTCATCGGCAAAATCCAAATTATCTAGGATGTTTTCCCCGGTCCAGCGTATCCCCCTCTTCTCGCTCCCCACTGTTTGCTGCATAATCCAGTCAACTCGATCACAATCAGGAATATCATGGGGGATAGTAGGCAACCTTGCTTCACTCCTGTCTTCACTTCAAAAGCATCACTGAGCTTCCCATTGTGAATAACTTGGCATGTGGCGTCCTCATATAGTTGTTGAATGAGGGGGATAAAGGTTTGCGGTACTCCGTAGTAATGAAGCAGTTTCCAAATTACTTCTCGGTCGACGCTGTCAAAGGTCTTCTCAAAGTCGATGAAGTTGAGGTAGAGTTGAGTTGACTGCCATTCTATACTCTGTTCTATGATGATGCGAAGCGTTGCAATTTGATCTACATATGACTTGTACTTCATGAATCCAGGCTGCCTGTTCCAATCGTAGTTTTGAATCCACTGCATCCTTCAGTCTCTCCAGGATGATGTGGCCTAATATTTTGCTTGGGGTGAGCAGGAACGTGTTTTCGCGCCAAGTCTTGCAAACAATTAGGTCGCCCTTCTTCGGGAATTTGACAACGTAGCTCTTCTTCCAATCAATGGCCAGGTACCTTCTTTTCCTTCCACACCTTCTGCAATAGTGGTATGAGCATGTCCGCTGTTGTCTCTGTGTCTGCTCTCAGTGCTTCTGGCGGGATTCCGTCTGGTCCTGCTGCTTTCCCGCATTCCAGTAGCTTTATGGCACTCAAGACTTCCATTTTTGTTGGAGGATTTATGTCCACTTGTAGTTCTGTGGCTTCAGGTGGTATTTCTGGACGAAGTGCAGGTGGTGGTCAATTCAAGAGCTTCTTGAAGTGGTCAGCCCATCGTTTGCTTTGTTTCTCTTCTTTCGTAATTAAATTTCCTTCATCATCTTTTATTGGTTTCATGTGTGTTGATCTCTTCCCAGATAGTAACCTGGTTATTTGATACAATGTTGTCAGGTCTCTCTCTCTCCTGCCTGCAGCCTGTTCTGCTTCACTTGCCAGTGTGTCGTGGAAGTGTCTTTTGTCTTTCCGTCCACTCTTCTTTACTTCTTTGTCCAGTGTTTTATAGATTGTGTTCAGTTCCTCCTCTAGTTGCGCATCCCTGCACTGGTTTATCTTCTGCTTCACCATTTTCCTCTCCTCTATCAGCTTCCATGTGTCCGTCGAGATCCATTCCTTATTCATACATAAAAAGGTATAGTTCATCAGGAAACTTTGTCACAAAAACATCAGTGTAAATGTAACATATCTCAAAGAACTAGACTGTAAAATCGGTCAACAGAAAAGTTATTACTCAAAGTAATAAGACAAAACTATGCATAATATGGTGAATAATAGTCGGATAACTTACTGGATTCAGAAATGTTTGTAGTATTGTCAGTATTCTCACTAACTGCAACCTGCTGTTCTGTTATTATTTTGTCAATTTTGTCTTCTTCTGGATGAGTACTTGATGTTGCCTGCTTACTGTCCGATGAATTCATATCCACAGTATTGTTGTTTGTTTCAGTTGGAAGATTTTGGACAGGAGTTATTATAGGTGGACCATAAAGTGACCATAAACTCATATATTCAGGCAATTCGAAAGCAGTTAAACCACATGGTCGTACACTTGTATGCAAAAGTGCTATACCTCCAGTGGATATATGATTTTTCTCCGTTGAAACATTGAATGAACGCGGTATACATGCCATCAACTCAACATGATGCATCTCTGATTGAGCATGAATAAGAGCTTCATCTGTAGGATCAGTATTACCAGGCGCTAAGCATGGAACTTCACCAGATGTTAGTTGACCCATTGGTCCAAGATTAATCAATCGATCTACTACCTAAAAGATGAATAAGTTGGTGGAGGGGGGAGGAGGAGAGCAGAGGGGAAGTGAAGTATTTCTCAAAGGGTAAACGTTAGTATGCATGTTTCAGTGTGAACTAAAGGACGAAAAATCAAACTTTAAAATAATCTTGATGAGAAACAACATAATTTATCCTCAAACATGTACATATATACTGCTTTAAACTACGAAAAAGATATTCATGTGTATGACTGTGTGTTTGAATAGATATCGTCTATGTAGGTGGGACCTGAAGATCGATTACCAGATGCCGTGCGATCTTGACTAGCTGGTTTGCGTCAGAAACCATGTCAGCACTGCAATTGGGCAGTTGAAAAACTATTCATCTGTATAAGAAATGTCGACGTGGACAGCACAATTTTTAAATCATTTGCATATTCATCGTCCTATCTTAGATACGCCCATCGGTGTCAGCTAACCAGATTCACATGATCTGAATCATTAATCTTCGTGAGCTGAATTCGTCCAGATACACTGCTGATGAGCTGCTTCGGCCCCAAACGAGTGAAACTGTCGTCGAGTATTTGGATCACTCTGATATGGCAGGCGAAATACTACACATCAATCTGAGTGGTTTCTAACTATTTCCCGTCTGTTTTAACGTTGTAACACCTGAAAAACACGCATAATTAATCAGTGCTCTCAACAAATTATGCCAATTTCGATAACAAACAGTATCCAGGACGCTTGTTTCGTCTTATTTGGAACTCATCAGCCGGGTGTACCTAGACCCCCCCGTTCAGTGAAGTTGTTTCCAACCGCTTCAAACGCCAGAGCATTATCTACCAGGCTACTGAGTAACGATAGTCACTCATCTTGATATTATAACTTGTGGCTTAGCGGATAACGCTCCGGTGGTTGAAGCACTTCGTTTCGGTTTCAAATCTTAGTGGGAACAATACCACTCATCGGGAGGCAAGTACATTCATCAACTGATGGGTTCCAATTGGGACGAAACCCATGTCCTGGACTCTACTGGTAGCCGCTATCCATTACTAATATTAAATTTGAAAATACTTGCAGTAACGAGACATCCGCATAGAAGTCTATTTTCCAGTAGTGGGTGAATCAGTTCGGTCCAATCAACGACAAAGATTCCACAAGCTGTAAACATCGACAATAGTATCCATGTTTATTCATACCTAGTATGATCAACCTTTTTGTAGAACTCCATTTGGAGGTTGATGGAGATTTATTAATTGGTTTCAAGTGGATATTCATCATAGACTGACACCAGTGGGAGGAACATTGGAAACCTGGGAGCACTGGACTGTTGTCTAGTCCTAGTATAGGACTCCACAGCAGTGCACACCCATGACCCCACCTCGTCCTGTCAGGGATCGATCCGAGGAACTTAAGGTTCTGTGGCCAGCACGTTACCTTCGAGCGACTGGATCGGAATCCAATAGTCCATATTTCCAATTTCTGTCAGTTCACGATATATAGCGCGAAGTAGAATTGTTTATTAATTTCAACATTTTCTTGAAACATCTTCAGATCATCAAGTTGTCTCTAATCTCTGGTATAGACAAATTCAAATCCATTTATTGTGTATAAAACGACCAAACAAAAATCTTGATAGAGTTGTATACTTTAAGAGGTATTGAAAGAGATTCATCAGATGATAATTCCTATAATAATGCTCAATTATTCAAGCTAATTGCATGAAGAGATAAACATACATCTACTGGAAATAATAATAAAAAACTTACCTTGAAGTTATAATTCACAATTTCTCGATAAATCGATGGTGGATTGAGAATACTCTCACCGTAGAGTTCTACATCAACTTCATCAAATTTATAATGATTAGTTAATGCAACAGTATAATCATTGAATGGAATTTTCTCTGAAATATGTGAATCTGATTGGTCTTTATCAGCACCACCTTTTTCTCCGTCTGCTTGATCTTCTATACGAGGATGTTTATTAAGTGGTGGTGCCTGAGGATGGTAGTTGTGTATCAAAAGAAAAGGTAACAATTAGAATGATAACATCTCAAAGTGCATATATATATATATATATATATATATATATATATGTTCAAAATTTTAGAGACGATAAACAATGAACAAATCTCCTTCATTGTGACTGATTTTAACCCATGTTACTACAAATATCCTTCTCTAGCCACTGATTCATAACAACATATTGACAGCATCATTTCCTGGAGAGGTCATGGGTGCGTATTACTGAGGGGTCCCATACTAGAAGGAAACAGCTGTTCCAGCGCTTCCAGCTTTTCAATGTTTCTTCAATTGATGTCAGTCCATGATGAATATCAACTTGAAAAATCACTTAATATCCACAAATCCCCAAATTCAACTGATCTAGTGCTCATTGGTGGCTAGCTTCGAGAGTTGATTCCTGAAGTTCCAGTAAGAAGTCGTGACAGATGGAGAAAACCTGGTGGCTGTGTAGGCAAATACTCAATCATGACATTGGGTGATGGTAGCGCTATATCGTGAACTGACGGAAGTTGGAAATATGGACCACTGGATTTCAACCAGTGGCTCAATGATAACGTGCTGCCCACTGAACATGGAGGTTCTGGGTTTGATCCCGGGCGGGGTTATGGGTGCGCACTGTTGAGGAGTCAGTCCCACACAACGACGAATCAGCTGTCCAGTGCTCCCAGGTTTTCAATATTTCTCTACCTGATATCAGTTCATGATGATGGTCATTCTGAGACTAATCAGGAAGCATAATTTTTTCAATATGACTTAAAATTACAGTTCATGACTTCATGAATTATTGACACATCCTACTGGGTCCAGTCAACCAACAACTGGAAGTAGGTTGAAAAGTGATTTTTCACACTGTCTACCCTGCAGCCGTCAACCGGCGAGTTATGCAGAAACTTTCTATTGATAATGAGGCATCGTAACACTTCGCAGTTCTTATCAAACAAGAATCCTTTTACCTCGAGACTTGATACAATTCCTTATATATACAAGTTAATGAAGAGAAGTTGTTGAATCCTTAAACATCTGAAGGTTGAATTGTAGAAGGTTATCATACTGGATAGATGTGACTGAGTGTGAGTAGCAACCGAAATTACAAAAAGAAGCACCCATGGTATGGGAGCACTAAATTTGATTAATAAACACTGTTTTCGCATATAGGAAACTACAAGAGCTGAAACACCAACGGGACACTATATCGTAGAATGTTGTCAACCCGTGTTGTAGAAGTATATATTGAAAAAAACATGATAAGTCTTGAGGTAGTATTCATTACGGACTGATATTAGTTGGTGAACCATTGGAAACCTGGGAGCACTGGAAAGCTATTTCGTCCTAGTACGGGACTCCTCAGCAGCACGCACCCACGACCCAGCTAGGCATCAAACTCAGGACTTCGGGTTTCGGGTGGATGCACTAACTATCCAGCCACTTGGTCGCAGTTTTTATATTCTGTCGATTCGCGATATAGCGTGACTATCACCCAAGGTCTTCGGTTGGCATCCGTTTCTCTTCCAACTGGTTCACCCCACAGATCACGGCTTGTCATTAGAACTTCGGGATATTCATCTGGAAGCTTGTCACTAATGAGAACTATACAGTAATCTATTTTTGAGATGAACGGGGATTTCAATTTTGATGTAACATCATCACGGACTGATATCAGTCCTAACTATATGAAAGAAATAGTAGTGTAAGTTGGACTCAAGAAAAAAGCGTTTAAGGCCTTAGAGTGTTGATTTCTAAAGATTTTCACCCGTTGTTTACAAAAACTAGTTACCGCAGAAAATGATAGGCAAAGATTAAAATAAAAACTTTTACGTGACATTTTGTTAAAATCCATCTCCAGGATTAGAAAACATTATGTCACGATATATCGGTGGCCATTATTGAAACAGTATGACTAAGCTGTTTGAACGGACAAACAAAATCAACGCAGAACATTGCACACAAGTGCATCGGTTCAACTTGACACAATTCACAGTAGCATGGAAGGAACAAGTTAATGGAAAAAGACTGACATCAAAGAGAACAACTTGTGTGAAAAAATAAACATTTTGAAGATAAAGGTTAGTGCAAATATGTTCAAGTTTCAGAAGACGTTAAAAAATGAATACATCTGAGCCACTGTGATCGATTTTCAACCATTTCACCAGGTCTTTAACTATTGATTCTTATCATCTCAGGGACCACAGCCAGCCAGTTTACCTCTCCCTGCACCCCTTATACCCACAGTTAGAGTCTTCATCGACTGATGCCACGTCCTGGTTTGATCAACTTCAACCGTCTTCTAACCTAATCCGACTTCCCATACTATGGCACATCGAGGTAGGCGGTAGATCAGCATGGGAAACACATGCTCAACTCACCTTAGTTGACTACTAAGATTCACAACCTTATCAATCGACTTGTCTGTCTTGCCTAGTACACTTCTTCTGACGCCAAAATTGCTCACATGGCGATTCCACCAAAAGCAATCAATTCTACGAAGGCACCTATGACGAAAACCCTGTAACCGCTTCATGTCTTCTACTTTTAACAGTCATGTTTCACATATGTATAACAGGACACAACGGACTGCAGCGCATTATGCTTGGTCTTTGATAGATAGTCGGATATTTCGCCAGTTGGCGCGACAGATGATAAGAGTTGGAAAATCTCAAACGGGCCTTCTGTATCTGAGCTGAGATTTCATCAGAAATCAACCCGTTCTGACTGATGAGACTACCCAAATAAGTGAAGTGGTCAACACGTTCCACCATTTCACCCCCTATCATTAAACTGGGAGTACTCGCAGCAGATCAGTCCTGGAGCATTATCTTACGTTTGTACTGCAAGTGCACTAGATGATTTTCAGGGAGTAGATCAATCCCTGTGAAGTCAGACGTACCTAAGGTTATGTCACTTAGTACATCCATAATAAATCTATCACAATCGAGTTACTCAAACTACAGCAACAGTTGTCTGAACTGTTAACAATCGGTTTTCACCTGTCCTGATATGATAGGATCCTTTTAAGGAATAAGAATCTCAGATGTTGCGTAGTAGGACACAATTGCTGCTAGAGGCAAGCAAACATGATCATTGCTGTAGAAGTTATTTTTTTCCGAAAGACTAGGTCAGTACGAAAATGAAATGAACATGAAGTATAGACCTATTAATCTGAGAGAGATGATAAGATTGTCTTTTGTGTATTCAATGGAAAAAAGGGCTGGAGAATAAAGGGGGGAAATTAGTGACTTTATAGGTTGAAACAAAAATACACCCTTTTAAATATCGACTGGAACACTAACCTCATCACTTTTTTCTTCTTCAGCAGTAGAAGTGACCACAGCAACAGTAACAACATTGTTGTCCACAGAAGAATTATCACTTCTTAAGGATGTATTGTTGAAATCATTCACTCGATTTATTAACTCACTATCCACCGTTTTCCCATTAGCATCAACACATAACAATGAATAATCAATTTTCATTAAGACAGAATCACAAAAACGTGAACCAATAAACAGATAATCCGATTCTAATAGAACCATCTACAAAAAAAATGAGAGAAAGAGAAAAAAAAAGCAAAGTAAATTCAATTCTTAATAATTATGAAAGCTTTGAAGTTTTTGAAGATCTAGATCACTTCAAAAAAATATGGTTTCAAACCTTGATTTTTACATCAGCAACATTTCTTTATAAAAGTGAAACCAATGATTTGACATATTTTCTTGACATGAAAAAAAGAAGTATGTATAGAAAGCCGATGACTAGGACAGGGCATATAGACTTTCTCAGCCTTATAACAATAAAGTACACCAGCAATATAATCGAATACCTACCTAGCATTCAGGTTTATTTTGAGGAGTGTATGTAGAAAGGGAACTATTGTAAGCAAAAACAGATATCCCGAAAACTTTATCTAAGGAAATATAACTTACAGAAATCTCGAACGTGGAGAGAAAACCTTTGTTTCTGTGTTTACACTTCAAAAGAGACGCTCCAAGTGACATCTTATCATAAAACCTGCCTGTAGCAGTAAACAGAACGTTCTACTCAAATTGTCTTTGCATATCCTTTAGTGATCAATCAATACTTCATCTAAGACCAAAGGATACCTTCCTCAGCTTACATATGTCAGCTTAACTATTCCTGTCATATCGTGTCGCGGCGTACGCCACGACAGCTTGCTTTCGAAAAGATGAAGTCAGAGCGATAAGAAGTTCTATCTTAGCCCACCCAATGGACACAGAGCATCACACAGATGCTCATAGAGCTTTGAATTTAATACACCACTCCAAATACACCACGTGTAGCCCAACAACATATATACTCAACATAACGGAGGCTGTAACAATGTATTACTTACTCTTAGTGAATGACAAATCAAAAAGTGTACTTATCCTTTTTCTATATACTTTTATACCTGTTAGCTGCTTTAAAAGCTTCATAGACACAAACAGCATACATAATCACACGTTTTACCATGATAACCTTTCTCGTTTTTTTTGAAAGAATCATCTTTAAAAGAAGAAAAGTTGTATGCATTTGTTATGTAGTGGGCGTTGATGATCAGAATGGATATAAGTAGTATATGTTAGAGGACGGCAGAAATCATAGGGAATTACCAGCAATGGGTAAGGATTCTAATCAGAGAAACGCAAGAGACAATGTGGGCGTATTAAGAGCAAATCAAGATAGAAGAGGAAGAGGGAATGAAGCACACTATGCGAATGACTATCTTAGTGCAAGGTGTACCATATTTCATGAATACTGTGTACCAGATGTTAATAATAAACATTCCTTACTTCGTCTCTGCCTTCTCGTTTCCTTCAGTTATAGCGTAGAATAAGATTACCAAAATCTTCATAATTAGCCGTAAACCCCCTAAAACCTTTCTCAACCAGTCATTTTACTTTGAAGTTTTGGGGAAAACAAAAACGTGAATCAGGTTGGTTGAAGAGACGAGAAGTCAATCGAATATTCAAATTTGAAAGATCTCGAAATAGCCAAGATCATTGTAAATATATAGTTGAGCTTTTTTATCTGGTATATGTTTGTTAACGTTGCAAATAAACCTTTTATCTTACCGCCTTTTTCATTTATCAAGAAATTGAACGACCATCAAAAGGTTGAACCTGTAGGCTATTGTACAAACATCCACTTATATATAAGTGAGGTTATATCAAGTAGTCACTATAAGAATATAACAAGTGACGAAGGGGATATAAAGAATTCCTCTATTTTTCTTCGTTGAATATAATTTGAAGAGTTAAGTAAATAGAAAAGTACTCACTTCTGAAATGATGGATGGTGATGATGATGGTTCGCTGTTCTTTGAACTTCAGTATTTTTCGCGGACACTGCATCACGACGCTTAGTGATATCTTCATCATAAACTTCACAAAGAAGTAAAGTATATTCAAATGTAACGCGAGAAAATACTGAGGCTTAAAGAACACCGAATCACCATCAAAATTACTAGCCTTTGCTGAACATATAAGTTTAATCTGATTACAGATAATATCAAGGCATTCATACAGGAAGGCCATAACACTAACAGCGGCTTTTCGCTTCTGTAGATCAACAACCACAGGGAAGATCAAATATTCTGAATAAAAAGCTAATACCAATTGAACAAGATATAATTATCATTATTCAATATATTAGTAGACAATACTCAGATGTTATGAAGCGATAGATGCTGAATTCCCTTCGTAGTAGAAACGAAAACATGAGTGTCTATCCGATTGACTAGTGGCCAAATAAGATAACAAATGCAACTAGAATTCCATTAGTAGCCACCACCAAATATACAATCTAAATATGGGATCATTTAACCTATTCCAAACAACTCTTGACTTTGAAACTAAGCTTTCTGCATTATCGTTTTGGCTTTGATAAATCATCTAAAAGTGTTCCATGGAGTGTAGGAGACTTTACTGTGAACCTGACATTCTAAGTGGCACTATCAGCTATATATCTATGATAACTTCAAATGGATTCTATGACGACAACAGGCCATAATCAACCAAACATGGATGGATTATCATACAGTAATGAACTTTATGGATTAATAACATGCGAATCATCAGAAATTACAAATAATCTCGCCTCGATAGTCGATAGGAATGTGAACCTTAGTCGACTAAGGTGCCGATCCACCGCCTACCTCTACATGTAATGATAAGCGAAGTTGGATTAGGTTGCAAGAGGGTTGAGTGTGGCCAGACTAAGAAGGGGCACCAGTCCATGAAATCTCTGACTGAGGGTCTGGGATGTCGAACAAATGCACTTCTGTGCGAAAATTTTACGTTGATTCTATCTGTTTCTACTTCAATAATTCCAGAAGGCAAGCGAGCAGCTTAGACCTAGGACACAGTTATCAAATTTAACTACTTATAGATACTTTGGGGCCCAAAGTCATTGCAATTAAGCTCAAAGACTCAATAACTAGAACCAGCCATCAAATATATATATATATATATATATATATATATATATATATATATATATATATAAAGTTATTATTAGCACACAAGCATGATACAGTAAAGGTATCAGGAAATGCGCCACACAAAATAATATAACAACATTATGAAGACCCAAAGCGAAGGGAAATGGATAAAAAGAACACAATAAGAATAGAATGATTAGAAGGGTAGGTCAGTAAAATACATTCAAAACAAAACATTCATTACTTTTCAGTAGTAGACAACAGAAGAGAGCTATGGTATGACCACTACTGAGCTGCGTGATCTCTCGGACGCGATCCCATCCACTCAGGGAGTCGCGGTGCACCAACAGACACTAACCCGATACAACAATCCTTCATCCCACAGCGCCACGTCATACACTGAACACCACTCTGCCTCTTCCATCCATTCCATGACCCAGGGCTAGTAAACAATAAACGACATGGAAGCCGTTGAGAGGACATGCGTAACACATGTCCAAGCCATCGAAGCTAGTGTTTCTAGATGACTCCATTAATTTAACGACGATCTCCATCATGTGTAAACACATGCTCTCGTACCTCAGAATAACTTACATAGTATTGTTACTGGATACATGGGCAATCCTACGGAGACAGCAATCATCAAGCACACAGAGTTGTCATACATTCTCAGCTCGTAGATGCTAGGTTTCACAAGTGTAGAGCAGAACTGCTAACGCCAAAAGTAACCCAGATTGACGTATGACACTGGCTTTCGATACGCATTTGGAAATCTAACCACACACCCCCACCATCACTCACACAACTACGCAGATACATGAGCAACTTTTCGACTACTCACCACCAGCACCAAGGGTGAGCGCAGGCGCATGCTCCTGACAATCTTGCAAGAGTACTTCGTACTTTAATGGTTTCCAACTAAGTTGGGATTAGATGGTTTGGAAATATTTGTGCATTTGATAAATGATATTAATTATTTTTACATTCACACCTTTTAACAAACGAAAAACGAAACAAGATGTTTTCGCTGGAATTTTGCTATTCAGTGCTAACAGCTTTATCAAATCTCTTGTTGCTCAATAATTAGGAAGTATGAATACCAAAACGATGAATGACTAGTAACTCACTTCTTGGCTCATCTTCCCGCTAATACAGAGGAAGTAACGTCATGGACTCGAAGTTACTTAATTTACTGGGTGTAAGTGAGGCGATTCGATACCAAACCAACAGTAACATTTGAGTGACAGATATAAAACGATAAGTCCTCCTGACACTTAACTGTTGTTGATGCAAATGAGATGATCAAGATGTACTCAGTAGCCTTGTGGGCGTTTGTGCAAGTAGGCAATACTATAAGTCACATCTTTTGTGTGTGGGACGAAGTTCGGACCCGTGACCCATTAGTTCAAAGTTCGCTGTCTAAACTGATGAGCCACAGATTTACGCTGTTGTTGTTCCTTTCAACTGAAAATCGTAATAAACCTCAGTCACGACAATTATCAATTTTTGCACAGAAATAGCCTGAAACATATGTATACAACTTACACAATGAGGTGGTACAGCTTGACCAACTTCATGAAATAAAAGACTTGTAACAGTCTGAGTAGCTTGTTCTAACCAAAGGGATAGTAAGTATAAATTCCCAGTTCGTGTACCAATTAAAAACTGTGTTTCATTTAAAGTAACCACACGGGAACCATCAATACTCAATGGGCCACAAGACGGAATTTCTTGGCCTAAAGTTTGAAATGGAGGGAAAGACAAACACTTAGAAACGCAAAAAAACAGTAATATGGTATTTTTTAAAAACACCTTTTTTAGTATACCCTCTTCTATAGGATAGAGATAATGCAGGGCGATGAAAAATTGAAGGCATAGTCACTTTTGTACAACAAAACAGTAAACATTCGAGAAGACAATTATTCCAAGAAGAGCGGTGAAAGAATGACGTCGTTTTGTTGACGAAAGCCCACCATTTATGGTAAAATATCTACTACCATAGAATATAAAGTCATGTAAGGAGACAGTTAAGGATGAAACGTATATGATCCATGGAATAGTAAAACGGAAAGTTGTAGAATGTAGTAGATTTGAATTCAGTTGCAGATAGACAGATAGCCAGACGAAATCAATATAGGACCTCGCACACAAGTGTATCGGTTCAACATATTACACTTCGCAGTAGCATGCAAAGGACAAGTGCATAGAAAAACACTGACATCAAAGTGGATGAAGTTGTGTCAGAAAATAGACAATCTGAAGATAAAAGTTGGTGCGAATATTCAAGCTTTTAGAAGACGTCAAAGAGGGAATATATCGGCGCCACTGTGACCAATTTTCAGCCATTTCACCAAGAGTCATCAAATACTGATTATCCTCTCAGGGAACACAGCTAGATAGTTTAAATCTCTTCATACTGCTCAGATCAACAGCCAGGGACTTCACCTACTGATGTCACATCTTGGTCTGCCTACTCTTAACCCTCCTCTATCATAATCTAACTTCGCCTAGCATTGGACGTCGAGGTAGGCAGATCAGCACACGCAACACATTTCCCAGTCATCTCAACTTACGACTAAGGTTTGCAACGTCACTAATCGACCTGCCTGCCTTGTCTAGTACTCTTCTTCTGACGTCAACATTTCTCACAGTGATTCCACCAAACGTGCAGACACCTGTGGTCAAAACCATGTAATCGCTTCATGTCTTCTACTTTTAGCGACTGTCTCACAGCCATATAACAGGACAGAACGAACTGCAGCGCAGCGTACTCACCTTCCGAAAGGGAGTCGGATATCTCACCAGTAGGTGCTAAAGATGATGCGAGCTGGTCAATGTCAAACGGGCCCTCTGTATGTGAGCTGAGATTTCTTCAGAAACCAGCTCGTTTGGGTTGAAGCAACTCCAGAAGTGAAGTGGTCAACACATTCCACCATTTAACTCCCTATGATTAAAATGGGAGTACTCACAGCAGATAGGTCCTTAAGCACCATCTTACATTTGCCAGGTGCGAAACGCACGCCAAACATATTCTGATTCCTGGCTCAACACGTGCAGAAGACTGCATCTTGTCTGCATCATCATCCAGCAGAATAATGTTGTCTGCATATTCCAAGTCAACCAGACGATCTCTAGGGTGTAAGTCAGTCCCCGTGAAGTTAGACATACCTAAGGTTATGCCCATTACTGTGTCTATGACGAAGTTAAATAGGAACGGTGATAATGGACATCCGTGGTGAACACCACTAGTTGTTAATTCACACGACAACTCTCCATAAGCCCTGACACGGGAGCATGACTACAAGTAGAGAGCTTTGATCATCATGAGATACTTTCTCGATACCCCTTTCACAGTCAGACGCTGCTGCAACATCTGACGGTCAACAGAGCCAGGTGCTGCTTCCAAGTTAGGAAATATGTCAAGCGTAAGTACCGGCAGGTATGGCTGTGCTGCAGAACCTGTCCGAGGATGAAAAGATGATTAATGCATCTTCGTGCAGGTCTGAAACTTGCCTGGTTTTCTTGAGTTTTCGAGGAGGTGAATGGATATGGGTATCCTGATGATGAATACAGTCAACACATTTTTTAAATAGGTCTATACACAGTAAAAAAAAAAGACTTATTAACTAAAATTTGTTATACCGCTGTGACAAGTTGCAATGAATTATTCCTCAGCAAATTAATAAACCGCATAGAAAATTAAAAGTAAACAGCGAAAGAAGGTAAACTCACGCATAGGAAAATTGGTTGATATTTGTGCGTAACAGTTGAGCGGTAAGCCACACGATGGCAGAGTTTGTTTTAAATACATAATAGAATTCGTTGCCATAATGACGACACCACCTAAAAAGAAAAAAAATAGATTCAGTCAGAATATGCCACAAAGTACAGGCAGTTAAGTAATGTGAAAGCTGTTGAATTAAAATTGGTGGACATAACTATAACTCTCTTGGGGTACCTGAATGCCATTCTATTGTGACGCGCCAGGTATTAACATCTAGAAGCCCATGAGGAGCGGTAAAGTGGTATGGCTATTTGAGATGCTGGCCAGGAAATCCTGAAATGGTAAGTGCACTGGTGAATACTGGTCGAGCCTAGTTACGTAGATGACGATGAGCCTCATCGGGGCCTTGCCGGATTCTAACGAATACACAGTCTTAGTTGACTTAACGACAAAAGCGGTCGAAAAGATCCTTAAGTGATGCCAGTGATGCGGATCTCCAAAGCATGAAAGGACTTGTATGCCATCAGGACACCGCCTGTCAATAAGTTCTTGGTTTACCTTGCAAATGTGAGTGGTGCTCGTTCCGGAATGCGGGGTATCATTTGCTGTAACCATGTCCCAAAAATGAGCTGCTGGCTGGGCGTAAGTCTCTGGTGAGTTTGCCAAGGAACAGAGGTCTGGTTACTCCAGAGAGGTGTGATGCACCACTATCTGCATGACTGTGGAATATCCGTGAGACGTATCCCACGCAGGTCTGCCTACGGGAAGGTTGGTACGACCAACGAGCTCATCACCCGGTGAACGCGGATATACTGAAGCCTAGTAGCTAGGAGGGAAGGACTTACTGAAGGAATAAAAATTGCGGGAGTATTAACCAGAATGTCCTGGCAGAAGTGTTCGTTTTCATGTGAAGTCGTTACCAACGGATGTTTCCTAGTTGCGGGGGGGGGGGCAATCCCTCAAGTTTATGAGACAATAACGTTCAAGCAAACCAATGTCCAGCCTGGGACTTGGAGCTGAGCCGAAACTTGGAGCAAAACATGAATAAAGATGTTGGAATTAAATGAAAATGAGGTAGTAGTTTTCCTCGACATCATCAGCCTGTTTACATCAATAAACGTACAATTAATCAGGGATAGCACGAGACTCATTAAATAATAATGAGAAATTTATTAACCACACAAACATAAAGATGTCAGACCAAAGAATGTATATATAATCTTCTAAGGGTGGCAACCCAAGTGCTTTCTAACTATTGGTCTGTTCTCAGAGCTTTTCTTTATATAGACACTCGTACATTCATAAAGGAAAGTTCACAAACCAAAAAAATGATTTGGGTCTAGAAAATCAAAATTATTGCATAAAAGTTAGCTTTTATGGCTCTATATTCCGATGTTTGAGGTAATCAGTGTCGGTGTTCAGTTTCAGCGGAAAGCATCAGCTGAGATACAAGAACGTCAGGTGAAAAAACCTGTGGGACAAAACAGATTCCTTGGTTCAACTGTCAGCTACAATGGGGGCACAATTACAACATAATTTCCCTAAAATGTTTAGACCAACTTCTCAGCTGGGAGAAATAGCTTACGTCTGAGGGGTTTGGGGAATACACTGTTACAACACTTTATTTTTTCGAACTCACTTGTTGATTTGAGTGATTGCTGACGCCTTATACCGTAAGAGTTAATATTTTCCAAAGGTTTCGTACTTTAAAATAATGGATTGTAATTTGTCTTCCGAATAATAAGCTACGACATCAATTTTTTGGTAATGATGGATGTAGATTTAGTCCCATGAGACTCTCCAGTTGAATGTGTCTGCCTCCCAGTGGGTGATGTTGTTCCTACTAGGACTCGAATTCCAGATCGATCGCTTCAAACACCAGAGCGCTTTCCGCTAGGCCACCGAGTCAAGACAGCCACTTTTTGTGCTACGGGTATAGTTTGGTTTTGATGTTATAGTTTGTAATTTCCCATTATTTTTTGGACTGAATTGATCAACCTCTTGTATTCCACTGCTACCTAGCCACTACCCATTATTAATACCAAACTGAAATTACCGGGGGCATTTAGGCATTCGTGCATGAGCTTATATACCAATAGAGGCTGATCAATCAATCAACGACAGGAAATTACAAGTAATAGCAATATTTATAGATTGTTACTAAAGAAACCCTGAATATTAATTTAGTCTTGATAGTGCCTTCAAAATTCGCAATCTCCGTGAAGAATTACATTCAACAGTAGATAATAGGTCCCACAGTACAAAAAGGGTGAAATGTTGCTTTGACTGTAAAAACATTTATCAACAAATTCACCTATTCTTATTTGGCAGTCTACATTGTATGTGCTTATTACTGATTTTGAACAATAAATGGTGTAACCAGGTACAGAAGTACAATAATCAGCTGCATCACTGAGTACCTAGTTGACTGAGAAGATCCATTTCTTGTCAATACTTTATTCGCCGCAGTTTACAGTTTTCTATGTTACGACTTCAAATACTTAGCGCATACCACGTATGGTTGAGTTAAGCTATGTTTATAATTTTGAAGTTTACCTCTTTATATACAGGAGAATTGTTTTTTTTTTTATCTTACTAAGGCTGAACTAGTAAATTTTCAGCTCAAAATCATCAATACCAACATAAGACCAGGTATTATTACGTAACGTCCCAAGTTGCCACACCTCATATCAGCAAATCGACTGAGAAAGCACTAAGCTCAAAGATGAAGAAATAAAGAGGAATCGGTCAAAAGTAGTAGAAAAGAGTAAAAGGTAGGAAGGAGTCAGAAAATGCTGAATTCAACATGGAGTTTAGGATGAAGATAAAGTGGATACATCTGCGTCACTGATATCGATTCTGAGTCATATCAACTGGAGTCTCCAGCCGCTGGTTTCTCTTGTTCTATGGACCCCAACCGGCTAGTCAAAGGCTTCATCCAACGATGCTGTTCTAGCCTGTCTGCCCCGAGCCCTTTTCCAGCCTGAATCTACTTCAGCAAAGATTACGCAACGAGGCAGACCGTGACTAGGCATGTGTAAAGCATATCCCAACCGCCTGAGTTGATGAAGATACACAACTGCATCAACTGACTTTTCAACTGATTACTTTTCATTTTTCAAACTAGCTAAGCCACTTATAACAATTAATACTGTCATCAATTTTCAGCTTATCTTCTCTTTATCATTTCGCTTTCTAAGAAATCCACTGCTGCAAAGTAATAGCATGTAACTAGCTGTAACCTCGCCTGGTTAACTAGTTCACTAGTAACTAGCCGATCCTAAGCCCGGGTAAACAGGGAAGACTATGAGTAGGGCTAGCAACCCTTCCCCGTAAAACAAATCTAACCGCTAAACAAACTTCAAAGCACAAAGTACATCATAAAAAATAAAATTAAACTTATTCCTCGCTGCAATCTAAGAGGCAAAATGACCCCAGTTGGTGAAAGCCTTCGAGAAGCCAATTGGCCGATATGTCTTCCCTTCTCTCAATGAAAGTAAAAGTAAACATAGAGACAAGGAATGTCCGCACCATGTTTGAACCTACCAAGGCTGCCCAGATTACAAAAGGGATGAGAAGGTTTATCATGGAAGTGCTAGGAATCTGCGAAAGCAGATGGAATAGAAGTGAACTCTCCAAACTGTCAAATAGAGAGTCAATAATCTACTCCGATATTGTCACCTAGATGACAACCACGAGCACACTGAGTTTTCGAGTGGCTATCAATCATGATGTCCCCAACAGCATCGAAGGCTTACTCCCATGCAGTGGGAACCAATCTCCTCCAGGATCATGACAGCAAGATTCAACTCAAAAGGAAGGAAGGTCACAATCATACAATGCTACGCTATGCACCTACAAATAATGCAGAGCAAGAGAAAAAGGAGGAATTCTACAGACAACTACAATCAACACTGGATAAGACACCACCTCAGTTGACGATATCAAAATTCTAATGGTGGGTGACATGAATGCCAAACTGGGAGCGGACAACACAGGAAGAGAACTAACCATGGGTCGAGAAGCGCTCGGTGAGGTGATGAACGAGAATGGAGAATTGTTTGCAGAATTCTGCGCATTCAAAGATTTGGTGATTAGAGGTAGTGTGTTCAAGCACAAGGATATCCACAAAGCGACATGGATTTCACCAGACAACAGGGCACACTAAAAATCAGATGGACTTTATCTCAATCTCAAGAAAGTGGAGACGCAGCCAGCCTACTTGAAACAAGGTCAAGAAGAGGAGCAGATGCAGGTTCACACCACTCACTATGCAGTGCAAGGAACCTTCCAAATCAAGTTGAAAGTCTTCAAGAGAGCTGGTGATAGACCGCAGTTCAAGTACAACACTCGGAAACTGAAGGACAAAACTACAAAGGAAATCTTCCCGGCAGCCATCAAGACAAAATGGGAGATATCGAGCAACATTCCTGAAGAAACCTGTGTGGAAGGACACTGGAAGTCTCTGAAAGAGATGTGGAAAGAAACCTGCACAGCCGTATTAGGAAGGAAGAAGAAAGAAGACAAGGAATGGATCTCGACGGACACATGGAAGCTGATAGAGGAGAGGAAAATGGTGAAGCAGAAGATAAACCAGTGCAGGGATGCGCAACTAGAGGAGGAACTGAACACAATCTATAAAACACTGGACAAAGAAGTAAAGAAGAGTGGACGGAAAGACAAAAGACACTTCCACGACACACTGGCAAGTGAAGCAGAACAGGCTGCAGGCAGGAGAGAGAGAGACCTGACAACATTGTATCAAATAACCAGGTTACTATCTGGGAAGAGATCAACACACATGAAACCAATAAAAGATGATGAAGGAAATTTAATTACGAAAGAAGAGAAACAAAGGAAACAATGGGCCGACCACTTCAAGAAGCCCTTGAATCGACCACCACCTGCACTTCGTCCAGAAATACCACCTGCAGCCACAGAACTACAAGTGGACATAAATCCTCCAACAAAAATGGAAGTCCTGAAGGCCATAAAGCTACTGAAATGCGGGAAAGCAGCAGGACCAGATGGAATACCGCCAGAAGCACTGAGAGCAGACACAGAGACAACAGCGGACATGCTCATACCACTATTGCAGAAGGTGTGGAAGGAAGAGAAGGTAACTGGTCATTGATTAAAAGAAGGGTTACCTTGTCAAATTCCCGAAGAAAGGAGACCTCAGTGTTTGCAAGAACTGGTGCGGAATCACTCTTCTGTCCACCCAGAGCAAGCAAAATATTAGGCCACATCATCCTGGAGAGGCTAAAAGATGCACTGGATTCAAAACTACGATTGGAACAGGCAGCCTGGATTCATGAAGTACAAATCATGTGTAGACCAAATTGCAACGCTTCGCATCATCATAGAACAGAGTATGGAATGGCAGTCAACTCAACTCTACCTCAACTTCATCGACTTTGAAAAGGCCTTTGACAGCGTTGACCGAGAAGTAATTTGGAAACTGCTTCATTACTACGGAGTACCGCAAACCTTTATCCGCCTCATTCAACAACTATATGAGGACGCCACATGCCAAGTAATTCACAGTGGGAAGCTCAGTGATGCTTTTGAAGTGAAGACAGAAATGAAACAAGGTTGCCTACTATCCCCCATGATATTCCTGATAGCGGTCGACTGGATTATGCAGCAAACAGTGGGGAGCGAGAAGAGGGGGATACGCTGGACTGCGGAAAAGAACCTAGAAGATCTGGATTTTGCCGATGACTTGTGCATGATGTCACACAAACTTGAAGACCTACAGGCGAAAATTAACAAGTTAACAGAAGAGGTGGGGCAGTGAAGACGGGACTTCAGGTGAATATAGAGAAGACAGAAGTGATGAAGATACCGCACCACCACCACCAACAAACTCCAATCACCATCAATGGGAGAAACTTAAAGGAAGTAACCTCCTTCACCTATCTAGGAAGCACTGTTTCAACTACAGGCGGCACAGGCACAGACGAGGATGTCAAAGTCAGAATCGGAAAAGCAAGACAGGCGTTCATCAGCCTGAAACCAGTGTGGAGATCTTCTGCACTCAGCATGCGGAACAACATCCGGATTTTCAACACCAACGTCAAGTCAGTGCTTCTATATGGTTCAGAGACTTGGAGCGTCACGAAAGGGATTTCCAATAAACTACAGACATTCATCAACAACTGCTTACGCTGGCTCGCTACTGAAGAGCAGATGGCCAGAAAGAATAAGCAACAAGGAGCTCTGAAACGAACCAACCAAGAACCTATCACGCAACAAATATGCAGGAGGAAGTGGAGATGGATTTGGCATGCACTGAGAAGGCCGACTGGGGACATCACGCGTCAGGCCAGTCCGTCGAGTGGAACCCAGATGGGAATCGACGAGTTGGGCGTCGGTGTCGAGTGTGACATGGAGGAGATCGTGCGAGGAGGAAATGAAAGTTTGTGGGCTGTCGTGGAGCCAGGTTCAAAGATTTCAGAGAACAGAGTGGAGTGGAGACGTGCTACTGAAGCCCTATGTTCCATTGGGAACCCAAGGGACTAATAATAATAATAATAATAATAATAATAATAATAATAATAATAATAATAATAATAATATAGCTGTAATGAATAAAAATACAACTGTATGGAATTGTGGGAAGTAAAATCCACGCAACTGCGTCTTTATAACGTAGCCTAAAACACCACATAATTCTCATGTGAGTCTAGAGTACAAGATACCAGGCTGATACATTAGCAAACAAAACTGTGAACAATAGCAATATGAGGAATGAAATATCTTACCAATTGGCTGAGGAACAGAAATTACAGAATTGCAATCGAATGGTAAAGACTCTTGAAACCATATAACTGGGTTCGTCCGTTTCTGAAGATTAAAAGATAATGCAACAATGCAGCATGTGTCCCTTCGAGCTGAAACACGCCTGAAAGAGACAGAAAGTCATTTTCAAAAAGAGTAACATACCCTGCCCATGTACCAATCGGTTCATACAGAACCAATAACGTTGGTTCATAGAATCCATGTAGGAATTGCATGTCTAGCACGTTATTTATTTTTTCTCCAGTAGATGTACTTAGACATGTTGTAAACGTAGCTAACAACGGTGCTGTTGCTCTTTGTTGCCACAAAAGCGAATTCCTGACACCAATATGCTTTGGATCCGCCTCAGCTGGAATTACAACTTCTGTGCGTCGAAACGGCAAAACAGCTAGGTGACGGTCGTATACCAGCATAATTGCACACCGCTGGAGCGGATCAAGTCTCAGAATTGGAAGCTTAGTAAAATGTATCCGACCAGACTAAAATGAAACAAAAAGAATAACTATACAAACGAGTCCATGATAAAGATTGGCTTTCACGTGAACATAAGGATAGAGCCGTGTGCAAAAATAGAAATATTTGTCGACGGTTGAAGGAATTAATGAGTGTGAGGATGTAGGCTCACTGTAAACATGCAGAGCAGAAGATGTTTGTCTGTAAGTCAAAAGCTGTTTAGCGGGAATTCTGCGAACATGTTAACCAATCAATCAGCTATATTAAACAGCTGAACTGACACAATGATCTAACAGTTCAATTTATAGCATTCCATATCACCACATCATATATAAGGTGATAAGATGATAGGATACAGAGGTAACGAGGAAATGTAAATGATACAGTCAAAAATTGTAATCAACCATGTTACAAAACGCAGACGTTTAGAAGCAATAATGAAATATTAAATAAAGGTTAGTATAAAGACATGGAATGGATGCATGAGTGCCAATGTAACATTTTGAGCCATACCACCACAAGGTTACTGTTATCATTTGGATCCAAGTCTTTAAATTTATATTTCCCCACATGACTCAGAAACCCAGTCGTCACGGAATGCAGTTATTTTCTAGTTCTAATAGACGATAGACAGACATAAAATATACGAAGAACGTAATACAGAAGTGCATCAGTTCATGACTGCAACGTGAAAATAACAAATGAGTAGGAAAAAGTGAAATCAAAGTAAGAGAAAGTATATGAGGAGAAAAGGAGTTTGAGAATCAAGGTCAGGGAAAATGCTTAGGCTTTAGATGTCAAAATGCATATGCATCTGAAATACCTAAAACCGATTTTCAGGCGTCAGCAACCGTTTCGGAAAATTGGTTTCTATCGTCTTGAGGATGCCAAACACGCAGTCTACGCCTCCCTAGACATCTCAGAGCAACAAACACACCACAAACTGTTTCCACATCTTAGTCTGGCCACCCAGATCCTTCTTCCGAGCCCGTCCAACCTTGGTTGACATTGCACATAGAGGTGGGCAGAAGTAGCTCAGCATACGAATCACATGCCCAAGATACCTCAATCGCTAAAAATTCACAACCTTATCCCCTGGCCGGTCTTCCTTGCCTAGTACTCTTCGTCTAAGGTCGAAAATCTGTAATCTCTTCATACCTATCTTCAACAGCCACGTTTTACAGTGGCATAGTAGGACAGAGCAAATTACAGAGCCATATACTTGTCATTTAACAAGCAGTCAGAAAAATTGCTAGGAACAGATGACGCCAGTTAGCAACCGCCAAAACGGTAATTGTGCTGAAATTTCGTCAATAATCAACTTATTCAGGCTGATGCAACTCTTCAAGTAAGTGAAGTAATCAACGCATTCTACCACTTCATACACTAACCATAAACTGGAAGTCGCTTCAGATCAATCCTGAATCACAATTTTACATCTGACAGGAGCTAAACACATAACGAATACACTTAAATTTCTGCTCAAGGCGTTCGGAAGACTTTGGATTTTGTCTGAACCTTCGGTTAATACGACAATGTGGCCTGTGTACTTTAGGTCAACAAAATGCTAGGTCGGCCCTTATAAATTCGGAGGCAATTAAGCACTTTAACAAAGTTAAACGGCAGCGGTGCAGTGGAAATCCTCGTCGGACACCACTGGTTGCTGTCAATTCAGATGATAACTTGGCATAAGCCTTTACACGGCTACATCAGTTCGAGTGGAGAGCCTTCCCTATTGTTACATACTTCCTTAGTGATCTCCATATAGTCAAACACTATCACGCCTCCCACTGGACAGAGTCAAATGCCCCATCCAGGTCCAGAAATATGGCAAGTGTCGACCACCACCAAGCATATCTTTACTTTATAATATATCAAAGGGTGAAGATCTGATCGATGCACCTTCATTTGGGTCTGAAGCCTGCTTGGTTTCCTGTTCTCCAGGCCAGGTAAGGCGTTGGATAACTATGGATCCAAGGAACTTGGATACGGCGTTAGTCCCAGAGTTATCACGAGAAGAACCCATCCCTGTGTAAATATTTATTATAGATACATTTATAACCAACTGATTCCCGCCGCAAAGCAAAACGTTTTCACGGACATAGTTAATCCTTCTCTTTTATCACAGACTAGCGTAGTTAACGACCTACGTCATTTTGATGGAACTACCTCTGACTCCTATACGCTACCTAGTTCTTCCACTACTCTAGTCGGTAATTTCCTACTTTCTTTAAGATTATCTGGTATCAAACCTTAAGGTTATGCTATTTTGAATTGTTCCATGTTGGATATACCTTTCTCAACTTTGAGGACAGTTAGAAGACCGACATCTACGTCCCATTCAGGTTAGGGCTGGAACCTGGGCAACTGAAGCGTTGCTGTAGGCTTTAAAGTGTTCTAGACAACGTTCTAGCTGTCTATCCCGGAAGGTTATCAGCGACTTATCCTTTACAATGATGGTTTCACTAATCGTACTCTTCTAGCTGGTATCTTTAGTAACTCTGAATAGTTGTCGAGTATCACCAAATGCTGACGCTTTCTCCATCGATCTCGCCTTCGCCAACCACTGGGTCGCGATCATTGCGAAGCCTCTTAGACAATTTACGTTTGAGTTGCTTTTGCTGATCAGTTTGGTCAGAGCTAGCTGAATCAGTCTTTTTGCATTCATCACTTTGGATGAGTTCGCAGAAATCTAATGGCTTTCGCTAACCTTAAGGTGCAGGCTACCAACTGCTTTATCACTGTTTCTACAGTAAGTTGAAGATCACGCCACGTTTAATCAGAATGAGAACCAGTATCATATTTCGATCACTGCTTAGCTATCTCCCCTCTAAACAATCACTTGGCTTTCTTACCCACCTAACAGGTACACACAAGCTTCACTACTACCTGAGACCAGTAAGGTGCAAATAAGCACGTGTCTGTAGTAACTCCTTATTGGATATTTAAGCAGTTATTGCAGAAGGAGCACTAATCCTTCATCGACCCCTTTCAACGATAGCTTACAGCAATATGACCAATTTTTATCCGTCGTGGTTTGATTTTAGTGAGAAAGTGTTTGTCCTTATGATTGGAGTTAGTGCTGGCCAGAAACGAGTGATTGTCAGAACAAAATTGTAACAGACGACTACCGTTGTTGGTTTGTTAGCATGGAATTCCGTAGATACCTGCAAGAAACCTTCCCGATCGGGTTACCTTTCGTACTTGAGCTTTGAAATCGCTTGTTATAATGAGAATTTCCGAATGTTTTTCGTTATGTAGCGAGATTGACAGCTTATGATAGAATTTATCCTGTGTTATTCGAACTGCAGTGGGTGGGTGTGTAAGCAGAGATTACGAGTAGGCATTGGCAAGTCTCACAACCGTTCCTAGTTCTTACAGATGCATTTAGTAAAACAGCAAATAAATGGCTGTTGAATGGCATTCGATCAAGAAGTGTGCTTTCTGCTTGAGAACTTAATGCCATACCTACACTAACGAATGGAACAGAGCTAGCCACTGAATCTCCGGATGCCAGTAAAGAGAGTTTTCAAGACTCACAACATTAGCCAGGTAAGGTCAAGTGAGTGGCCACATCCAGGTTCTGTGTACGTGTCTCAGAGATACAGCATATAACTGCGGTTCGAGATTCTAGTTTGGGAAAGGATGCTTGTTCTCCTATTTGGCATGTGGTTAGGACGCAGGAAACTCCAGTGTGAAATTTAACAGAATGAAGTTGAGCTCCTGAGAGGTTTATTACTAGTATCAGGAAGTGAAGGGAGTAGACAAAAGAGGAAAAGGCTGTGGTTGATTGGACTGTGTATACTATTGAAAGCGTGTAGGAGGTCGATCCTTTTTAGATGTTTACTGTATGGAGGTTGCGTCAGCAAGGTACTCGAAAAAGAAAAGGAATTATTTTCGTATAACCTCAGAGCCTGTGAGATATCTGCTTTTAGTTTGGTACACACGACTTCTTTAGGATTGTTGCATTGAGATTCGACTGCGGTAACACCGATGAAAACCATATACTACAGGCACATGAAAACCACAGGGCAAGGAGTAATGTGGTACCTTCAAAAGAAATTTTCTAACCCCACTTACAATCAGTATAGTACTGCTGGTCATGTGGGAAACACTTAACTGCTGCCACACTCCGATCAACAAGCAGCCTGAATTCGGTCTCGAACTCTCATCACAATCTAGCCATTTGCACCATGATGGCAAACGCTTTTTGTCTCACTGCTATCCAACAGACCTTTTTGGTCTGGCAGGAACTTGAGTAACAAGTGTTTTACCCAACGTAGCTGGTTGGGTCGTTGTAGCTTGCAAGCCCGACCACCACTACTCGGTAGCAGCTGTAGGTCAAGCTCTATTTCAGTGAATTGCCGCAAGCCCGATATATGTAACATACTTGCAAGTCATCTTAGTTGAAAGACTTAGAAACTCATCCTCTGTTACCCAAGACTAACCCTATTTTTTTGAATCACCAAAGTAGTGGTTGTAACAAACTTACGATGCTAGGAAGGCAACGGTAGGTGAATATGAAAAACATTTTATTTCCTACACCTTTAGTCGTAATGTTCCACAGCTAAATAATTGGAGAGCGAAATGATTCGCAATAGGCTTGATCCTAAGCAGGTAATCGGATATCTCGCATGGTTCATAGGTTGTGCATACTAGCCTAAGCTAACCGAATGTACGTACCGAGATTCCATCAACCGCTGACTCACCCTGGTTAGTCCAACTTCCGAAGTAAGCTAATCAGTCGGATAGGTATTGAACTATCGTAACCTACTAACCTACAACAATGAAAACAAAAAACACATCTTGTACAGAAATATCATTTACTTGGAAAAATAAGTTGAACACAACCCAGACACTTTGCAGATATCTTGTGTACTAGGTTTTACATCAAGCCTAACATGAGAGCTCATGGCATTACCTGGCTGTCCGGAAAAACGTAAGTGGAGTCGAATTCGAACCTGGCATTCAGTTTGAAAACCTAATATTGGGGATGCAGAGTCACATCGTGCATGGGAAAAACTGGATCACAGCCTTATAATTTCCCGAGGCTACAAATAAACCGTTTCTAGGAAGAAATTCATAACCGTGAGTCATAAAGCCATAATTAAAAGTGAGATGACACATCAAGGTTACTTATGGCCCCGGGGCTATTTAACAGGCCTTATCTGGTTTAGAATTGCTGCTCTGAAAGAGATTTCTACATAACATCGAATAAAATAGTCTCGTTATGAGGTGCAGAAAAGTAGGATGAGTCGTATAAATAGATTCTGGTTCATACGCCTTCAAACATTTAGCTCATCGGAATAGAAATGCATATTTGTGTGAAGAAACGCATCACCTTACCAACAGATAATTTTCCACTTCTTACGAGTCTCATGCTTTATATCACTAAGAAAAAGGTCAACTTACTGTGACAAGTTACAACTAATTTGTGCATGTAAATTAATTCTCTTAACTACTGAATTAGTGCTAGGTTAGACCATTTTAGTGATTCGCTAACAGATTATGAGACTCCAAAGAACTGACTGCAAGTAAGATAATAAAAAGCAAAAAATTTACTGGTGAAAGGAAAGCATGTAAACATAAGTGTAAAACAATGTTAGTTAGCTTGAGCAGAAACAAACCTTGAGGTTTTCAAATTCATAGTTGTGAAGAGAAACGGTCCTCAACTCAAAGCTAATAGGATTGAAATTCATAACAGCAACCTGCATGTGAAAAGGAGATTTTCGGTGTTACCTTGGCTTCCGGGAAACTTAGGAGTAAGGAATCCAGTAAGTCCCCAGTGAAGCGGACTGCAACTATGTCAGCAATGTTTTCGTATACATATGTTTCATACACCCAATTGAAACGCACCTCGCCAGTATTACTATTATCATAAGATTTACCCCGTTGTACATACCTGGACTTTATATTATATATCTGGATTAATCCACCACGAGTAACAACAAGGTTTTTTAACCTCGGATGGAGCAGATAACAATAAAGACAATTATCTACGGTTGTAGGTGGTGAGACATGCTTGAAAATTGCACTGAAAGTTGTTGGTTTAGTAGTATCAACTCCCGGGTTCATCATTTTTGAAACATGCACAACTGCTATGACCTTCCAATATCCAATATTGATAGTGCGAGCGTAGAAAACTGGTAGTTTTGGATCTCTCGCGTCTAGTTCTTCCAATATCCAATATATTTTTTACTAGCTGATGTATACCAGTTGATTTCTTCGCACTCGCTGTTCAGTCTTGGGGAGGAATTTCAGGTCTTTTGTGGGTTCCGATATCTGTGGCTCTGGCTAACCGACGGGTGCTTGGGTGTTCCAACATTCAACATCAATATTGCGAGAACTGGGGACTTGTAGTATTTCAGATTTCGCCTCTGAGTCTCGGGGTTCCGTTCGTTTTGTTTGGTCACAATCTTTTGATAGTTGCAGAAGTCTTTTTGTCTTTCCTGCAGACAGCTTTGCAGGTGCGATTGTCTATTCGAAGACATTTTTTCTTGCCAGTTTTATCCGGGTTTGTTTGGGTGAGTAACGCAGCCACCGATAAAACCAATCAGCCCTTCACAATTCCTGTTTTCCTAAGCACTTGCAATAGAGCATTAAGCGTTGTTTGAAAAGTGCTAGAAACAGGATGACTGGGAAATGAGAAAATAGGATTGCAAACTACTTATGGAAAAATAAGTGTTACTGGTAATAATACGGAGAAGGGATGCCTATTATGACAGATACCAGGGTTGGGGAATACAGGACGGATGAACATACCTTCAGTCGATGTCGATGAATGTTCGTGGTTGGCCGTGTGCACTCACATACCTATCCGGCGGTCGTTTGAAGGAGTCAGCTTATGTAGGCATGACTAGTTCTCTCAGCGGAGCATTCCGTATGGCATATAATCTGTGTGAGGAGTCAGATCTCATTGTTATCCCTGCCTTGTGGTGGGGGCTGCAAACGAGGTTCCTGCGAGGGTGTCTGTTGTTTGTCCATAATGTTGTACTGTTGGGTGGTCCATTTATTGAATGATCTTTCTGGGTGTTAGTAAGTCAACTCTTTTTCATCGACGGCTCAATGTGAACGAGTTGGGTTGTCTAAGACATTCCATCTGTTATTCCGATAATCGACCATGTTGCTGTTCGCTGTGATCTTTCGAGGGTATTGGCATATGTCTTTGGTGGAGGGGGGCTTTCGTGTTGAATACCTCTAGGCGTAGATTGACGTAGATTTTGTATACTATAGGCGTTGACTCTGGGGTTATCGACCCAAGTTGCCCTCTTGGAAACGGAGTGATGGGGTTCGCCTTTGCTGCCATGCTGCTGTAGTTGGCACCAGTATTCAGTGTGTAAGATAATTTTAGTCCTAGGTCCTCTACCGTGGCTCCCCGGTTGGTTGGGCACTTGTTGATGGTTCAACCGGTTTTTATGACTTCCGGTGCGCCTTGATACATCACCTTGTACTTAACCAGGTGAAAGCTTACACCGTTCGCAGCTGACCATGGCTCCAACTACAGCAGATCGTCGTGGGGTATCCTGTGATTCTCCTCCTTGCCTATTATCCTCCCTATTTTGACGTCAGCAAATAGGGGGCAGACGAGAAGATATGAACGTGGATGCTAATGATGGACAGTAAAAACAGGAGTGGACTGAGGGTCACTTCCTGTTCTTGCGCTCTTTCAGGCTGACCGAATTCTGCTTACTTTAGTACAGAACTCTCTGTCCTCTAGATACTCTGTAGGCCGCGCCAAGGGTGGTTCAGTGGTATGTACCTTTGCAAGTTTAGTGGGTATAGTGTAGTATGGGGTGCTATCGAAAACTTTGGGCAAGTCCAGAAAGACGACGTGGAATGGTTGCTTGTGGTGGTGGTCCAGTCACCACAAGCCTTCATCAAGTTTGTGGCACGTGGCCACCGGTTTTGTAGGCATGTTGGGTGTGGTTAACGATGTTGTTAACATCTAGATAGTGCTAAACAATATCCTCAACCAGGCTGTCCGGTAACTTGAATATTATGGGGGGTAACGCTACCGGTCTGCAGCTGCACAAACTTTTTCAGTCTCCGCTGTTGAACACTGGTGAAGGGATGGGATGTCCCCATTCTTTGTGGAGTTGGCTTACTTCCAACGAGTGCGTGAACAGGTCGCAAATGGGTATACTCAGGACTCCTGCACAGTTCCACAGGGGCAGCTGTCTTATGTCGTCACAGCCCAGAGACTTCCTTATTCTGAGTGCTGGAAGTTTCGCAAACACTTCGTGTGACGAAATCTTTATGCCCACCGGCTTTGTATCGTGGTGCTGAAATTTCGTCGTATTACTGGATGTTGATTAAAATCGTAAGGGTCGCATAATTTTTCCAAGGATCGCAGTGTTAGTCGTTTTGTAGCATTTTGCAGGTGATCTCCTTGTTTTTCAGCCTCCAAATTTTGATATCCTTGGCATAAAGGCAGGGAGGGATGGAAATGTTCCGTGGGGGACAGTATGTGATTAACAGGAAGTGTTCTTGGGATTAGTCCGTTTGATGCCCTACGTATCGACAACCTACACCCAGAATTCAGTGAACTGTTGGGTTTCTGAATGAACTTTGAACCAGGAAGTCAGACGTTTGTTGTTCTGCTTCATGTTGTCAAGCGCGTTTCCTTAGTCGGAAGGATGGAAAGGACTGGTCAACAGTTGTGTCAACCAGTCACAGAACTGGCGTCACATGAGATCCGACTACGAGGGCCGTATTGGGCAGCATGAATAGTGCTGTTTCCGTTACAGACTTCTGAGATGTCATTTGCTATCAGACTTCCTGTGATGTGGATAGTATGGGAAGTATGCTAATTGGCCGATTCTCGCCGAGGTTCACTCTGTCTCCCACCATGAAACTGAGTGACAGACTGGCGGACTTTTACTGTCTTGGGAGTCGACTCGACTCCAGAGGGTGCTTGAAGAGGTCGAATATTAATTTCGCGAGCCCCCAAGAGTAGTTTTATGGGCTATTGATCTCGTGATGTCACAGCCAGGATACCAGCCTGGACGAAGTCTTGGTGGCTTCCCAGCTATGTTTTTTTGCGTGATGTAAATCGCTCCAAATTGTTCAGCACTGTTTTGCTCCGACGTGAGTTCAGTGTCAGAAACACCTAGTTGCTCCCCGAGGTTTGAGTTCCGAGGCCCGAATACTCCTAAAATGCTTGACGCACTTTCATTAGGGATCATCATGAGACTGGTCCCTCTGCTTGTCATCTTCTTTCCGGGATGAGGCGGCACGAGTCCCCTGGGTTATTCTGTATCCTTTTCACAAGGTTTGACTGGGAGCTAAACCTGTTGCTGTGGCACCAAGCCTTACATCAGTTGAAGACCTTTTCTTCGGCTCAAAAGTCTGACCGGTATGTGATCATTACCACCTTAAACAGGGATGCCCTCGGCTCAGAGTAACCTCTTTGCTCCACATTTTCCCCACTAGGTTCCCAATGATGGCCGACGCCTTACCTTGTTATTTAGGATGACATCGCGAATTGCTCCCTCAGTTTGAGCTCGCCACTCGTCCATCTTCGGAAGTTTGTATTCCTCGGGTGGTGACGAGCCTTTGGGGTAATCTCTCATGGACTTATAGATGGGCCTGCCGGGCCAGGGAAAGGTATTGGGTGTTTCCTGTCGCATAGTCTCCTCATTGCTCCCTCAGTCACCACGGAGGAGTCTATTGTTGGATGACAGCTGAGTGAAGCAGATTGCTGCGCATATGTGTCCTCAGTGAGGTCTGCTTTTGATTGTGCACCATCCGGATGTGATGCGCCGAAAATGCCTGACCCACTTCCTCAGAGGGTCTCTTTCTCTCATGAACTCTGCATCTGGCTGTGGGACGTGAAGTCGTGTCTGTCTGCCATCCCGAGGTGAGTGGAGGGTGCATTTAGCCACCGGTGATGATAGCTGAATCACAATCTGTAGGGGCTGCAGCCAGGACTGCGTTGATAACCACTTCCCTATGCTCAAGTGTACTGGTAGGTGACCTACGCGCAACATCTGGTAGGTACTTTATACGACGGGAGAGGTAAAACCTCAGGGAGTTCCGTTTAAGACCGCATCAGTCGCGGAGCAGTGCATGTGAGTCAAATTGTGTGGCAAGTAATCCACTCCTGAAGGTATATTTTAGGGGGGTTAGTTTCGGCAGTCGACCAACGCTGCCAGCCGATTGACTATTAAGGAGAAACTTTCTCAGCCAATGCCATTACCCAGGCTCACGATGGCACCACTGTTTGACCACTGATTCCGGGGGTTCTTGGAATACCTTGTAGAACCATTGAGGTGTCCCAGTTTTGAGTTGAGTTTTTCTTTCCCTGTCCCTCGTTAATCATGGGTTGTCAGTTACAGACCGGATTTTGTAAGTACTGAGGTCAATCGGGGACGAGAGGTAGGGATAACCTAGTCTATGCCCTTAGAAGAACTCAGAAAAACTCCTGAGGCCAGTGGCGTACTTCGGACTGTTTAGTTTTTTCGAGAAGGGTGGCCAAACTTCGTGAGGCGGTGGAGAAACTCTGGTGCCTGGCAGTAGCTGATCCGCCTCTCCAGTAGTAGGTTAACCAACATGTCGATGCTAAACGAAAAATGGGGTTAGTTGACATTTTAGTTTGCTTTGTCATAGGTGAAGTATTTAATTTGGAGTAAGATCGTCGTCCAGCTTATCGTTCTCACCCGCTGCTACGATCCTCAAGAGCATTCCCATTGTTTCATTGGAGGTCCCAGGGGCAGCTACGCTTTCTTTGGGCCTGGACAATTTTGTAGTTGCATGGGTAACAAAAATGTTCAACCGAAGTTTTTCTTATTCCTTAGTGTATACGACGCAACATAATCAGCTTTAATCTACGCTTCCCCCACATTATTAGTTAACACTTTTCTGACCACGTTCGAATGGGTTGACCTCTTTGTATGGCAGAGAAAAGACCTATCGGATCAGCTGGATAGAGCGAAGCAACTTTTTGCGACTCAGGCGGATACAACACAGCCGTTTGTGTGGTTGTCTTTTATGAGATTATAGCACTATCGAGGCCGTGGTATTCCTACCGTTCACATAATTTATGCGCAGAGGACTCATACACTACTGATACTACTTCA